AAGCGCTACAGGCCCTCTTGAAGAACTCTCTGGGCACTTAGCGAAAGGGAGGCGTGGGTCCTGGCGCAAGCATTGCTGTAAAGGGTCTGGCTGGATGACCCCCCCCCCCACCCCCCCCCCGGCTCGAGGCGAAGGGCGAATAGCTGCGACAGCTGGCGCAGTGCGTGACCGTTTGCCAACCAGAAGAGAGCTGACAGGACTCATCTTGGCCCCACGTGCTTCTCGTACGTAGCTAGGCCCAGGAACAGCTTGCGGTCAATCCGACGATGGCCGCAAGGGCATCAGGTGGGAGAGATCTTGCCGGAGGACACGCGGCTAGGCAGCATCGCCCAGGTCGCATAGAAGGGGTTTCCCTTTGTTGCCAGGGTTGAGCACGGCGTGCATCGTTTAGGACACACTCCCCTCCATGTCCAGCGCGTGTGATGCCCGAAGGCCTGGGTAGGCGAATCCACATCGATGGCAGGTACCGGTCTAGATCTGACAGATCCGCATCGAGCTGAGATGCGAAAAACGCACCTCGAGAATGGGAATCTGTCGAATTGCGCAGGATGATCTGGATCACGAATTTGTCAGAGGGTGATCACCTCCGCCTGCACCTTCTGTTGGTCTGTGACAAGTGGCTGAGATAGTCGATCAAGGTGCGGTCGAAGGAATGCGATGAAGGCGCGGCAACGACCATGCAGTAAGGGTCCTATGTGCCCCCGATTCACACTAGCAACGCGGCTCGTAGAGATCGAAAGGCGAACCTTAAGTCGGAGGTATAAGAATTGAGTGCGTGATTGGCTGGATTCTCTTAGCGGCGTCTTTACCCGAAGTGGTGGCCGGAAACTGGTGGCCGGACCCTGAACGGGGTCTCCACGCGGCGAGCCGTTCACTCTGTTTTCTCCGGCACCGACCGACCTGACCTGCCGATCGCCTGGCCCGGCCCCATCCAAGCTGACTGCCACCTTTCGATGCCCATCGTTTTACAACGACACACCGTCAAACAAGTTGCTGAAGCTGGCATTCGCCATACGTGGCCAGCCTTGGTCGGGTCTGTTCGTAGACGGCCAAGGGCGCACGGTGTCGATGCAGCTCAGCCTTGATTCTCGCCACAGTGGAGCGCCATGGAAGCCGGTAGAAATTGTGGATTGCGGGGCCCATGAGAAAACACAGCATAGCAGCGGTGACTGGTGCGATATCAGGAGTACCACATGCGAAGTGAAGTACTATGTAGATAGTGACCTTCGCGCGCTTAATCTTGGTGAGGCGAGCCGAGGGCGGGGGGCAACGAATGAATGGCGGGCTATGACAGAAGGTCAGCGGAAAGTTCTTCATCTTCAACCACCTGGACGGGGTAAGTAGATACACAATGACGTATAGCAGTGCAAGGGTACGCCTGCCGATCAATTTGCAGTGATGGAAGAGAGGGGTTGGATCTGACGAATGGAATATCGCTTGTGGAGACGGATATGACTCCGTAGCCTTTGATTGGCTCGAGCAGCACCTGTGAACCTGGGTCGACGGGAAATGGAGGTTTAAGGGTTTTAGGGGTCTGGGGGCGTGCCCCGAGGAAAAGGTAAGAGACAATCTTGAGATTGACAAGTGATGGGCGTGAAAATGGAATCCATCGTTTTCCGGGTTGACGAGGGGGGAGTTGCAGCGATGAGCCGATGCAAGTGGCTTTCTCGCGAGGTGGGTGCCGACATGCAACATTGGCCGAAGCTTTTCCTGCTGCAAGCTCGTGTCACCAGGGGGGAAAGAAAGCTGTTTATTATGTTGTTCTCCTGTCGCATCGGCGATGAGACGGCCAGCATAAGGGCGAAATTGGCGCTATGGTTGTGAGCCGATATTGACCCGAGTAATAAGAAAGGGAAACGGTCAGCTGATTTGGTAGGTCGGCGTAGTCGGTTGGCGGGCGAATAGTTCGATGACAAGGCAAAATCAAGATCGCGGCTCTCGGGATTGCGGGTTCGCCTCAGCATGACTGGCCGTTTCGCGGCCCGTGTGGTGCTTGACGATTGGCTGCACGGTGTGTCCCCCGGACACGGGGATTCTCCGTTGACGAATGATGGGTGGACGAATGCGACATTCTTCGGATGAATGCACCGTGTGCAGGCTCACAAGAGCGAAGGTCCCGTGTACTACGCTGTAGACACCGACACCCAGCTGTGCTCTCTGCCCTCCTTGCTCCTACTGGGCGCGGTCAGCAGGCAGACGCCGAACGAACGCGCTGGTTGCCAGCGTGGACCCTACACGGTATGCTCCAAAGTCAGTTCGTTCGATATTGGGGGGCATCGTTAGCCTTTGTGCGCCGGCTGAAGATCAACTGGTTAGACACCGATGGCGACTCAAGTGGATGCAACATCACACCCGTTTTTGGCCCGCAGGACGTCCATAACGCAGCAGGAAGACGAAGCCGACGCGACAGTTACGGTGGGATTGGCGTGACACAAGCTGGCACTAGGCCGGCCTGGGCTTGGGACTGGGATGGGTTGGAGGGGCTGTTGCCAGAAGAAGCCCCAGCATGTCACTCTGTCTCGGTGGGTTCGGTGGGAACCTCGCTGGTTGTTCACCGACAGCTTAGCTGAGCCTGGTGCTGGAACGCATGCACAGACGGAGGGACGGAGGGACGGCGTCAACCGCGGCGGAAGGGTGACAAAATGGCTTGAAAACAAGGAATGTAGTTATTGAATCACCACGATCGAGTCGCAGCTGCCTGTGAGGTGGAGGTTTGCCGGGTCTTCGCAGGATCACGTAGCCAAGCTGGCTTGCAAACAACGGCAAACCGGCTTGGCTCTCCCAGCTGCCAAAATCCACCTCTGTGCTGGGCCGACGAGAAAATCGACCGACAGGATTCGTGCATGCGAGCCCGACTAGCAAGCAGCAGGAAGGGAGGCACCAAACCACGGACGGACCGGGACCTTGTCAACTCGTCGTGGCTGGCAAGCTGGTACTACTAATTAGTATGTATCGCATCCGGGGTCAAACCAGGCAAAGTAAAATGGGTGGATATTTGGGTTGTTTTTTTTGCCTTTTTCTTCTTCCATAGTCCCTTCCTCTTTCTTTGCCTAACCTGCATTCTCGTCTTTCCCGATGTGATGCGCGTGATGTGATTGTCGGCTTGGTGGGCATATGCGGCGGTTGAGAAATTGAATTTGGGGGTGGTGGCACTGTGCATAAGAGGAATGTGTGAATGAGCCCCCTTCCCCAAATAAAAATAAAAACCGCCAAGGAGGCAGGAGGTCCAGTCGTCGGATCGTCAGCTGTCGAGAGGAATGGAAGGCTCAAAAGGCCTAGGTGCGTCCATCGTTCGTTCCTGCCCTTGCCGCGCTGCAGAGGCAAGAGGCGAGCCACACCCGAGGTCTCCTAAAGCCACACCCCCTCTCCCTCGATTGACTCTCGATCCCGAGAACCCTGCCACGACCTGGAGATCAGACCAAGCAGCTTCCAAGCTGGTGTGGGGCCGCACTTGCCTGCGCGTGGGGAACTGGGCTAGACCTCACGAAACGTTTCGCAACCTTGAGATTCGATGTCCCTCCGCCCTTTTTCTGAACACCCTCCAGATGCACACCACGGGAGGGTTTTCAGCATCGAACGAGAGAGGACGTGGACGTGAGCAGCCGTGTTGCTGTAGTGCCCTTGCCTTCCACCTTCCAGCCCCAAAAGCCCCTCCCCCAATTCAGATCGTCGATAGCCCCCGGGTCGAGGGTGTGCCGTCCGTACGGTTTTCAAGGCTTTTACGGCCTACCACCAGCTCTTGGCCCAACACAGATTGGCCCTGTATTGTCCGATTCTGTTCGAAGCCGGAGGGGGCGTGGAGACCCGTTCGCATCTCATCCCGCCGACCAGACCTGCTGTTCTTCTTACCCTTCTTCAGTTTTTCGCCTCTCGCAGGTCGATATTTGTGTGCAACAACGACGGAGCAAGCCCAAAATCGCATTGGCTTCCCTCCGATTTCCTTGTTGCGCTTTGCGCATTTCCGACTGACATATCGAATTTCGCCCGTCGAAATCGGCACCCAAACGTCCACCACGCAAACACCACGGTCCACCCGCCGCGAAGCCGCTCAAACCAGCTCAATCGTCGCAAGATAACCGCTTCTCCTCTCCTCGTCCCCTTCTTCACAACGCTCTCTGACCCCCGCGCCGACACTCAACTCACCTTGTGATCAGTGGTCGGCTTCTCTTGTTGCCGTATGACTTAGCGGCAGAGTCGGAAGGGCGAACGTGCCCTCTCATTCATCTTCGCTCACACTCGAACGACGGACACGAATTTCTTCACTGCAAACCCCACCGCAGTCCCCACTTACTGGCTTAACAACAATTGACACTTTACTTCACGGCGAAATAAACGACCTTGTTCTACTGGCGACGACAACTGAGCAGATCGACTGACCGAGAGCGGTTGCTGCCCATCAATCCAGCTCACTCACGTTGTTTGCATCTTCGCAGTCCACCTACGCGTTCATTGGGCTCCCTTCAACTCGATCAAATCTTACAGCTGCACGGAAAACGCTCGTGTATCGAACAGAAAGCGGTTTCCCCGATAACTAAACCCCGTGTTCTAAAGTCGTCTGTGGTGCATCCTTTTCCTGTCATTGTAGGTGCTACCCTCTCTCACAGTGTCGACTTCTGATGGGGGCTTTCGTCATACCCGCCTCTCAACCTTCGATCGATCGATCGATGTTTCAGCCAATCACAGGCCACGACTACGCTCGACATATACACCCTTCGACCTCGACCTTCTGAGGGTCTTGTTGTATTGAATGAAATTCAGATGCTGACTAGTCTTCAACCTTTTAGTAATACATTCGACTTATGCTATTGCCCTCAACAAACAATAACCAAATATACTCATCAACCTTCCACTCCAGTGTGGGAAACATCGATACAACGGCGGCCACTACGGAAATCAGAACTTCTCCGACCGCTTGCTGCATTCGTCGCCCTTCACATAGTAACTCTAGTGCCAGTTCCGATTATCTTGGTTTAGCCAGACAACGTCTTCATGCCGCCATCATGTCTGACGCTCACCACACATCCCATGGTACGCAGCCGCCGACGTCGCCGAAAGGCCATCCGTTACCGCGCCGGTCGTCCCCCGAACATTCTATAACCCTGCGACACCACCGTTTGGCTCGCGAGGCGAGTGAAAAGGCCGCATCGAAGCGCGCTGCTGTGGCAGTCAGCCCCGGGTCATCCTCTTCACCACATAGGCAGTCATCCGGCGAGAGTCACAACACTGGACCCAGTGACCCCAAGAAATGGTTCGACCAAAGCAATGAGAACCCTACTGCCTTGTATTCTCAAGGAATGGACGGTGAGACAGTGAAAGCCCAAGATTCTTTCGCAGCAGAGGCTAATGATGTGTCCAGTCGATCCTCCGTTTTTCCAAAGAGAGAGCGATTCATCCAACGAAGACAATCTGCAGCCCAACAGTTACCCTACGCATCTGCAACCGCCCCTACCAGGCAATCTCAAGCCGAGTGCCACACATAGTAGCAGTGCCGATGATTACCGGAGTGTTATCGACGACTTGACTGTCGAAATCAAGAGGCTTAAGGATGAGCTCAAACGATACAAACAGAAGGGACCTGAAATGATGAAGCGAGACAAACTGTTCGAGATCAAGGTTCACGGGCTTCCGAAACGCAAGAAGAGAGAGTTGGAGAGCACCCTTCGCGACTTCGCATCAGGGCTGGAGAGCAATACCCCTAGTGCCGAGGCCTCGTCTCGAAAAAAATCCAGACACGCCGACCGACTGGAGTCTGGATCAGGATCAGCTTCCAAACACACATCCTCGACGTCAGGATCTAACTCTAGACCTGTTGATTCTGCGTATGCGTCAATGTCAACCGGTGCCAATTCATCAGGAACTTCCTTTATGCGACCTTCAGCCAGTTCGAGGGCCAAATCATCGGAGCAAAAGGTGGAGAATTACCTCAAAGACATTCCCGAAGGGCTCTATCCACGTCACATGGTCTTGACGGATAAAGACAAGAAGAAACTGATTGTTCGTCGATTGGAGCAAATTTTTACGGGGAGAATCAGCGGCCGGAGCCTGGCCCGGAACCAACCAAAGTCCTCTGCGAATATCGCCTCCTACGCTCCCATTATGGTGGAGCCAGCAACCGGCAATACTACCACCACTCACGGACCATCCAACGTACCCATGGGCTTCCACGAGCCTTCTAGAGAGGCACGTATCTTGGCGTCCGAGGAGAACAAGAATTTGGTGAAAGAAAACGAGTCTGCATCCAATTCGAACGAAGATCAATTAGACGCCGGCGGCAACTCGGCGGCTACTGGCACATCACCTCCGGACCCGCTGCTACTCGAGCAGCGTCCTACCCGGCCGCTTGACCTTGATCCGGACCGCAAACAAAATCCCTCCGCAAATATGGATTACATCCGTCATCTCGGACTGGCCCCACCCCATCTGACAGGTCTCGCAACACACGAGGATGTTTCTCCGGATGCTGATGGCTGGGTTTATTTGAATCTGCTCTGCAACATGGCGCAGCTGCACATGCTCAATGTTGCACCCGACTACATTCGCAACGCCGTCTCCGAGAAAAGCACCAAGTTCCAGCTTTCGCCTGATGGGCGCAAAATCCGATGGCGCGGAGGTACTGAAGGGACGAAGTTCAGCAGCGACAGCTCAGGGGATGCCTCTCAGAACAGTCGTTCGGAGGAATCCGATGTAGAGGCTGAAAACGAGCACACGAAGAAGCGCAAACACCGACAGGTATCCAGGAGTGGATTCTATTCTTCCTCCGCAGGCCAGAATGCATCCGACCAATTGAAACTGAGCCACAACATCTCATCCGCTGACAGCTTCCACTATAAGCCGTTGTTTGTGCACCAATCATCCTCAGCTGAGCAGACTTCTCTTGACGACTCGAGCTCCTCTTTTGGTGTCGGCGATGATAGTAACAACGGAGAGTCACGATGGGGAAATAGTGGTTCAGGATCGGCCCGGCGAAAGCGGCGTCGTTTGGATGGTGCCATCATTTACTACAGTGGTGCCCCCTTCTGTATGGATTTATCTGGAGACCCTGGAGACGCATCTCCTTCGTCCTACTTGACATCCACTGGCCAGAATCAACAGTCGTCGCCTAGAACCGAGACCCCCGAAGCACTGCAGCGCACGGAATCGGGATCGGCACTTCCCTATCGCCCCTTGATTGAAGGTAGAAGAGCACCGAGTGTGGCAGTCGCAACAGAAGCGGGTTCCGACGATAGCGAGATGGACATTGAGGCCGATTTTACGTGGTCTGATGTCCCTCAGGACGCCGCTAGCAGCAAGCTGGATGCTTGTGGTCTGGGTGGAGTCATCCCAGACGATCATTTTGTGGTCGTTGCTACCACAAAGAGACCAAAGAACAGCACGAACCCTAACACTTTCAAACTCGACGCCAAGGATGTCGCCAAGATTGTCGACAGGATTACATCTCCGCTGGTATCTTCAGCCCAGGTCGGGCTTTACAAGCCTAAGTCCAAGAGTCGATCTCCTGTCAACATCGAGTACACGTCCAGATCTGTCGAGAAGTTGAATCCCACACCCTTACCGCCTCCGGGTATGTACTTCTCCTTTGACAGCGACACTTCCGACACTTCCGATGAAGACGACTTTGAATTAGACGACGAATCGAGTGTATCGATTAGGAAGCATGGAAACCAGGTTCGCATCTCTACGTTTGAGAATCAGTATCCGGATGATGCAGATATGTCGAGTGGAGATGAGGAAGATGTTGAGCCGGATGGTGGAGATGAGCCGGTGGACGAATTGAACGATGAAAGTAGCGAGGAAATCAAGATTCCTATCCTACCTCGCGAGGTTCGCCGCGCCAGCAGCAGCAGTGCTGTCGCTGCAGCTGGAACGGCTAGAAGCTGTAGCAAGAGCTTGAGTGCCGAACTTCCTTTGGCTTCGGGCAGTTCGGTCGCCACCGCTGGCGGAGCTGAAAGTGGCTACAGTAGTAGTCGCGAGGAAGAGAGTGGTTTAAGTTGAAGTTCTGGTCGCGAACAGTGCAGGTGATGGACGACGACTGGGTTTCGAGGCAATTTTGTTCGACATGACACAATTTGCATTGCAAGGCGCCTGGGTTTTCTTCATCACGAGGGATGAATTTGCACAAGAGATATCCCACAGTTGGACACTGCATCATATTGTTATTATTTCTTTGGTTTCGGTCCGAGAGCATCACGAGCGGAAATTGGGTGTTGGTTTACAGCAGGTGAGCTTCAAATAAGTGTCGAGAAAACACATAACAAAAGTTTTCAAGGGCGAAAGGGTGGTAGATATCTACTACCACAAGGCGTTTTGGATAGCGATGATATTTCGCAACATAACAATGATACCCATTTCCGCACATTACAGGCTTGTTATAATTATCAACGTAGTGATTGAACCAACTTTCAGCGACTTAAAGAAGAGCCTCCTGCAGCTACAGGCCGGTCTCTGCATGGCGTCCAAAGTTGATCATAGGCGGCGTGTATGCTCCTCGCACTTTTTGTCAACTTGCGTTGCCTGGCAGAAAGTAATACTAATTCCAACTAGGAACCTCCAAACCCTCAAAGGAGGCTACGTTTGGCTTTTTGTTTTGTCGCCGATTACTGGCTAATCATGATATTCGAGACGGACCAGAAGAACTCTTTGCAATGAAGCCATGGTTGACAAGAACTCCTGCCGACGACTGTTCATCAGATCGCGAACCGAGAAATAGCCGGTCTGCCCTTGAACTTGTTGATCTCCCAAAGACTTTCTTGATGTGATACAGCAACTCCTGCTGAATGAGTATCTCCAACCACGACCTGAAATATTTTTGCTATTCTGTTTGATTTGGTCATGACATAGTGCAGTGGCTTTTTCTACGCCCTCAACCCGGATACCAAGGGCCTCTCCTACATCGCGTGAGCCAACTAAATAGTTTACAATACAGCAGATGCACGCCTTGATTTATCTAGACTGTATGTTGAGTCCTGTATCCAAAAAACAAAACAAAAAAGCCTTTTCTTTAACTAATCACTGCCCTTGATCCTCAGACCCGTTTCCAAAGTCGACATTGAGTTACAGGCCTCCCTTAGTATGCTGGTGGTGATAGAGCTCATCACTATGCAGCAATTCATGTTGACATCGTGTAATCATTAATGAGATGCTTTGTAACAAGGAGTTATCTGTAACACATCTTCTTGGTCCACCTAAAGGCAGTGCCGCTGGTGTCATGTTTTTCGCTGGGGGCGTCTCTCGCCTGTGCCTTGTTGGATCGCAACGCCTTGCGATCAGCCTTGTCTCGTGTCCCTGGAGAATCCAGGTCAGTTGGTTGGGTTCCTGATGGCGGCAGCGCTTATCAAAGTAGCCCCCCACGCCCCCTGGTCAATTCTGTAACACCAAGACATCTCTGAATGCCTGCAAAGACCAACAACAAGGCCTAGGGGTAGCCTTCAAGAATGTCTGCGCCTTGCAAGAGACAGGCGACCGCTGTTGGGTTGGCGTGGGGGAGTCGCAGAGCGAGCAGGGAGGTTTCCTGAGGCCTCCTCTGCTGAATACTTCTTGTGGAAGCTTCACCCGAATGCTCAGGATATAATAAGACGTTTTTTCTTCTCGCTGTTCATGTTGATATCCACTCCTCATACTATCTTTTTCTCCTCCGCCGACATTGTCTAGAGGACAATTTCCGCCCATCATATTCCATCAGCAAGTCAGCCCTTCAAGTGATAATCCAATTCCAATCGGTCATGGGTTACTACCAGGGCACTACCCCCGGCCAAAGCTGGGATCCGCGTTCTGTCCTGCAATTCGACAACCCACAGGTTGGATACCAGACCTGTTTCGGTACGGCAATCACATACGGACGTAGGTGCAGAAGACAAGTCTCCATCGGCCCGTTCATTCCCGCAAAACTGCAGGCCCAGGAACCACTGAAAGCAGCAAAATCTTCTTGGCTGAACGCTCTTGCTCTTGACGGCTTATGTTGGCAACACGTACACCAAGTCGACGATGTCATCGCCAGGTGGCGCCACGCCCTGCACAAGTTTGCCGAGACGCAGTCAGCGGGCACGAAGTCTTCTTCCAAAGGCCATGGCCCCAAACCCTCAACTGCTGGATCAAGACCTACACCTAAGACCGAGCAGAGACACCCCGATGTCGATGACATCATGGAGCAAATTCGCCGGCTTCGGGAAGAGTTGGAGAAGTTACTATCAGAGCAGAAGAGCTCGTCGAGTTACTCTTCTGGACCCAAGCCTTCGGCTCAGCAACCCCAGCAACAGGATCATGCGGAAGAGCAGCGCCGGCGGGAAGAGAGCGAGGAGAAAGCCAGAGAGGCCCGGAAGCGAGAAGATAGTGAACGAGCGGAGCGCGCGCGCGCAAAGAGACAAAAAGAGAAGGAGCGAGAGGAACGTGAGTGGTCGGACGCATGTGCAAGATACGAAGACAGATGGAGCAACATCGAAGCGGGAGGCGGCGGCCTTGCTAGCAGCCAGATCCCATGGCCTACAAAGTCTGGCAAAGGGACAACAGTCGACGAAAGAGCCGTGCGAGAGTTCTTCAGGAGGATGCCGTCTCTTCTGCTGTCTGACGAGCCCGGCGAGGAGAGGTTCCGCGTGATCTCGCGGGAGACGAAGCGGTGGCATCCCGACAAGCTGCAGGTTGGTTTGGGCGGGAAATCTTCGACGGTGAACACAAAGACAACATTGATGTGGTTTCGAAGCTGGTTTTCGTGCTTTGGAAAGATGCAGAGATGAACAGAGAGCAAAAATGAACGAACGCAGCCCAGCAGGTTTGGGAAAGTTTCGAAATGTTAATTCTTTCTCCAGCCCAGTCTCTCTTCTTACAGTTCAGAAAGTAGGGATGCCTTGCATCCCGCCGTGAGAAAACTGGTTACGAATCTCTAGCCATTTGCTTGTCCACTCGTTCGTAAACATAGCACTTTTGTTGATTAACCTACAACGTCCTATAACTCAAGCCCGCTCAAGTGCTCTTCGTATTGCATAACTGCGAACGTCAAAGGTAGGATAACCAAAGGAATTGCTCCAAGCAGATTATTTCCCGTCCAATCCCAAGGGCCAGGTACATCCTTGAACCCGTAAGAGGCAATACTCCATCAACAGGCAGTCGCAAAACGATGCTCGCCGCCAAGGTTCCACGCCACCTGTGTACAGACAACGCAGAGCCGCGAAGCGCATTCCATCCGCTGGCAATCACTACTAAACATCTGTAGCATGGCTAAACTTGATTTCCCGGCTTATGCGGCCCCAATAGTAAAGAAGTGTGACCTTGATCACAATGTCAGTGCTCACTTTTGAGGCGTAGAAGGCAATAACAACCTCTTATAGATGCTACAGACATTGCACTCAGGAATTATTTCCTGTCTTAAGTTTAATCACAGCAAAAACATATGTCCTAGGGAAACACACATGACCGCTAAGGGGAAGTAATAGTCTGTATGTTTGTATGTATGACAAGCAGTCCTAGTACTTTGTTATCGTCGCCCACCGAGCCTTTATAAGCTCTAGTTGCTCCATATTCCACCACATACGACCATACCCACTGGAGAACTCGGGATCCCGTCCGCTCTCCCATAGATAAGCCAGTGAGGGCCGGATTAGTAGTTGAGTCGGTGACGATCAGCGAATACCTGGTGTTGTATGTTTTTGCGTTTTTGTTTACCTCCGCCCAAGACGTTTCTCCTGGCCACAATGGTCATGATCCAATAGCATAATACGTTTTGGGCAACAATGCAGACTGGCTTTCACTCCCACCGGCATGGTGTACTGTGCTTCCTTCAGCCCCCTACTCAAATCGTCATCAGCCTATGGCAAGCCCGCATAGGGCAGTGGTGAAAATAACCTCGACCAAACGATGATTCCATCTTCGCCAATATCGTCGCTGCTGGCAGTCTCATCACAGTGTTCCGGACAGGATTGTCATCAAAGCGTGTTCTCATTTTCTATAGACTGTCTATTATCATCATAAACCCTTTACCACACACGCCACACGCTCTCAACTTTTCCTGATAACCCGCTCCCCAAAGACACACTCACAACTCCGCGACCACACACTCGTCTAAACAAAACATACGGAATTATGCCTTGGTCAACAAGTTGCTGCCAGTCATCTCCTCAGGCTGGGGCAGGCCCATGGCGGCCAGGACCGTGGGGGCGACGTCACCCAGGACGCCGCCCTCCTTCTTCAGGCTCCAGCCCTCGGGGGCGTTGGCCATGATGAAGGGCACCTTGTTGGTGGTGTGGGAGGTCTTGGGCTTGCCGTCGGGGAACTTCATCTCCTCAGCGTTGCCGTGGTCGGCAGTGATGAAGAGGACGTAGCCCTGCTTCTTGCAGGCCTCGTAGATCTTGCCGATGGCCTTGTCAGTGGCCTCGACACCGACGATGGCGGCCTCGTACACGCCCGTGTGGCCGACCATGTCGGGGGGCGCAAAGTTGTTCATGACGAAGGGGAACTTCTGCTCGCCGAGGCGCTTGGCGACCTGGTTGGCGACGCCGTCGGCCGACATCTCGGGGGCCTTGTCGTAGGTGGCGACGGACTTGTTAGAGGGGACGAGATCCTGCTTCTCGTCACGGGTCTCGAGGGCAAAGACCTTCTCGACACCGCCGTTGAAGAAGAAGGTGACGTGAGCGTACTTCTCAGTCTCGGCGATGTGCACCTGCTCGACGCCCTGCTTGCCGAGCCACTCAGCGAGGACATTGCCCATGTGCTGGGGCTTGAAGGCGACCTCGAAGGGGTAGTCGACCTTGTACTGGGTCATGGTGACCAGGTTCTTGATCTTGGGGTAGTTGAAGTCGGGAAGGACGGAGCGGTCGACGTCGCCGAGGAGCTGGGTGATCTGGCGGACACGGTCGGAGCGGTAGTTGAAGAAGAAGACGGTGTCGTCGTCTGCACCACTGTCAGCAAGAACAATGAGATTAGGAAACAGGAAGACATACCCTTGATGCGGCCCTCATCGCCGCCGACGATGATGGGGCTGAGGAACTCGTCCTTGTCCTTGTCGCCGCCGCGAGCGTAGCGCTCCCGGACAGTCTTGACGGGGTCGGTGCTCTCCTCGCCCTTGCCGTTGATCATACCATCGAGGGCAATCTGGACTCTCTCCCATCTCTTGTCTCGGTCCATGGCGTAGTAGCGGCCGACAACGGTTGCGATCTCACCGATGCCGATCTCGCCGGCGGTCTTAATGAGCTCCTCCATGTAGTCGGCACCGGACTTGGGGTCGACGTCGCGGCCATCGCCGAAGAAGTGGATGTAGACCTTGGGGACGCCGTACTGCTTGGCGGCCTTGAGAAGGTTGTAGAGGTGGACCTGCTTGGAGTGCTAGAGATGGCGTGTTAGTCTCTGGCTTTGGTGGGGTGATTTTTTCGGGGTTGCGCAAAACTCACCACACCACCGTGGGAGACGAGACCGCAGAGGTGCAGTCTGCCATTGCCGTTCTTGGCGCCCTCAAAGGTCCTCTTGATAACGTCGTTCTCGGCAAGCTTGCCCTCCTTGATCGTCTGGTCGATGCGAACAACGTCCTGCCAGACGACGCGGCCAGCGCCAATGTTCAAGTGGCCGACCTCAGAGTTGCCCATCAGGCCCTCGGGCAGGCCGACGGCGAGGGAGGAGGCCTCAAGCTCGCAGTAACCGGTCTTGCTCTGGGCGAAGCCGTCCATGACGGGCGTCTCCGCGTTGGTGATGGCGTCGCCATCCTTGGGGGAGTCGGCTCCGGGAACACCCCAGCCATCAATCACGACTGTAAGAGCGCAAGATCCACAAGATTAGCCAGCCGACCTGGAGATAAAGGACGATGTAGGCAAGAGTGAGAATGTAGTCTGGTTTGGATTTGGGGTTCTGTTGCTGATGTGGAGGGACTGCGACTCCTCCGGGCGCGTTCTGGCTCTGTTGGCCGGCCTCGACACTGATACCACCACCAACACCAACACTACCAGCGCGGGGCTTGGACGAGGGGCACGGAGGGTCTGGAGGGAGATCTTTGGACGTACTCAGGCAGGCCTTCTGGTCGGTCTGGGCCATGGTGGAATAGGTATATCTGCGGCTATTTCTTTACAGAAAGGTGTGAATAGGAAGAAAGAGAAGACAATTCTAGGAGATGCGTGATTTTTCCGAGTTTTTAGAGGTGGTGGTGAAGGTCTCTGCCGGTTGAGGAGATTTGATTGAATCAGCCAATGTACCTGAGCTTCCGGCCTGGGCTGTTTTATCGGTGTCGGTGTCTGGTGGGGGGTTGATGGGTTATGTCATAGTATCGCCGACAATAGAACCGTGTCGTTGCTTCCCGAAGTGGCACTGTCCGGTCATGGCCAAATTTGACGTGTTGCACAGTGACACAGAAACGCCGAACGGTGTGGGCACCTCGAGATGCCCCTCTGTTGACTTTCAACAATTTTTAGCTGCCAATCGCTGTCGCGCTAAAACGCCCGTGAAGCTTCCGAACACGCAACTTGTCTCGGCGGAGCTTCCCCCTGCTTCCACCTTTCGACCCTGCACGCACGGCAACCGCACCGCACCTCACTGCACTGAACCTCACCTGAATTGACTTTGACGCCTCGTCCTCTCAACCAACGGCAGCAACGACTTTGCGCACGTACTGTGAGGCTGAACAACTATTCGAACGTCTTTGCAAAACATCAATCGATCCATCGTACGCCGAAGCCGCCGTTCAACCCACGCCTGGCGACTCCCCTTCGTCGAGAAGCTCCCACAGCTCCAGGCCTCCCTCCGTCTGCTTCCCGTCCAGGAGCATCACGAAGCCAAGCCTCTCCCTCCGTCTATTTTCATCTCGAAACACCCACGGCCCCAAAATGCCGCCTCACCCCCTCGAGCTCCCCTCCACCCTCTCCCCCGACGCCCTCGACACCCTCACCGAGCTGACAGGCATCCTCACCCGCCTTCGCACCGCGATCCAGACCTCCGGCTCCGTCGGTGGCATCACCGGCGCCACGCCCGCAGGCACCGGCCCTGGCGCGACCCCGAACCCCCTCGGTGCCAGTCCCAACGCCCCGCTGTCCCTCAAGGATGTGCCCGCTCAGACCGACGCGCTGAAGCACAAGCTCCAGCGCGCCCGCACGCAGATGCGCCAGCTGCCAGACATGGATCGCTCCATCGACGAGCAAGAAGAGGAAATCAAGGAACTCGAGGAGCGTATCAAGATGCAGCGCGAGGTGCTGGATCGGCTGAGGGATGCGGGCGTCAAGTTTGGTCACGAGGAGGGCGGAACGGGCGACAAGATGGAGACGGAGTGACGGATCGCTGGACGGATGGGTTTCACGAAACTGCGAGGGGATGGCGTGTTTTTGCCGAATGACTCTTATGATACCCGAAATGCGACTACGATGATATTCGATTCAAACGAAGAGAGACGCTCCTTTTTTCTTTCTTTTCTGCGCCTGATCATGCATAATGTGACAAACAGCCGCCTTCCAAACTCCGTACCAGGACCTTAATTGAGGAGACCCGTAGATGGCACTAGACCTGTGACTGGCTCACTGCTTCGAAATACCCACGGCCTTGAGGATGTCGTGCAGATCCTTCCCGCGCTCGCCCGGGACGACCTTTGTCCAGATTTCGTCCGGCAGCCTCTGGTCCTCGGGCAGGATGCTCCAGTTCGGGCTAGGCTCCGACTTGAGCCACTTGAAATCGTCAACCTGATCCCACTGGTTCTTGACAGGGTCCTCCGGGGTGTCCTGCGCAATCATCAGCACCTATGTAACGGTATCTTGGCAATAGTGGGTTGACTTACAAAGCTGGCCGGGAGCGGCGCGAAGCGCATGTTGGAGCAGTCCTCGATGATGGGATGACTTGAGCAGTGCAGATAGATGTCGACGTTCTTGCACTCGTGAATGCGCACCTGCCGCGCGGACACGACGATGATGCTATCCGATACACCAGTGATATGCGCCGGCCCGGTAACATTGCCAGCGACGATCAGACTCTTCTCAATGTTCTTAAGCGCCAGGTTCGCAAACGAGGAGGTGCCAGACAGCGCCAGTGACATGTCAACAACACACCCCTTCAGATCTTTCAACCCTCCGGACGACGTCGCCCTCGCCGCCGACGTTGGCAGGATGATGTGCAGGCCCTCCTGGCCGAAGATGGAAATGTCCTTGGCGGTGGAGAAGCTGGGCTTGCGGACTTTCGTGGTGCTCGGCCGCGCCATCTCCTCGTTGTAGTTCTTGTGGAAGGACGGCAGCTCGCCGAGGCCGTCGGTCTCGGTCTGCACGTCCGGGGCGACGACGGGGCCGCCGCGGGATGCGGGCAGGGGGTCTGCGAGGGAGCTTCCCACGAGCAGCCGCGGGTCGTTCTTGGGGGCGGCCAGGTCACTGGTCGCCGTGCTCGCGCCGCGTGGCTTGAACTGGAACCGTGAACGAGGGGCGAGCTTTGTTGTCGTCTCATTCAGCTTGTCCGTGAGAGCTTTGACGGCCTGTTGAGGTGTCAGAGCATGGGCGATCTCCCGAGGCGTAGACCAACTCACCTGAGCGTAATTACGCTGGTCGTACGAGGGAACATAGTCGGAGGCATCGGCGACCTCGTTGGAGAGGTTCGAGATGCCGGCCAGAATGTGGTCAATGGCATCTTGCCTCTCACCACCAACCAGAGCTATGGAGCCGATGCCGTTGATCTGCTCTTGAAGGCCTGGTGCGGGGCTGATCAGTACAACATCAGACGACCGAGTCGGGCCTTATGTGAACATACTAACAACCTCTTCCTGGAAGTGGCGGTAAAACTTCTCCTTGGGGTCCTGCATCTTGGTTACTGGGAATGCTCCTCCACCTACGGCGAAACGCTGAAGTACATCAGGCGCCATCGTCGGTTGCCGGTGTATATAAGAATATGATTTATGTCTTTTATATACTGGGTACGACGTGACAAGACAATGAAGAAACTCGGGGCTTGTGTTTCAACGAGTCAAGGACAGAAAGAGGGCCTACCTGGCGTAGGTAGACAAGTTTAATAGTGTAAGACCTTGGGGGGAAGAATAGTGGCGTGTTCTCCCGACGAGTGTGACGAAGGGGTCTTTTAAAAAACAGAAGACAATCGCAAACAAAAGACCACGCGACGTCTTTCTACTTTCTGTTGTCCGTGACAGACCTTGACGAGTTGCAGGTCTGGCGCGGTGACGTCGCTACGTCGCGGTGGGGGGAGGCAAAGACGAATGGAAGATTCGGGGATGTTGGAGGCTGCAACAGGTCAGACGGCTACGTCGAAAGGGTGTGCACACGGTCGTCCCAAGTGAGGAAGGACCGAGAGTGTAAAATCAAAGCACCTTACTTCCTGGAGCGAAACGAGGTGCCGAGTCGGACGATGATGGCTGGTGGAACTGCAGGTGTGAGGTGATCGATTCATGTCCTCGCTGCGGTGTTTCTTGCTACGGGTGAGCCATTCCCGAATCGAGGAGATGGGAGCAGGGGACTCGCTGAAAGGAGGATGCAAAGGGCAGTTGGCGGGGTCACAACGGTCATGGTTCCAAGGGAGCGGATTGGCGCAATGGCCGGGGTTTTCTTCAGTGTCAGTGGACTGTGGACCCTGAACCGGCGCAGCTGTGGAGACGTTCTTCCAAGCTGAGCTTCAACTTCCAACTTCCACACTACTCCCTTTTCCCTTTTTTCTTTTTCTTTTTCTGCACCCGATGCCCTCGTCGCGCAAGGGTGGCTACATATCGTCACCCGGTGGCAGTGGCACCAACTGCATTAACATCATCAAGCCCGTCCACACAACATCCACATAACCCAAGTCGGAGTGGGGTCTGGCTTGCTTGGACGACGAACGATGGACGCCTCCCCCGCACCGGGCGCCATCCAGACCCTGGATCGACGAACGTAGGTACACTAGGATGCGACAGTGAGTCTGAGGAACCCGGGCCAGGTCTGACGTCGTTTGCATGGAGACCACCGGGTACGCAGCCCTGCCGACGTCCCGCACAAAGCTGAGCAGGAAGCCCTTGGGATGAAGTAATGGATGGAGATGCTGTCCTGTGGGGACTTGCAAACGCCAACAACTGCCCTAGCTGGACATGGTCAACATGGATGTAAGACTACATCGACAAGGGTGACCGCTCGTCCTGCAAAATTGCAACAACGGCTGTCAACAGGATGTGAAGTCTCGGAAGTAATGGCTTTGGTTCGCATTGAGCTGTCTACTGTTCGAGACTTCCCGCGCACTGCGTCCGTTCTTTAGAGTTTTGGGGTGTATGCGAGCTCTTCTTGACATCATCGTCTCTCGGTCTCCTTGCAGTCCGCCAGCGTCAAACAAGATGCCGGCAAGCCGGCTACGCATGTACACAAGCAACTTGGGACGACAATGAGCACGTGGACGACCTGTAGGTAGGACTGGTACGCAGAGAAAGCAACAATCGGCCCCTCTTACGTCGTGAACCTTTGTTGATGAAGCTCGAAGCAACACTTGATATCACAGACTACCACACAGAACCGTCAGAGGAAAGCTTTTACGGGAGCAATCCGTCAGAATTCAAAAGGAGTGCAGTACACTCAAGTGGGTATCTCAAACATCATCTCAGAGCCAGCGCCAGCGGAAAAGAAACCAAGAAAGCTCAAGGCAGCGATCTTCAAACAATCAGCGCCAAATACCCACGAGCGGGAGCTTTCCAGCCTCTCAAAGTTCACTCTCGCTCTCAACCCCGAAATCCCTTTCCATCCTCTCCTCCAGCTCGTCTCTGAGTTCCTGTAGTCTCTTCTCTGCCTCCTCCTGCTGGCGATCCATTTCCTCAACCCATTCTCCCGGGGCAGCAGCAGCCTCGAGCGTCTGCGACTGCTGCGCCTGATACCGCCTATCTTCGACCTCCATCCTCTGTAGCTGCCACGCGCGCTCCGCCGCGTCCCTTTCTTGGCGGCGTTGGTGGTATCTCTCGTCGTGCGCCATGCACGCCGCTTTTTCCGCGCGGCGCTTCTGCTTCTTCTGGATGCGGAGGTGCCTCTCGCGGAGGGCCTCTTCTTCTTCATAGTTGATTTTGGGCCCCTGTGGGCGGTTTAGGTCACGTAGCTGTCTCCACTTGCCCGGGACGAGGCTGTTTTCGAGGGTGTCGAGCCACTGTTTCTGTAGGGCGTAGTACTCGTCCGTGAAGTGGCACTTGTTCCCCTCCGGGATAGCGTTGCCGATGACGACCTCGCCATCAGGAGTGGTCAAAATGATGCTGGGGATCTTTGGGAATAGTTCATCCTCGTCATCCAGGAGGAATAGTCTCTCATCACTACCCGCCTCCGAAATCTCGTCCTGAGAGAGCTCCTCGATCCCGTGTTTATTGAAGTAGTAAATTTGGTCCACACCATAATCATTATTGCCTTCGTCCTCCGAGAAGAATTCATCACCGCAGTCGAAAAAGCCACAGATTTCATTGTTCAGGACCCAGCTGTCGAGGCCTAGGTAGTCGACCTCCTTCTGCCTGCTGTCGCGTGCGGTTATGTACTGGGTCTGATAGATAGGTTTGACCTCGATGATGGGCTCGAAGTCTTGGGTCTGCGTCAAGTCCTGGGTGGGGTTTGATATATGTTGGTGAGAGAGCTTAGCCGCGGCGCGGGATAGTACGCGGGCAGTCCAGGACACGCCCTCCATGGCGGCTGTTCGACATGCCGTGTAGGCAATAGATGAGGGGACCTGAGTGTTCATGGTGTGCTTTTTGTGGGTAGCGATGAAAACGACTGCAATGGGAGGAGGCCAGGTTGGGCTCGTTTGGTTTGTTAGAGGAGGATGATGATGGGATAAGATGAGATTTGGGTTATCCGATCAGGGAGTGTTGTAAGAGAATTTGAAGACTTGTTGGGGTGATCATGAAGAAGACTTGTTTGTATGTGGATAATGGAGCAAGTCTGTTGGGGTTTGTATAATCGTACGAGCCGTATGTACAGAACGAAGAGTGATTGTGCCGATATTGAGATTGTGGGATGTGTAGAAGAGTGAGGGAGATGAAGAGCAGCACGATTTCAGAGCAGCTTCGATTTCTTTTCTATCTTAAGGGAAATATTTGAGATGCCTCCCATGAGAACCGATAACCATCAGATCCCGGAGCAGCTTGGTTGGCTCCTAAGAGAGCCATGGACTACGATATTGGGGTGGGTTAGACGTCGAAAGGTCCGTGGTTCGGGTAAGGCCGTTCCTGTCGTGAATTTTACTTGTATCTGTTGACAGAAGTAAGAAGAAGAGTAACGTCAGCACACCATGCGACTAGATGCGCTGCTGAACGTCAAGGCGAATGTCAATTTTCCCTTCAGGCACTGTGGTCCTGTTGCTTATTCTTGGTTGAGCCTAGGGTTTCCGAACCGTTAATGTAGGCAACAGGTTTGTAAACCTAGATATATTGCTTCGACCTTGGGTCTTCCGATTGCTTCCATGGTACTGTAGCTTAACTTTGTCACAATGAGTCTTCAACCTTGCCGCCTTCCAACTACGGTATTTCTTCGGCAGGGAGTTCTCGTCATCACCAGGCTGTCAGGAGCCAGCCACCGGCTGACTACGGGGCCCTCGAAGGAGGCTTTCTTGGAATGAAGCAAAGCCACACCAACATACCGTAGCTAATGGATCCAACCTCCGCAGACTTCAATCTCCTGACTCTCTTATATGACCTTATCCGTGCTGCTGCCCGCATTGAACTGGATGTGGCCTCAAATTGGCCGAAAGGCAGTGAGGTAAGGCATGGAAAATCTCATTGTCGCACGCTGAAATGCCAAAGTGTATGCCTCGCCCGTTCGATATGCTCGCTCGCTCCCTAGAGAGAGGTACACTTGAAGCCCTTGAGCCCATTCACCGTCGTCTCCTGGCACTTGATGTCATTCGTCGACGTGAAGATGACACTCGCGCTGCCATTGGTCGAGGCCTCATAGTCGACGCTGATAGGAATGTGGGTTAGCCAGATCGGACACTTGGCGGGAGTTTCCTCCCCCGCCGATTCGGACCTCGATTGCTAAGGGGGGGGTAGGCTCAAAAGGGGTAGAAGCAGATCCGTATTGTCTTCCGCTCAAGAATGGATAGAGACCGTCGCACGGGCATGGAATGTGGGTTTGCTTACGTGGTGTTGAAGCTGAGAGGGCCGTTTACACCGATCCCGAGGCCTATGGTCATCGTTTCCTCGGTGATGGTGAACCCGCCGCCGAGGCCGAAGGATTCGGAACCGGATTGAAGGCCACCTGTGATGATTACCGCACGTTAGCCAGCCGCTTTCCTACGTTGGTCACGTTTGTCTGGTTTCCTTCCTTCTCTTCCCTCTCCAAGCCACTACGTTGCCTCTCGTGACCGGCAAAACACTCTCTCCAGTCTTCCTCGTCAAGATGCCGAACCCAAAGTCCGGCTCAGAACACACCACGACTGACTGACGGGAGCAAGCTCACCTCCATAACTCTTGCCCTCGGCCCAGTTGATTCCGCACCCAACCCCGATCCCGCCAAACGGTTCCAGCGTCCCGGCCGCGCTGACCGCGCCAGTCCCCGACGTCGCCGAGACGTTCTTGTTCAGCGCCGTAATATAGACCGCCGGCTTGGTCTCGTCGTTGACGGTGCCCTGGCGCGGACTCAGCCGCTCGGCGGAGGCGAGGCCGGCGAGGGCGAGAAGAGCAAAGATCGACCTAACCATTGTCTTGCTGTCGGATGCCTTTGTACGGTCTCAGGGGATGGGTTGTCTTGCAGGCAATATAAACCACCGTTGGTGATTGAGATGCTTGTAGGCGCCGAGACGATGCGGTTGGAATGAGCGACTGTAGTGGGTTGAATCGACACTTTTCATGCCAATCTCAGGATTCTGTCGCGAGAAATCGGCGCGGCGGGGGGCTTATGCTTATGTCTTACGGCTTCCCATGCTGGCCCATCGACTGCTTCAGAACGCCGTGAAAGGGGGCGGAGACGTATTCTAGTCATCTAAACTCTAACGGATTGGACACTTCAATATGCGGGCCTACCGTAGGCATAGGCCTGCACTACACGCATCTGCGGCGGCTTCTCCGGGGTGCCATACATGGAGCTCCCACCGGCAGTCCGTCTCGAGGAGTGACGTTCTTAATATATTCGAAAAGTCTAATTTGCGACGAACCTGGCCCCTGCGCCTTGTACTAGCCTCCTGTTTGTGGTGAAGCCCGGGCAGACTGGTTCATAGGGCAGGGTCGAGGCGGCCAATATAGCTTGGTGATAATGGGCTTGTAACTCGCAGAGGCTGTCTTGTGATCGGTGATCGGAGAGGCAGTGGCATTGTTGATCGTGACAGCAGACTCCGGCTTTATAGAACAGTGATAGCTCGAGTTCGAAGGCGTGAACTGAGACGCCCTGGACCAGGTTTAAGAGGCTATCCTTGCCTACGAGTCAGTATGCCCGCCGAGTTGAGTTTTGCTGCGGTTCACGCGAGTCTGAGTTGCGAAACCGACTGTCGCTCACTTGGCTCACTGCGTTTGGCCAGGTAGCAGGCTGTCTGGTAATGACATGCTTCGCATAAGTCTATTCTCAAAGAGTGTTTACACGGCTTTCGCAGACCCTGACGTCAAGCCAGTTTGTACATAAACAGTGACCGCCCAAAGGAATCGTCATCGTAAACACATTCAACAGGTCGTTCGAACATTCCCATCATTCATCCATCTACCCGGTTAGTCGCCCAGCGAACCTCCCCTTCCGCCTATGGCTGTGCCTATCTAATGCTCTCTAAAAGTGCTGCGTTTGTCGTTGATGCCGTCATTTCCTGTTTCACATATTCCATTTCTCGTAAACCCGTTCGTTCCAATGTTCACATGCCAGACGTGTCCCGTCTAGTCTGATGCCAAGGCATCGAAATGCGTCTACCCAAGTGGGAGGCCGTCTCCTCTACCCAAACCGTTGCCCATGCAAAGGCGAAGAATGAAAAGCATACGAAGAAAAGAAAAGAGGCACCCGACCGTGCCGTACAGTAGTCATTCGCTTCAAACGACGATGGGGTTGCGAGGCTCAGTCCCCTGGTCCTCGACCATCTCCAAGAACCGGGAGCACGGCGGCAACCGCACCCGCGCCCGGTGTGAGCTAGCCGGCCACTCCCGGATCGAGTCGTAAAACTCGAGGCGAGCCGGCGTTGACGCGGAGTGCAGTCCGCGCAGGCTCTGCCGGCAAGTTTTGGACTTCAGCAGAGCGATGCGCGGCGGCGTCAGGCTCAGTTGCCGAACGGGCTCTGAGTGCTGGCGTCGGCGTCGGACCTGTGTCGGTGGGGACTTGGGCCGTTCCGACACGAGCTGGAGCTTGGGCGGGAGTACCTCTGTCGGCGTCTGGGGAGGAGGCGAGGCAGAGGATACTGAGCTGCGGTCACCGGTGACGCCGCACATGGGCGCAGAAGACATACCCAAGTCGCTGGTAAGCTGCAGAGACACAGGCCGAGAGTCGGGAGATTGTCCATAGCCGCGCTGAAAGGGGCCGGGCCCTGAGTTCCCGGATACTCGTCCACCTCGCGCCTGACGACGGCGGCCGCGGCGCGCGCTTGCATCCTTCTCCTCCGTGCGCACTCGGAGTTGAGAGAGCTCATCAGCTTCTCCAAGACTTTCCATGGGAAGATGACTGTGCCCACCTCCCAGGCCCTGCCGGCGCCAAGCTCCGTAGAAAAGAAGCTTGTCCACGCGCGGGCGTTGGAACACGGATCGCCGAGAATCATGCCCTCCCCGGAAGTCCGCATGCGCAGCATCAGTTCGGACCGCTCTCGTTTCGAAAAGGGCTGATACGACATTGACGATGCGTTTACCATGTGTTGCAACAAAGCCAGGGCCTCGGAGGCCTTAAAGAACTCGGCAAAGGGTCCGCCTAGCGGGAGGGAGGTTTGCCGATAGCAGGTAATGTTCGGTTGTCCTGACCTTGATGAGCTAGCTGCCGTCAGGATGAGGGTGACGGCGCGGTTGTTGCGAGTGAGGGCGACAGCGTAGTTCTGGTGTGGTGAGGACGTCTCTCGAGATGGTTTGTTGGGTGGATTGTCTCCCCAGCGAGATATAGGGTCATGATAGGGATGCTGCTTGGTGTCGTGGCCAACGACCGACGTTGTCTCAGTACCGACCCGGTACTGGCTTTCTGAGTAAAAGCTTTGGAGGCTACAGCTGTCCGAATGAGAGCGCAGGTGAGGATGACTGGTTCGAACCGGTGTCAGAGGCTGTACGAGTGGCTCCGACGAGAAGTACGAGTCGAACTTGGTAGGCGGCGTCTCCGGCCCGAAGGATGACGTCCGCGTCCTCACATCTGAAGGAGTGTCTTGTCGCAGCTCGGGAGTCCGGTCCGATTGCAGATGTGGGAGGTCCGGCGAGTATCTTGATCCTTCGTCGGGAGACGCCCGAGGAGACGACTTTGCGTATCCGGTTGGCGGCCGGAAACCAAAAACCGAGTTAAGCTTGCTAACGGTCTGGGCTGTGGAGTCGTCGACCTCCCAATGTGATGCTGGTGAGCGAAACGAATCCGTGGACGGCCACCTGGCGTGGGAGACTGGCCCTTCGACGTTTCTGCGTGGCATAGAAGAATACATGGGAAAAGATGACATGATGAACAGAAAAGCAGACGAAAGAGAAAGCGCTTTGCTTTTCGGAACGCAGCTCAATCGTGAGAAAAGAGTGAACTTTGGCCGCTCACTCGTCAGCAGACCTTTCATATATACGGAAGACTTCTTCTCAACGCGGTCCAACCACACAACCGGTCCAAGAGGGGGGGGGGGGGGGGGGGGGGGGGGGGGGGGGGGGGGGGGGGGGGGGGGGGGGGGGCGGTCAGCCAACTCAACACACACCGAGACACAATGTCTTGAGTCTTTCCACAGCAGCCAATCTCTCTCGGAGCCAACATACCTAGGGCAGCATGTTTTCTTTTCCATCATCGCATACAACGCGCAGCACGCTGAGGGACGTTGGTAGGGCTATCCTCGTCGACGGCATGGGCTGAGGCCAAAGACCCCCCCCCACCTGACCGGGCATTTGGGAGACACAACACCATCACTTTTGTTAGTGTGCGTCAGTGTTCCCACAGCCTTGATGCCCCATGCCCCTCCCTGCATGCCTCCCGAAGAGATCATCCTTCTGCTTATGCGGAAAAGAAAAGTGAACTCCAATCAGTGGGCTCGGGAAGCCTCCCGCATGCTGCTTGCCGGTCCATAGCCTCGTGTCAACCGGCCGAAATTGTGGCATTACCGATTGATCGCATGCGTCGCTGCCCGAGGGAGAAAGAATGACAGCAAAAAGCAACGTTTGCTCCGAAGGGCCTATGAGTGGTCGGCTTCTTGCATGAAAGCGGGCTGTGGGCGGCTTTGCTGCACGATATATCACTTTTCCCCCCCTCGTCTGTGTGGAGGAACGAAACAAGCCAATTCTAGCCGAAGAGGAGGTGCAGCAACAATAACAACAACAATAAGACGTGAGCGCATGCTGCGTTGGCAACTGGCTGTTCCTTTTTTTTAACGGCAAACTGTTCGTGTTTGGAATTCCTTACCCAAGCCGCACGAAGAAAAACCAGGAATGCGCCTCGGGAGATTGACGTCTATGAGAAACTCGGCGCGCCCCGAGGCATTGCTCACCGCTGTATTGGGAATATGTGACATGGCGCGAGGGTCGTGGAAGAAGCAAAAAGGGAAAAGCAAGGTGTTCCGTCCAAGCGCGGCCGTATGAGACCTTCAGAGACAGGACGAGACAGTTGCAGACGGCGAATTAGACCCATGGCCAATTAATGTCCGCAGGGAGCCTGTTCTATTACAAAGCCGTAGAGCTGTCGTGGTTGGCGGACGACTCTCGGAGACGTAACGAGCGTTTGTTGACGTGGTCAGTCCGTGTAACACAAATTGATTGCAGTGGATTCCTGGGTGTCGCGCTCAGCCGTGGCAGACTCAGACAGAGTCAAAGGGCAACGAGACAGGGCTGCAATGCAAAGGTGCGTAACGTCATGCGATGCAACACAGGAGACTGGGGGGGAGGGGGGAGAGAGTGACGGCCGGTGGACAGGGCCGTTTGACGTTGCGCTGCAGCTGAAAAGCTCCGAGGTGTGTTAAAACGAAGTGTGTGTGGATGTCGCACGCGGCATTGCGAGGGTGAGCTGTGACGTGAGGGACGAGTTGTGAAGGCGGGAGAAATGACTGTCTGTGATGAATGGTCCGCAATTGTGGCTGCTGCGAGGACGCCCAGCCACATTCGTCCAGTTACAGGTAGGTGGTGGAACAGTCATCGCTCCCAGCCACGACAGTGCAGCCATCCAGCCATTCAAGTGGCCGAATCCACAAGGCAAGGAAGTAGTTGTCGCTGATGGGGCGGGTTCTTCTTGCCCAATTCGGTTCTTCGTATGGTCGCCTTGGTCCATGTTCCATCGTCTGATGTATTGCCCGACACTGACCTTGATTTAATTGACATTGACATCCCATGAAATATGGAGCATGTCGAAGTCTGGTCAACAAGTGCGCCCTTACAACGACATGAACGACAGAATCGACAGGTCAGTTGCCTTAATGGTAACCCATCCATGGTCTTGATTCGCCAATTCAGTTCCTGCCTGGACTGTCAGCCCTTGGCGCAGCCAAAGCCTCAACCAACAACCCAAATAATGGTTCCAGGTCTGTTGCAGTGGACGTGTGGAGAAGCGAGTCGAAGGATGGATCGAACTACACACATTGACTCACTCACCACGAGAAGTTGCAGTCATACCCATCTTCAAACGTAGACAATCAGCATATAAGCGTCCGGCCTACTGGTCTTCGAGGATTCCGAGTCCAATGAGGACGCCAAAACTTGCCAGAGTACTGCAAACAATACTTTGACCACCAAAACGTTGTTAATCGCTTCAGCCAGAGTTATCAATATGGCCTCCGCCGCTACACTCTCACTTACACCAACACCGTCAATACTTGGTGGCTTTGTTCCTCAGTCTTATGACATGACACAAATATCATCCCCCAATACCAACATGCCTGACAGCAACGACGCTACTCGGGTCGACATGGACGAGGCGATCCGCCTGGCCGCCCTCTGCCGGCAGGCTTTTAATCTCCTGAATGCCCATATGCCCGACTTCAACCACTCAAAAGCCTACACTGCTGATGAGATACTCGCGCTGCCCATAGACACTGTCCGCCTGGCCGATGAGTTGCACGGTCTCCCCCGCCGGAAATCTGGGCGATCCCATCTGGCCGGGGCCATTGCAACGCTGTTGTATCCCGCCACTTACGAGGATGCTGTGTCACCCGTCATACGGTACGACGCTGCGCGGGTGAGACTGCGTGCGTGGGTAGCCCTGCAGCGGAAATACGACATCTTTGCCGCTACCAAACGGAACGGCCACAGCTTCCGCGGCTTGACTGGCGGCGCTGCACCCGGTGTGCATGCGCCTGTCTGGGCATCCCGGATCCTTGCTCAGGGCCCGTGGGACCCGGCCAAGCTCCCCGTGGCCCTGGCTGGCACGAAAGCCATTCCAATGCCCGTCGCCGTCGCCGATGCCGCCGATCTGGCTCCGTTCTTCGGCCACCTCGAGCAGGGCGGCACCCATGAGCTCGATGAGAACTCCGCCGGTACTGACCTCGACGGCGGCAAGGGCGAGCCCATCTACGGTGTCAGAGGCGCCGAGTTCCGCAAAGGCGTCGTCTACGAGGACGGCCGCATGGATTTGTGCAAAATGGTTGTTGGCCCAGATCACATCGGCAACCTGATGGATAGCTTACGGCCGAACCCCTTCGTCCGACATTTCCTTTTAGGCAATAACATCATTGGCCCGGTTGGCGCTCAGGAGATCGCTGGGTTCATCCGGGAGTTCCCCGACCGTATGGACACTTGGTATCTGGCAGGCAACTGCATCGACGCCCCCAGCTTCAAGACACTTGTCGACGCCTTGATCAAGTCGGACGCAGTGACCAACGTTTGGCTTAAACGAAATCCACTAGGTCCCGCGGCTGCTGCAGATGTCTACCGCCTCATCACTGAGACAAAAAACCTTCGCACGTTGGACCTCGACCAGACCGAGCTCGGGGATGCCGGTGTCGCAGAGCTGTTCCGGCGTCTGACCATGTTCTCTCTTGCTGTTCCCGGCCGTACGCAACTACCCCTGCGCAATATTTACTTGAACGGCAACGGCATTTCGACCAAGGCTGCATTTGCGATCGCCGCCTTCTTGGGTTCGCCTGCCTGTGGCATCACCTCGCTCTACTTGTCATGCAACCCCTTGGGCGATAAAGGTGCACAAGTTCTTGCTTCTGGCATCTGCAAGGCCGACCAGCTCTCTCGGCTATCACTGCAGTCCACCGGTCTAACAGCTGCTGGGGCTGTTGACATCGTCCAGGCCATCACGTCGCATCCCCGTATGCGCTCCTTGGATGTTGGCCAGGCGTATGCGACCGTTGACCTTGGCCAGGCGTGGAACTACATCGATAACGATGCTGTTCCATCAATCTGCGAGCTCGTGTCAACCAACCAGACTCTCAAGTACCTGAACCTGGGCCACTGCCCCATCACACCGCCAGAGCTGCGCAAGATCGACGCCGCTGTCTTGAAAAGCTCTCTGCTGTACTACAATACGTACTCGATCCTTCCGGATCCGAATGCAAAGACTCCAACATTCAACCCATCAGCTGATCATACGATGCCAGACATGCACTCGTGGTCGGCACCGACCAAAGATGAAAAGGTCCTCGAGAAGGCCGTCGACAACCACCTGGAGGCGAATGTCAAAGCCACATATGGAAACCACATGACTTACGCAAAATTCCTTGATGGGGAGAAACGATGGATCGTCAACGACAAGACTGACGTGCGCAAAATCGATTCCGTGTACCGCAATCGCGACGCCGGTAATGCTCGACGCAGGCTGCAGGTCCTGGTCAAAGACTGGGATGAGAACGACGACACACTCGAGCGAGTCATGAGTGCCAAAGGTCCTTTCTGCACTATACGCAAACACTGAGCTGCTTTGCTTGTAGTGAAGTGATTCGCGAAAGAGGACGTCTAACTGGATGTGTCAGAGAACAGATACGGAGCGGGCGAGCCTCCTCGGGCATGGACAGTAGAGGGTGGCATAAGTGCAAAGACTCCACAAGCTGTCTGGGATTATGGATGTTGAAAATCCAGATTTTCCTAACAACAACAAATTGTCTCAGGTCTATTAGTCTAGTTGGTTAGGACGTCGGATTCTGATCATACTCAGTCTCTTCCGTAGGCCCAGGTTCGAATCCTGGATGGACCTTTCCTTTTGCCCTATACGAGGAGTAGGGACGACTGGTTGTTTGTCATCTCGCGGTTTTCATGCTGGAGGCTTTTTCTTAATTGTGATTTCAAGTATGCATGCATGTAGCGAGGGCTTTGGAAGGAGGACAATGGTTTACCGGGAGCTCAGACCTTGAGGGAACCTGTACTAACAAAGCGCTGCCTTATGTAAGCCTTAACGTCATTGCTAGCTAGGGACGCGAGTCCATCGATCAACAATCAACAGATCGTCAGTGGGACACACCAACTGCGCCCTGGACATTCCCATCGCAGCGCCGTGCGCTCGTGACTCGATCCGTTCGCATATCTCTGTGAGACAAGACCCTGCTTCCAGACTCAATATTCGAAGACTGTTCAGACCCATCCCTCGTGGAACCCTCCCGCGCCCACCTCCCGACCTATACTAGATCTCGACCTTCGTTTACCCCTGCAAGGTCGCCTCGAGCCCACGAGACCCCAAAGTTTAATTGATTCATCGCGCGCGCGCGCGCGCGCTGGGACTGTCCTATCGCATACCTACCTACCAAAGACCTCCGTTATTTCTTTTTTGTTTTCCCCAGCACACCACCACGCATGCCCCGAGCATGGCGCCGGTGAAGCGCAAGCGACCCCACGACGAGCCCGAACCACCTCCGCTCCCCACCGCTGCCGCCGCCGCAGTAGCACCCGCCGAGCCGACGACGCGTCGCGCAACGCGTCAAACTCCGATCTTGCCCCCTCCGATCCCGACCTCCGCCACCACCTCCCAACCGCAATCGCAGCCTTTGGCCCCCGCCGCCGTCGCCGAGGAGAAGCTTCCCGGCGGACGACGTCCTTCGACTTCGAGACCACACCCCCCAACCAAGATCTCCGAGACCCCAATACCCATACCGAAGCCCCCATCCTCCTCGACGCACCCTCCTCCACACCAACCACCACCTGTCCAACCGACAAATCAGCAGCCGTCAAGCTCGGCGCACCCAGAACCCCGCGTAACCCGTCAAAGACGTGAGAGCGCAGTCGACCCTCCCAAGATGGCGGCCAAAGAGGCCAAGGAGAACGTCAGGCCCGTGACGCTCGTCGCGCCCAAAATCACATACCAAGCACCACAGACCCAACTCCACCGGACGGGCAGCCTCGTTCGACCTAGCCCTCCCACGGGCCAGCCGCCCATCACACAGCACTTCCGACCCGTGTCGACCCGGCCGTACCACACCATCCCCACCACCGTCACCGCCGTGCCCGTCCCCGTGCCCCGACGTCGACATCAACACCGTCGAAACCCGCCCTGGTAGCGTCAGCCCCGAGAACGACGGACAAATCGGCCCCGCGGACCGACCGCAACATCGACAAGGTGATGCTCGGCAATATCTGCTTCCGCGCGTGGTACCCCTCGTACTACGGCAAGGAAGTCCTCGGCGACGCCGCGGGCGCGAAAGGCGGTGCTGGGAGCAAGAACCTGCACCACGACGTGGCCGGCGCGCACAACAGCAACAGCGGGGTCGGCGCCAAAAACACCCACCGAAAGGGCGCCGACGCGCCCATACTCGACAGGCTGTACGTGTGTCCCGTGTGCTTCAAGTACTCGAAAGAGCTGGTGGCGTGGTGGGGTCACGTCCGCGTGTGCGAGCGTGCGGGGACGGTGCCGGGGAGGAAGGTCTACATGCACCCGCGCGGGAGGAGGTTGGTGCGCAAAGAGATTGCGCGGACGACGGGCAAGAAGACCAACGTCGCGCCAAAGTATACGGAGGAGTACGTGACTGACGAGGGCGAGTGGAGCGTATGGGAGGTGGATGGGGAGCAGGACGTGGTAAGCTAAGGCTCCCCCTTTTCACCAACAACCTTTCACTAGTAAAAGAATGTCGTACTGACGCGGGACAACGACAGCTCTTTTGCCAAAACCTCTCCCTCTTCGCCAAGCTTTTCCTCGACAACAAATCCGTCTTCTTCGACGTCCGCGGCTTCAACTACTTCCTCCTCGTCTACACGCCGCCCCCGAAACCCAACAGCCCGGACCCCCCGCCGCGTCCGCACATCGTCGGCTTCTTCTCCAAGGAGAAGATGTCGTGGGACAACAACAACCTCGCCTGCATCCTCGTGTTCCCGCCCTGGCAGCGCAAGGGTCTCGGCGCGCTGCTGATGGGCGTGTCGTACGAGATCTCGCGGCGCGAGGGCGTGCTGGGCGGGCCTGAGAAGCCCATCTCCGAGCTGGGCCGCAAGGGCTACAAGCGGTTCTGGGGCGGCGAAGTGGCGCGGTGGTTGCTGAGTTGTCCGACGAACGGGAGGGGAGGGGCGGCGACGCCGACCCGGCGTTGTTGGTTGACCTCGAGGACTGCAGCCGGGCGACGTGGATAGCGTTGGAGGATTGCCTTGCTACCTTGAGAGAGATGGGGGTTGTCACGGAGGCTGGCAAGGGGCCTGGGAAGCCCCCCCCAAAGAAGAAGAGGAGGAGGAAGAGCGATGGTGCGGAAGCGGGGATGGGGAGGACGGAGACGAGGATGTAGAGATGGAGGAGGCGGAACCTGAGCCCGAGTCCAGGCCGGATGTGCCGCGGGTCAAGGTCGATAAGGCGGCTGTGTGGGCCTGGGTTGCCGCGAACGGGATTAGTCTGGAGAAGGTGTGTGATCCGGATGGGTTCGTGGAGGGTATGCCATCAAGAAGCCTGATGTGGAAGAAGAGAGCGAGTGAAAGATATCCAAGATTATTCATTCAATAATCAGCCATGTTCCCCCATCACGTTTGTGCTTGGGGAGGTTGGGGTCCCTGACTGGATGGTTGATGATGTAAACATGAAACGCTTGTGTAAAGAGCGCAGTACGTAGACAAACGCGGATGCTACATCTTCAGCAGTTGGATCATCAGCGAACGCTGATGTATCATCTTGTGTCAAAAAACCACACATCCGCGGCGGTTGTCCCAACCCGCCCCGTCATGGTAATCAATGCCAACCCCTGTGATGACCGACTTTTCGTCTTCATTCAAGCTGAGATACCACTGACTTGTATACTTTGGATCGTCCATCTTCTTCAGTCGCGGTCACGGGAGCACTTTGGAAGCCACACACCTCCCGTTGACGGGTTCCCGACTCACATGTCAGAAGGAAAGTGACAGTCATAAATGACCCCGTTGTCGATTTGCTCGCAGTACTTGGCGTATAGCTCCCAATCAGGCCACCACTGCGCGCCCAGACGAAGCATACGCGCCGCAATGTCGTCTTCGTCGTCATCGGGTGATGGTTTGGTATCGTGGGTGCGGGGCATTGCGAGGTATTGGAGGTCGACGGGCATCGGCACCGACTGAACGACGCCGCCGATTGAAGGGTATGCGACGAGGTGGCCGGACCCGACGTCGAAGATGTTCGACCTCATGGACTGGTCGGGCCGCGTGTAGACCACATCAGCTTAGTCGCTGCAGATTCCCGCATCGTCATAGTTGCCGCGTGTTTTCCAGTTCATCAGACATGGTTTACTACTTTAGGGTTCGAAGATTTGATGCTTGGGAGGTGGGCAGGGAGTTAGAGCAAGAGTGTGTGATGGCCGTTGGGAATCATAAAGGATGTATGCGTGATAAGGACTTGGGCGAAACTGTGGTTTTGTAGTTTTTGTTGGAGGGGGCTTGGGGCGGCGCAATCAATCACGCGGCATCTTTGATGGCTAGCCAGCCGACCACCGCTATTGCCTGTCGAATTCCGTGGTAGATTGTGACTTGCAAGAAAACAGTCGAAAGAAGTGAAGATGATATAGGATGCCGCACCTGATCCACCGCAAAAGCGTTTGAATCGCTTAGCCTAGTTCACTGTTGGAAGTTATCAATAGTAACGAACGATTGATACGGGGCCAACGGTCCCAAACGACACAAACACAGCTGATTTGGTGCCTAGGTTAGGGGATACACCACCGCCTTTGCCTGAATATGTTACGAATTCACCTTCACGGCCACCAACATAGACCAGTGCAAGGTGATATTCCCTAAGAGGAAATACCTTGTTATGCCATTCTACCCAATTCATAGACACTAGACAGGCCAGAATGTCGACGCTACGTGTAAAACAGCCCGCTTCTGGACCGAGCGGGAGAACGGTGCTGCAAGTTTGGCATCGAGGATGGCTGATATGAGTGGCCCCTTGGCATCGACTCGGACGATGAACCGGCATACACAAGAACGAAGCATTGCATCTGTGAGCTATGTGACAGATACAACGACACTGTACCTGGTCAGATAGGTAGCATAGTTCGTACAGATGTACCTCACCAATGTCTTGAATAGCGACACGGAAGGCACAGGAGCACCTTATTGTAGACAGTCGACTTCATCGAGGTAAGCCAGTCCGGGCTGGACTGGCTGACGACATCATCCACCAGAATTGATACTGCATAAGTTACGTTCAGTGACATGAAAACTTCTCACTACTATGATCCATCCTTCTTTCATCCCATAGCTTGAAGAGATGTGTGATCAACCCTTGCTGAACATGGTAACTGGATGGATACGGTGACGAAGATGATGGGCACGCGAAACAACCGAGTATCTAAATATCAAACGAACGCATGGTCAAATTGGATTTGGCTCACTTTCCTTGCATTCCAGCCCGGGGCGGCTTCTCGAGGTGTAACGGCGAGATCCCACTGCCCTGCGTGTCCCATCAAGTAAAAGCGGTGCCACCGCTTCATTGCGAGAGCAGGCCGAGATGAATGTGCAAAGCTCTGTGTTTACGCATGATTTTTCGAAGCTCACGCGGTATGTGAGAGGGTATAATGGGCTTGTAAGTAAGTTTGAATCTAGACTTTCTGTCTAAACCTGTGTGAGTTGACACGTCTCGGCAGCAAGATTGAATGGTTTCCCCTTCGTCCACATACACATCAATGAGCACATAAGATGGGTCCTTTGTTTGTATATAGACCTGGACATTATTGCATACCTACCTAATTGGATCAAATAATGTTTTAACGAAATCATTGTCAAAGTTTGCGTATGACGCGTAGCTTGTGTAAGTGCATGTAGCATGCTGTTGAACGATGGCAGAAGACCGAGTATTATCGACATCAAGATCTCGAGCTTGTCGCACGCGATTTTATTATTAGTAGTAATCTCTCAAGAACTATAGGGCTTGTCGGCTCAGGAAAAGATGCCATAACATGCAGGGCCATGTGCCCTCCTATATCCTTCGTTTGCAGGAGGGCTGATAGACAGGAACAGGCAGTAAGGCAGTAGTGAGTGGTCTGCTTGTAAGAGTGGTAGCCTATAAGGTTTGCCGAGGACTCAAGTATTCAGACATTCTGCCTCAAAGAGGAGGAATGAGATGTAGAAGTAGGAACACGCAGCATGTTAAGGTTTGGTTTGAGGTTGCAGAGCCGTATTTACTCACCATATGTTGCCCGTAGCCATCATCGACATCGGCTGGTTCCCAGTGAGCAACACGGAGAGGACAACGATGTGAAGACCAGTGAGGATCTGACACTGGTGCTTCAGTCATAAGAGTCTTTGAATAGTCACCAGGTAATCATCCTTTCCGACTCTTCACCGTTCAAAGGGCCTGCCGTGGGATAGGCAACCAGTTTTGTTGGTCTGGCGAGGCCTCTGGAATCCATCTAACATTGAAGGAGTTTGCAGTCCCTTCTTCAAGTCAAGCACAAGAACCAGACTACCTTGTAGACAGCAGGGCTTTAAGTTCGCACCAGCAGCATATTTTAGGCGTCGTGTATGGATACCTATCCGACGGTATCAGCTGAAAACCGGAGACTCGTCTACGGACACGACCGGAGGAGGCCGGAGGTTTGCTTCCGGAGCACAGCATCTTCCGCAACCACGCTACCCAAAGGCCCCGGGGAACCAAATCGCCCCAGCTCGAGTCATCCCATACATCGATAGCTCGCCCCCCCGCGACATGCCATCCCCAGTATGGCATCCACAACACTAGCTGGCGAACTTGCGGGACTGCTTCCCCATGGGGGGCGGGGGCCGATAACGAGTCTTCCGTTTTGTGTTTTGAGCCGGGTGTCGACACAAGACGTCCTCGCTGTCATCATCGAGTGGGCGAGCCTCAGTTGATGTCTTCTCCCTTCTCCCTTGGGGACCCATGCTTAACGAGGTGAGGCTACAAGCATCCGTGTGTCTAGACTTCCGCTGGCGCTATCGGCCCTACCGTTTTGGAGACTACGGCCATTGTAAACAAGAGAGAGCAGGTCTCAGGAGGTCGTGGGTTCTAGGCGGGCTGACTCGCGACAGAGCATGGCCGTTTCTCACCAGCAAACATCAAGCAAACAGTCCCACACAACCGTGCATCCATCTTCACAGTATCTGCCGTCCATCTCACAGGAAGCATTTCTCTGGCTTCTTCCCCATGGCTACACATTGGAAGTCCTAAGCATCCCAAGACCCGTCGTCAAAACAAACGAAAACGCACACATTCTAGAAGCCAAAGAACGCAACCCCCTCTCCCACGTCGTCCCAAACGGGCAAAAGGTGGGTCGGATTGTAGTCCTCGCTTCTGTTCCGTGCGTTGCGCGGTCGCCGTTGCACCCGCGCCTCGGGTTCACTCCCTTCTCCTCACCGAAAAGGTGCCTAGCCCTCCCAAGGAATTGGAGAAAAGACGAGCCCAGGTCTCGGAAAAAAATCGAACGAGACCTGCGTGAGGGGAAACGCTCGTTACCTTAGCTCTGGGCCGTCGTCATAATTAGGATTTCCTGGACTCGAGGGGTATGGGATTACTTAATCCTTTCAACGACATCCCATCCATCCAACAATCGTCAACAAACAACTGCTGCGGAAAAAGGCACGACCTGCGGGACGACTTCGCGCACCCACTCCCGCGGATTACGGTGGACACACGAGATACACACGGAAACGGTGATCAAAAGGGGCTTGGTACGTGAGAGAAAAAAAGAAAAAGGTCCATGATGCAATGGCCTGTGGAGCCTCGCAATACCCGCTCACCCGGCCATCGTTCGCTCGTCTCGTCTCGTCTCGTCGGAGGACCCGCATATCTGATCCCAAAGGGGGGCCATGAACGACCAGGGAGAAGAAAGGTTACCCGCGATAACGGGAGGTGAGTTGGTAGAGCTGTGTTTTTATTCACTCACGAAACGGTTCGCGCGTGTGTGCCTCCCAATGGGAAAGAGAACGGACACATGGGGGTCCTCGATTCCTGGCATGTATCGGAAAACCGAGGAGCGGGCCAGTCTCCCACCCTCCCTCCGAAAGTGTCAAGATCGAGATCCGTGCTAGACGATGAGTTGGCTTTGGCTGCGACGACGCCTCTAGTGGAGCTTATTGACGCACCGCGAACTCAAGGCAGGCCCAAGATCAAATTTCCCGCAAGACTCTGTTCATTTCGTCTCATGTTTTGGGTTTCTCCAAAGATTATCACGGTGAAAGTTTTTCTCCGTCGTTTGAGAGCGGGCACGCAAGCAGGCAAGGCAGGGCAGAGAGAGAAAGAAAGGTAGAGAAACAAAAGTAAACGGGGGTCGGTCGGTCGGTGGTGTCGGGACGCACGACTCGAAGCCAAGGCGTTCGATGATAAGGACGTGGGCGGAGCGGAGCACCCTCTCACACACACACACCTTTTCGGAGACCGAGCTTAAGTCGGCAAAGAGGATTGGACAATTGGGTCATCAGGCTCCGGCGGTGATACAGCCGTGGCCTTGCCTGGTTGACGGCCTTGGGCTCAAGTGAGAGGACAGATAATCCCAGGCTAGACAGGCTGTCGAGTTCGCCAGTGGTGTGCGTCCAGCAGGGCCTTGTGGGCTCCCTGCTGGCGTCAGTACGGGATATCCACTCAAAATCGCCATCACGAATCGAACCTAGCGGTGAAGAGACTATTCATTCAAGGGGGAGCGAGTGAGAGAGAGTGACGGAGGGCGGGATGAGATGAGATGGCGTGGTGCGAGTTCTGTCGTGAAGGGAACAAAACCCCATGGGGATGCTTCCCTGGGCCTTCCCGCGGTCCAGAGGACGGGAGGCACACCCGCAATAAGCTCGAGGGTTAGAGCTCGCCCAATTCTCACCTCACATTGGCCAATTCGCCTCGTTCGAGAGTTCGGAAGCTTCAAGCTCACAGTCCAAGAGTGGAGATGGAAAGCGTGGCGTGTCCGTTCATTGCCGGGGGCGTGAAGCTCTCGGCGGTGAGAATTTTTCTGTGATGATTCTGCCAGACCGAGCGGTTTCAGATGTTTCCCCAGATTTCACTTTGTTCAATCAATTTCACTCGCGGGGTCATCAAAGTTCGGTGATCATGAGTTTGAGGTTTGTAGTATTTTTACAGAAAAAAGTGTGTCAGGGCCAGGAGCCACGGGGGTGGGAAAAACTGGCCGAAGCAAGAAGGATCGGGGGAGTGTGCAAAACTTTTTCGCTCGTAAGAGTAGTGCGATGCCCGCGTCCGTCTGCCACGAGCCATTCTCCATCTATACAACACGACCCAGAAAGCCGTGCGGTCTATGACCTCTATACTTCTAAATGCCCACCATGCTGTCTATCCCGTCTATTAACTCTGGGTTGCTACGCAGTGTGGAGGGGTTTGCCGCTCCATTGCGTAACCATAGGCGAACCTGTCCCGAGGGGAATAGACGCGAAGAGACGTCCTCGTCCGAAAGTCGCCCAGCCTCGCGCCTCCCCAGCTCGCCAGTGCGAAATGAATCGCTTACGTCTGTAACGAGTGTTAGCTTCGATGAGTCTGGATGAGATATTGATAAGGGAGTGATGACGTACGAACTTGGCCATGAGGGCAACCATGAGGTCGAAAAGACCGATGGCCTCGACGAAAGCGAAACCAAGAATGGCGTAGGAGAAGAGCTGGCCACGGAGGGCGGGGTTGCGGGCGACACCGTTAAGGAGAGCGGCGAAGACCAGACCGATACCGATACCAGCACCGGTCAGACCGATGGCGGCGGAACCCATACCCAAGTTCTTGGAGACCTCGACCATGGCCTGGGCGATCTCAGAAGAGTAGGCGCGCTTGGCCTGGACCTGGGTGAAGACCTTGGAGGACTTGATGGTGGTGGCCTGCTGGCGCTTGACGGCCTGGAGGGGGCTGGAGAAGCCTGAAAATTTTCGATGTCAGAGCGGGTTCGATTTGTTTCATTGAGGTTTTTTTTTTCTCTTTCTCGACGATGGGGATGGGAAGGCGACGATATCGGAAAACATTTTCGTCGACATCGGGATCGGTGCCGCGAGAGGCCAATTGGGTTGGTTTGCTCAGTTGGCTCGTCGTCGGCGTCGGTCTTCTTGATGCCCCTTCCCGTTCCCTTCATTTCTATCATTCGTTCGTTCAAGACTTACCGGTGATGGTGCGCTTGGGCATGGCAGAGACGCGCACCGCAGGGCGGGCGGCCTTGGTGGCCATCTGGGTGGCGAGTCTGGAGGCGAGGACGCGAGTGGAGGCCATTGTGACTGATGGGAGGGAGATTGTGGGATAGACGGGTGATGGACTGGAAGGAAGAAGATAGGAAAAGAGGACAAATTGGGATGGAGGTAGGTAAAGTGGAAGGAGGAAGGAGAAGAGAGAAAAAGCTCAAAAGCAGGTTCGGAAGGGAAAAGCTCTCGCTCAGGTGACGGGCAAGCTCGGTAGAGAGAGGGAGGGCAGGGGCCCGGGCAACGGGACGGCGGAAGTTGATCCAGATGGCTCGGCCGCCAGACCACGGTGGAACCGTCTCGAGGAAGGCCTCAGGCTTTCAGTACCTTCTCACCCTCTTGAGAGATCGGATCAAACAGGAGAGACATTGGTGAATACCGTTTGTTCATTCACTGGGGCACGCCTGTCCCGTTTGTCTACACAGTACATACGGTCTGCTCGCTCGGTGGGCCCGGCGCCGGGGGATGCGATTCGCAATGAGCGAGGCGTCCCAATCAGGGCAAGACATGACTGGTCGTTGACATATCGTGGACCGTCCATCCACCAGTCACCAGAGGGACACGCCCTCGCACCGATCTCGGGCATTGTCGGGAGGCTGGGCGGCAAAGGGGATCCCTGAAATGGGAGTGGGAAGACGAAAAAAATGGTTGACATTGGACTCGGCCGTGCCTGAGGCCGGAGGTACGTCTGCGACCTGTCCTTGAGGGAAGTGCCCCTTGGGCTAGGAACACGAATCATGAGAAGTGGGCTGCTGTATCAAGGCTAAGGAGAATGCGCAAGGTTGAGTCCGTCACGGCCGGCTAATCGAGAGCCAGACGTGTTGAGCGGATTCAGCGTTTTGCCAGCTCGGTCTCCAATACGACCGGAGCACGCAATGCTTCCTCGCAACCACTGGGCCGCTGGAAACCCAGGGTTTACTGAAGCTCAAGATTGAGCATTGACAATGGCCTGGACTGCCAGAAACATGGGCTAGACGGGACTCCCCTGGGGAGAAAATTTTCTCAGAAAGATTTCCTCAGGCACATAGCGCACTGAAAGGAAAAAAAGACCGATGTCAGCTTTGATATCAAACCGGCCATGGCTTGCGGTGACCCCCACTCGATACCGTCAAAAGCCCCCACTATACGGCGCTCGGATCCAATGAGCCGCAGCGCAGCACTCACACGTGGGTGGACCCGACAAAATAGCTCAGAAAAAGTGAAAATACACCAAGAAGAAGTGGATCACGATGATCAAGTTGGCAGCTTGGAACGGTGTCTTCCCAGAGATAAAAAGGGACGCTGTGAGACCAATCGTCGTTTGAAGGGGTGATGGCGAAGTCGCTAGAGCTCCCTTTCTCTCTCCCCTCCGTTTTGTCGGTTGCCGTCGATTTGCATTTCATGTCGCGCTCCCTCCGTCCCCTTCCAACCCATTCTCCCTTCGTTTTTCACTTGGTTTTTTCCTTATCAAACTTTTCTGCCGAGTCGCCGCCGCCGACCATCAACGTAAATGGGATGAAGTCAATCGAAGCGCGCACGCATGCCTTGGCCGACCTAGTCCTGTCAGGGACGCTTGCCAGGTGACCGCACACACCCCTCCCCCTCACGCCCCTACTGCAGGTAGACGAGTGTTACGTGAGATCCCAGCAGCAACCCAGAAACCTGGCTGGTGTACACTGGCAGCGAGCAACCACTTGGCAAGATTGCCGCTGTCGGGAGTGTGTCAGAGAGAAGATAGTGACGGTAGTGAGCTGGCAAGCTGCCACTGCCGATGACCGACGGCCGCGGCGATCAAGCAGCCAGCGCAGTGTGCCCTCGCCAATGGGAAACGGCGTCTCTCCATTGAGCCGACGTCCGAGGTTCCAGCGTCTGAGATGGCCGAGAAGGGCTTGGTGCGACTGACGCCGTAACCGTAATGTTGGTATCCACAAAAGGAGTATCTGCGAGATTGAACCAGCGTCGAACGTAAATCTAGCGTTTGCCAATCCCAGCTCTCGGTACAGAGCATGCGCGATGTGCATCTCGAAATAAGGCATGGGTCCGCCACGTCTCGGAGCGCAAGTACCTTTTACGGTCGAGCTTTATCCGTGAGGTACCTGGCCTGTGGCATGAGGCCCGCCGGACGGACGAGAGAAAAATTTTTGCTTCCGGCCAAGCTGTTCCTAGCGTAAGCCTTAGGGGGAGAAGAAACGCCGAAACACACCGTTGGCGCTCACCATTTCTTCTGATTGCCGTTGTCTCTAGGTGCATGCCTCAGGCTGAAGAGCCTCAAAATGACGCATCATTGTTGTCTCTGTCTCTGTCTTTGTCTTTGCCAGGGGGGTGCACCGTCGTTGAGGGTCCCGAAGCCAGTGGTTGTGTCGGAGCTTCTTTTGCTTGTGAATCATTTGTTCGAGTCTGACATTCCGATCGTATCTCAATTTGGGAACTGGGTGTCACGAGAAAAAGCAATTGGCGGTTGGTTGCTTATACGATGCCAATTGATAAGATGCGAAAAAATAGTTGTTGAGCCACGGGGCCAGCTTGCGTCCATTGATTGACTGATGGCACGTTGACGGCAGAACTGGGATTGAGATTGGGACGGTGCATGATGGAAAGGAAGCTTCCATTTTCCTCCGACCTACCTACCCATTGCATTTCGTCCATCGGTGTCCCTTCCTCTTTGTTCCGGGCGCAAGCTCCCCTTCCTTCTTTCCATTTCTCCTACCTCCTTCCTCCTTCCGCCGGCGGGTTTTCCCATGGTTCCTTCCCTTCCATGTCTCTTGCCGTTCCAGGCGCACTCTGGCGGCATGTCGTCGCCTTAGGCTCATGCTTCTTCCGTGGTGGCTGCATCGTCAACCGAAACACCCGACGCCGCCCAGCACGCCCAGCCTCGATGGACGGGCAGGAACGGAATTGACTGAGACGCCACATGCCCAAAAGGGTGCAACCACAGCGCACCTGCCACACCCCAACTCCCGCCCGGGTTCCTTCCGGAATTGAGGCGTGAAGCAACCACGGAAATAACCACCGAGCGCGACAAGGAAGCTGCAGGCAACGCCAAAGAAGTTCGAGCAGTAAGAGGAAGCGAGTACTGAAATCTCGCCCGGGAATGGATTCCATTGGGAAGGCATTCAGCATTTTGCTACGACATTCCTCACAGAGCCCAGTCCTCCTCTCCCAGCCTTCCGGATCACTTCGAGTCACCGACACGACGCTATACGACACGGCACGACACGAAGCTCAACGCGCAGCGCATACTCGGCGATCCCTCATATTGCACCCTTCCAATTTACCCCCCAGGCACCACTGCATCGACCACGTTTGCGACTGTCGCCTCCGAAAGCAACAAACATCCGAGCGAGTCCCCTGAGGCGCATTCAGGAAGAAAAAGTTCTCACTCCATCATCTCGGTTGGCGTCCATTGCGACGGTCCAGAGCTCTGCGCCTGGCCCAAGCTCCTTTCCCGATTCGACCTATCATCGCGGCACCTCCTACTCCCTTTCGCGCTTTGGCGGCTTTTGACCTCCCGATAACTTCCGCCGGGCTACAGTGCCTTCGTTCCATCACAGATGAACACGACACCCTCTGTACCTCGATTCTGGGGCACCAAAAACCTCTGCCACATGGTTCAGGGACCAAGCTCCTCGGGCACATTCAGTCTCTCCCGGGCGGCCTGGCGCTGCGCAATTGCCTGTCACCGATGGTAATGCTAGCGGATGAACTCTGGATTGAGGGCCGGATACGGGGCCGTATCATCGGCAACCAAATCGATGTATTCAAAGTGACCAGACTTCCAAACCCCTTCGTGAGCGAGCCCATTCATGTGCAACAGCCCGTGTGCTCGAACATCGCCGTAGCCCAAGTCTTCGCCGCAGAGTGCGTATCTGTTGAACCGACCAATGGTTTTCCGCCCTTCACGATCACCATGAATCCACGTACATGAAATCGCGTCGACACAGACGGACACACTGCCCACTTGCTCAAAGGAGAAGCCTTTGTACTCGTCGGGCTCGGGCAAAAGGTATACCTCAAGCCGATGGTGCTCAGATTGGACGGGTGGATTGTTGAAGTGAAAGTCAATGAATTGTTGGCTGCACATCCTGATCCCATTAAACGTTTCAAGCGCCGTAAACGTCCATGGCTGGAAAGCATCTCGTGGGATACTGTTGCTTGCCCTTGCTTGACTGCCGTACTCGTAGATGACGTCGCCGAGCCTCCCCAACCGTAATATTGGAAATCTCAAGGAGTTGGCAGCCAAGTTGAAACTCACTGGCAGACCGGCAGGAGCCAATCCAACTCTGCACGCTTGATGAATCTTTGCAAGTTCTGGCCAAGACCATGGAGCCGGCGTCTCCGTCCAGTTCGGTGCCCAAGAGGGAATTGATTCGCTTGTGGCATGCCGTACCGCATTTTCTTCATTGAAGAATTGATCAAGGTGGAAAGCCCTCACAAGCATGGCGGGCAGCCCGAATCTTTGAGCGATCCATCCCGCCATTTGCATATATGCCTTCTTGGTTGACTTGGTATAGTCTGCTACAATGCCATCGCTGTCGCCGCAAGAAATGAGACCGAATACTGCAAAAAGCTTATCTCTTGGGTCCGTTGCATGACTGTGTCGTGCCAAGTCAAGAAGATGAAGCAGATCACTTGAGTCACGGTAAGCTGGCGCGCGGAACTGCAGAACTGACGGCAATTGAAGCATGCTTAGCAGCCTGGGTTCTTCTCCTACATTGATGAGCAAACCCAATGCTGCTAGCCGGGGAATTTGCACCATGGACCATGGCATGGAAAAGTTTCCGCATATCAACATGGCGTTTCTAGCCAACGCAACTTCTTGGAGGATCCAGGCCCGCGAGAAGTACCGCTTGTTGAGCAGCGTTTCCAATGATAGCTGCAATCGCTGCCGTGGCGTCCCGGGAATAGGGTCGTTTCGTAGGTATCGAATCAGTCTCTCTTCCTCTGGGGTAGGTTCTCCAACGTAGATGAGGACGTGCTGTGCCCGGGAGTAGATCTGCGGCATCAGCCGTACCTGGTGGCCCCTTTCTTCAACGTCCTTCTGATTCATGCAGATGGCATCGATCCAAATGACCTTCTCAGCCCCTCGGCTTCTGACACGCCTCAATGCCATCATGCAATTTGGCGTCACGAGAAACTCCCGTGAGTTGAGGGTAAGGCGCTCTGTCCACTCCATCTCGCCATCCTCGCTCGCCCACGTGTACGAGATGGCGTCGTAGTCGATCATGCTGGCCGTGCTGCTGAGGGATAGACGGCATTTGATCGGGTCGTTGAAGTCCCCAGGCTCCAGAGTGAGTAGTCGAATATCTGTTGTAGACTCCAGCGGCTGGTAGACGGTATCTTTGTCAGCATCTGCGTGCTCCGAGGGGAGTGCCTTGCTGTCTAGTTGCATGGAGCCACAGCTGAGGCAGCTGGTGATGCCGTCGCTGGTGAAGACGTCCAGACGCCGGCAGGATGAATCATGCCATTCGGCCATAGTGCTGGAGCGATGCTTTCGATGTTCTTAAGAGGATGTTTGGTAATCTCTGTTGCGTTATTGAATTGGTGAATTCAGGTCAGGCTGCGTGCAAGGTGAGGAGGTCAAGAATTCGCTAACGATGCAACAACATCCATAGCCTCACTCGCTGATTGGTGGCTGTTCTGCACAACTGACTGCAGTCTGACTACATTCGTCTGACGAAAACATTGAAGAAAGCAGCGAAACTTCAGTGCTTTTGACAGAAACGAAGTAACGAAATGTCTTGAAGGTTGGGGTTTTCAAACGCAAACCACATCCTTTACTGCAGAGATGGCGCGCTCGCATAGGGCTATGTGCGGGCCCAACGACAGCAGAGACGAAAGACGCAGTAGTTCTGCTACCGAAGTCGAGAGGCATCTTCCTCTTCTGTGTTTGAAAGCGTCGGATTTTACTGCATACACTTTCTATGTGTTACTTATTACTGCCGCCTCTGCGACGGTTGTTGTGTTCAGAATGCTCCTGGATTCCCGTTCATTTTCAACACCACGATACTTGTGTGCTTCAATCACATAGACACTGAACTTTGAACAACACGGGGACGTTCACAAAGCTCAGCTGGGCAGTATTTTGGTCTGGGTAGTGAATTCGACAATGGCGAAGGTTCACTCCTCACACTGGAGGAAGCGAGTGTTGCTCCTGTGGTAGGTAGCTTCAGTCTCCCAGTGTAGACTTTTTTGTAGCAGAACAGTTGTGGCGGTCGACATTTACATCGTCACGTCTCAGATCCCATGTTGGTCGGGGACTGGCTGATATCGGCCTATTGAGGATGAGAACTTGCCACTAGTCTGCCTGTTAGTATGACTGTCAGATTTCCTCTAGTCCTTGGTTCCGTACTATTCACACACCCTGTGGGTTTCAGTCGAAAGCCTAGCACGGCTTATTGAAATACGCATACAAACAGTTTCAATGCGGGAGTGGTTGGTATTGGGTGTACTCCAATCAAAGTCGAAGAGTCGTTATGCAGTCACCACTCGATACGATATGCTCTAGTCAGGCTCACTTGGAAGATTATCTTGGAGACGTTGCCGTTCGGATCCATCGAGCTGTATATTCAAACACAGTGGTATCTTCTGCGCCCTCGTTTTGGAATAAATGGCGGAAACATCCCCCTGGTTTATATTTAATTACAGTAGGCCATACGAGCACACGGACCCTGAGATCGAAGAGGTCTGTATGTGCTACAAAAATGATGGTAGCGAACCCAAGCTTTTCTCTATTAAGTCAATAATAAACAGGTTGGTGTCTACGTGATTCATATGGGTATTTCTTGCAGATTCTGACCGTACCAATCAACCAACTGTATCCTCTATGTACACCAAGGCGATGAAGATTACATGCACTAAACATAAATTTCTGGTCATTATCAACCCAGTTATAGTCTTAGAACTTATTGCTTTGTTGATTGCTGACCTGACACTGTTGTTTCGGATGCAGACTTCAACATCCTATCCTCTGAGCCTGGAATAATCGACCAATGTAGCCTAAATCGACTGGTCACAAGATGTAATGGACACAAACGCCAGGTTAATAGGGGAAGTCGTCAGTATCCTCGCACCCACGGCGCATGGTAACCTAAGAATCGTTGACGGCGCGGCAGGTTCCCGCAACGCAGTTGTCGGTCTCGATATCTCCCTTGCCATACCAGGAGCTGCCATTACTCAGTTTAAGCCTCCAGTCTTGGATATAGTGCTGTAAGTAGCGATTGGCGTAGTTTACTTACATTACACTAGGTCTTTACGTAATGTTCAGGCCACACGGGTGATTCTCGTCCTCCAAGACGGAAGACTCGTCGGGACCGCAAGGCTTTGGAGGCGTGGGGAGGGTAGCGTCAGTCCGTTTGCAATAGTAGGTGCCATCGTCACTGCCGTAGGTGAAGGTGATCCACGCGCCTGCCACGTCCCAGAAGTCGTAGATGTCAACGGGGGTTTCCAGGATCTGGCCGTGCGATTGAGCGAAGGCATTAGCGGCGAAAGAGGTGATGGTAGCAACGACGAGACGCATTTGAAGGTATGGGATGCTGAGTATGAAATGAACGACTCTAGGTGAACTACAGAACGGCTTGTCAAACGAGTGGAACCGAGGTGGTAAGGTTGATTGTCTAATGACAAAGATGCCAAAGACATGCGTTCAGCGTGAAGGGCTTTCCCAAGACTTAATATTGTTAAATGCCAAGGCTCCAAATGAATGAGATTCTATGATCACATGTGACTGGGTCGCACTTCTACGGGGGGAATAAAACTCTAGAAGCGAAACAGAAATCAACTTGTTGTAAAACGATCAAACCTCCTCATAGTGGAAACGCATTGGCTTGGTAAAGGAGGCTGTAGAGCAACGCTATGGGTACTGTAGCCGCGAGTTCCCACACGATATCATGCACACAGTTGTATTCAAAGGGGGCAGTTTACATAGCCGCACTCCGCGAGGTATAGTACTTTGGCGTATACATTGCTACTATATCTGGTGGTCACAGCCATTTAAAAGTAGCTACTGGCAGTTGTAGGCGTTCGTGGAAATAGTATTGTACCCCGTTTTGGCCGCTGTCTCTCAGATGCCAACGGTTGATGATGGAAAAGGTGGGACTTGCGGAGCATGAAGCATGGACCAATAATTTTCTAGGTTAGAGGCTTTTGGTTTGAGCTTCGAGGTTGTCTCTGCTGTCTAGTTTTCTTGGTGGCTTGAAACAATGCCTTATTTTGGTACTTATCAAACTCATCGTGTTAGCAAACTAGTGGGTTGCTAATGGTCGGTGTGATCGTTACTGGGGATGCCACTGAATATACTACTTGGAGCGTATGCTGAGCAAGCCATTCAGACGGTCAGCCTAGGATCTAGAAGTTCTCACTGCCGTTCTCAATGTGGTCTACTGTCAGTGATGCTTCGCTTTTGAGAAAAGCGAACGGCAGGGAAGGTTCACGGTTTCAAGCTCCATTGTCTTCTGACCCACGAAGGTTTGCCTTGCCTTACACGCCAAGTAAACCGCAGGAGTCTCTTGTGTCATTTGTACAGTACTTCTGTCACATATATACATAGAAATGCACATGCCGTGCTGAAAGGGGGCGGTCGACGCTCCTACCATGTACCTTGTGAATGAATCATGCCCTTCCTCCAACCACTACAGAGAATCCTTATTTGCAGCTGTCACTGCCGGGAATGAAAGTGCCGTCAGAGTTCTCGCAGCCACACTCGCCCGTCTTAGGGTCCTTGATGCAACCGGTGCCGACACCGCTCTCCTCGCCGGTGCCGCTGGTACCACGACCTTCGTTAGCTTTCCGAATTATCAACACCGGCGTCTGCAACTGGCTGTTGACTCACCTCCAGAAGAACGTCCAGCAGTCCTCGTCAGCAATCATCTCGGTCGGCGCGTCACAGATGTACGCGGAGCAGTTGCCGTAGGGGTAGCCGTTGTTGCCGTCGTACTTGTGGTCCGTTTCGAAGACGGCGAAGGTCTGAGTCTTGCTGGTGCGCGTGTTGTGCGAGCACTCGGCGGCCTGGATGGCCTTGGAGACCTTGGTGGCGCTGCAGGCGTATGTCGAGGGACATTTGCCCTTGGTGTTGGAAGTGGCCGGGTCGAGGGTCGCGGCCACGAGGGCGGGTGCGAGGAGGAGGAGAGTGAAGAACTGCATCTTTAGGATATTTATTCGAGGAGGCAGTTGGCGTTGGATTTGGAGAAACGAGTGATGATGGGTGAGTCGTGAAAGAGTGTCCGAGTCCAGCCCAAGAAGTTGCAGAAGTAAATGTGGTGTTATAGATAGGAGACGAGAGACGGAAAAAGGGAGTCTAGTTCTTATATACAATGAGCTTGTTGCATCCCTGAATTTGTTTTGTTTCTCCATATTGTTTGCGTGGATACAAACGGCTGTCCAGCGTAAATTGCATCTGGGGCCCGCGTTTCGAACAGAGAGCGATGACGAGCGTCCAGACTCCTCCATCGCCTCTCAGCGGCACGCATGTCCCGGCCAGGCATGAACACTCCGATCTCCCGTATGTTCTAGACCATTAGAAAACCGAGTCTCCGTGGAAGTCTTTATTACCTACCTCTGCGGTTCTGAACCAGGACCAGGAGTTTTTACAGTTACAAACAAAGGCTTGTTCTCTGACTCTTGCACCCCTAACCCAACAAACATCATATCGGGAACCCCACAACGCGCATTTCCCGTGGTGGGTCCCGCGGCACTGCCTTGGCCGCTGCGCAAACTGACCTCCACTCACATCTCGCCTGGCGCGTGTCTGGACAACACAACGGAGACATTAGACGAACGATCACGCCAAATAAGGCGGAAGAAGCAACAACCGCTTTCAGCTTTTGCTCCTGCCAAGCTCCCCCGAGTCCAGCGTTGCAGCCCCAACACATCCCGGAAGACGCGGATGTTCCATCCGTCCCCATACGGGAACGGCACAGCGCAGAGCAGAGCCAGGGGTCCAGGAGATTAAAGGCGATCAGTGGGGCTTCCCGCGTCCTGCATCGTCCATTGCACGCAGGCGAGACTTTCTGATTATTTGGCGATGGAGTCGACGTCACCTAACATGTACTCTGTACACAGAGACTAAAGGTGTATTAGAGTCATGTCCAGTGATTTGATGACGTCGTACTGGGAGATTGGTTGTGGGCGTGAACATGTTCGCGGAAGAAGGTTTTTGAGGTAGAGAGTCAGATAACGAAGAAGGAACTTGCTGGTCTGTGCCACCTTGGATTCGTGAATGCGAGAGAGGCGGGTTGTTTCAAGCATAACGACAATCGAATGACTCTCGGAGGATTAGTAGGATTGGTTGTTGTTCCTGGGCACTGTACCTGCAACACCCACCGAAGCTTGGTGTGCGACGAAGTGAAGCTGACACAGGGGTTTTGGGGACATGACCATAATCGAACCCGGCATCCCTCGTTTCCAACCGGGCGTCGACAATCGAGCATCTTTTGCAATGATCATGTCAAGGTAAGAGCTACGTCGAGCGATGCATCTCGGCAGCACCTATACAAGACCGAAACCAGTCCCAACGGAAACCTCATCATTGTAGCTTTCGTACATTTTCATGTCGCAAAGTGTGGGGTGTTGCAGTGATCTCGCACGTCAATCGGGGTTTCTGGTGAAAGAGCCGCATCCGATCATGATGCCCATGTATTCGATCTTCTTGGTAGCATGGTCTGCGTGCAGGCCCCGTCTACATCTCACCTGCAACAACCCTAGGTCCTGCTAATCACCTCTCATCTAGGCCACCACCTCTGCCACACCCCTTCTCTCTACACCCATCTCTCACCTCATATCAAGCACAATATTGCCCCCCTTCTCTCCCCTCACAAACCAACTCACATTCTCCCCCACGACCCTCCGAATGTTCACCTTTGTCTGATCAGCACACCACGCAAGGTGCGGCGTCAGCGTCAAATTCACGCCCCGCGCCTCCTCGCCCAATAGCACGCTATCCTTGCCGCTCCCCGCCGGCTCGACCTCAAACACGTCCGTCGCCGCGCCGGCAATCTTCCCCGCCTTCAACGCCGAAAGCAGCGCCGCCTCGTCGACGGTCCCGCCGCGTCCGACGTTGATGATCACCACGTCGGGCCGCATGAGCGCGAGCTCCCGCTCCGAGATGAGGTTCTTCGTCTCCGGGGTCAGGGGCACGATGAGGAAGAGGGTCGTGGCGCGGCGGAGGACCTCGGTGAAGGGGGTGCGACGTACGGTGCCGTTGGATTGTGTCCCGGAGGCGGGCGTGGCGCCCCCGGAGACGTCGCCAGAGCTAGGTCCCGATGACTCGGCGTCCTTGCGGGCGGCAACGAGGACCTCCATCCCCAGCGCGCGGCACATCTTGGCGACCCGCTGCCCGATGGGCCCGTAGCCGATCATGCCCGCGACCTCGTTGCCGCAGGTGTGCGGCGGGCGGCCCTCGGCGTCGAGGAGGAGCGAGGACATGCTCCCCTTTGCGCGCCAGGGGTTTGTGTGCGCGTCGTCGTGGTCCATCATTGTGTTGTGCAGCGTGACGAGGCGTCTGCGGGAGGAGAAATACTAACACGCTGCCTGTCAGATTGGGCCCATTCTAAGATTGGCTGGTGGTCGAAAAGGAGGAACGCAGTGCAAGTGTCCTTGACGACAGCGAGAGAGCGGAACTCACCAGGCCGAGGGCGTGCTCGGATACGGCTTCGACGGTCGCGTTCGGGGAATACATGACGGTGACCCCGCGCCGTCTACACTCCTCCATGTCAATGTGATCCGTCCCTGTCGTCTCTGTGATGATGCATTTCCTACACCAACCCCCAAAATCAGCTCTCATTCGCTTTGTCACAGTTCTCATCTCACGCCCATCTAGTTCGACCCCACAGGATGGCTCACCATACCAACTGAAATGTAAGAAAACCACAAGACTCACAGATGCGGCGCCTCACCGAGCGTCTCCTTATTAATCGGCACCGTCGTAGTGATGAGCACACTCGCGGGCCACACCCTAGCCGCAGCGACCCCAACCTCCGAGGGCCGCGTATACTCGTATCCAATGACCTCGTGCGTCATGGAGCCGGTGTCGATATCGGGGAGGGGAACATGGATCGTCTCGAGCTTGACGACGACGTGGTGCGTCGTCGAGGGGAGCCGGGCCGGCTTCTTCACTTCTGTTGCGGGGTTGGCCATTGTAAGATGATGGCTGGGCTTGACGACTCCTGGTGTGTCTCGACTAGGTTTCCTTTGATTAGCCTTCGATCAGATCCGAAGAAGTTGTGAGCAGCTGAGGTTCACATGGGACGGGAATGTTGGGGCGCATTCGCCTACTTATCAATGAAAGTTACTATCTGATGAACCCCGAATGAGGGGCAGCGACTTCGGCTCGATGTGAGCTAAACCCACTCACTCTCCTGCAGAACAATCAAGGCCCAGGCGTCCCGGGCACCGATAACACGCTTCAACACAATCCAAACCTCAGTCACGCGTCACCCAGACACGACGTTGCCGGGTCTTAGTAACCGCCCCATCCCGACGAAAAAGAGCCTCAGGGGCGCCAACATGTCACATCGCTCCCTTTTGCCCGCAACGGTGTTAGCGCCATGCAGCTCCGCAACATCATTACATAGATCGGCAGAGCCAACGGCAAACGGCGGCGCTATGCTCCACGTTGTCGCCGCAGGGCGCGGTGTGGGGCCCGGGTTTTTGACATCGTCCCCCCCTCCCCCTTATCCAGGCCTTCTGCAGCTTGACAATCGGCGTGAGGGGACCTAGAGGGAGGGTATCCCGCCTTCAGTACCTGGAGTACCGGGAAGGAATTCCGCATTCTCTCCCGCAGTCCATACACGAGACCCCTGCGAAGGGCGTCGAGCTTCGACATGTAGAACAAGCACTCAACTGCCGGACGTGCGGGGATTCGTCACTCTTTCAATCACTTCACAACAAGACATGCATACAGTGTTGGCATCAGTTCTCTGTTTTAGCAACAAACCCGGTCCTGTAACCTATCTACAGACGGACCATCGTCAGAAAGGCGTCATCGTCTCGTTTCGACGGCAATGCTAACTATCCACCCACAGCCAATGCTTCTCATTAACCCAGTACCCCCACACACAAGATGTCCCGCAGAATTGATCCTTGACGTCTTATTTCTTGAACGTGGCACTCCTCTCGCCTCTCGGGGGCACAGCCTTTCTCGCTCCCTTGGGCGCGTCATCTCCTGTCTTCGCGTACGGGTCGAACGTCGGTTTAACGTGCGCCTTGCCGCGGTTACCCGTCCGGTTCGCGTGGAGCACCGATGTGGCCTTGCTATAGTCAAACGTCTCTTCCTCGTCGCTGTCACTCGAGTCCGCGGCGGCAGCCTCCTCCTCAGCCTTCTTCGCATCCTTCTTCGCCTTCTTTGCAGCACGCTTTGCCTCTTTTTTGGCTTCCTTCTCCGCCCTTTCTGTTTCCTTCTTGGCCTTCTCGGCCTTCTTGGCCGCCTTGCGCTCGGCCCTTGTCTTGCGGTTGTTGAGCGCCGATACATATCTCTCCAACTTTTCTTGCTTCTCCGCGGCAATGCCCTTCGCCTCCTCCAATTGCGTAGTTTCGGCGCGGTCGTGGGCGAGCTCTTCGGCCAGGCGCTCGACTTCAGCCTTGGCCTTCTCGTATTCCTCCGTGTAGCGCGCAACCTTGTCGGCCCTCTTTGAGGCTACCTTTGCCTTGCGTTCGTTGGAGTCGCGCTTGCCTTTCCTGCCGGATTTCTCCGAGTCTGGCTTCTCCAAGACAATGTCAATTGAGCTCTCGTCTGAGTCCGACTCGTCACTAACATCGGATGCGTCTTCTGTCGGAGCCTTGCGCTTAGTGCCAGCCTTCAGAGTGAACTCTTCCTCCACTTCAGGCTCCTCAGGTTGAGCAGCAGCGGCCGCCTTGGCCTCGGCCTCGACGCCTCCCTCCATAGCCACGTCCTCCTGAGCAGATGCCTCAACGGTCTTTGCATTCTGCACGAACTTCTGCCACGGGAGCATGACGTACTCGCCTAGGCCATTGGCCGCGGCCGACGCTCTTTCCCAGGCAGAACTAAGGGGCATGCCGCCGAACAGCTGAGACTGGGCCAACTGGGTAGGCTCCAGGGCAGCGTCAACCGCATCTTCGCTTGCAACTTCTGCCAAAGGCTTGGCCGCAACCTTGGGAAGCTCTGACTTGAAGAAGTCGAGCAACCGCGGCTCGTTGATACCCCTTTCTCTCGCCTCCTGGTAGCGTTTCCATATTTCGGTGACGTTTCGTCTTGCGAGAAAGGCATGGTTCGGGATGAGGGCGTGGAGAGCCTTGGCGTCAGGAGGCATGTGCTTTGCGATGTCGCCAATGATGGCATTGGGCATCACGAACGGAGTGCTCTCGTCTTCTCTCCGTGCCACCTCATCTCTCCAGGCCCAGATGGCTCTGTAAACAGCAAATTGCTGGCCCGAAAAGGGCATGGGGTGCCTAAGGAGAGTGTTGTACCAGCCCTTGCTTCCCTTGCCAGTCTTTGGGTCGAAGGTCTCACCTCCGTATCGGCTTAGGGAAAGGGTCTTGGACTTCTGGAGGGTCGCCTCAATGTAGTCGGTGCCGGGGTTGCCACGGTCTGATTTCATGACAAGCTCGTTTCGCATCTTGTCGTAAATGTAAAGGAGGTAATGCGTGTCGGAACGGGCGTAGTAGAGCATTTCCTCAGACAGGGGACTGCTCATCATTAGTTCCAAACCTTATCATAACAGATATTTACTTACCGCACTCTCCAATCGGCTAACTGGTACTTCTTGTCGGCGTCAAAGTTGACAAACTTCTTTAGCAAGAAAGCCAAGCTCTTTTGCGGGTAGTGCAGCACTTCGCATGCCATGCCGGTGTCGAAGAGACCGTTCACGTACAGGCCGAGATCGCGCTGCAGCCAAACCATGTCCATGAATGCACCATGGAAGACCTAGGTTCCTGTTAGATATGTCAGGAAAAGAATAAATGGGCGTGCAAACCTTGATGATGCTAGGATCGGCGAAGACTTCGTTAAGGACCTGAAGTTGCTCTCTCCAGGGTTTCAGGGTATCAACGATCCAGTCCTTTTCCCGTGTGCTGATCTGCATGAGCGACGTGAGTCCAACGTATGTTCTAAAGTCGTGATGTTCCAAGTCGACGGCGATTTCTTTCGCCTTCTTCAGATCTTCCAACATCTCCAATACACCTTCGTAGGTATCGACGTAAATGGCCTCGGTGGTTTCGACAGGCTGCCAGGGGATCGGCTCGGCTTGTTCGTAGACACGGTTCGGGTATTTCGCCTCGAGGATTTCGGTTTCGTAAGGATGCTTGTATCTAAACTTTCCGTCAGCATGACTGATCAAAGACAACGCTTTCAGCCTTCGGCGTGACTTGTTTACAGCTCGTTTGAGGTCGCGGGATCGGGGTAACATGAACGGCAAGAAAATGGGGTAGTCGTACTGAACGAAGCCTTCGTCCGTCTCGCTTGTTACCAGACTCTGGTCGAGCGGGACCTTGGCGTGGGGCTTCTTGGTAATGATGGGCTTCCACGGGGTATTATTGTCGACCGATTGGGTAAAATGAAGCTGGGGTTTCGTGATATTCGCACTGCGGAGAACATTTCCGGTCGTCTTGGGCTTTTTAGCCTGGGGAGCCTAGAGAAAGTCAGTACTCGGGACCTTTGGTGCAGAATCCTAGTCCACTCACGGCATCAGCAGCAGGCGCATCCTTCCTCTTCAGAGCTCCGGTGTACTCGTCGATGGACGTGTCGGCCTTCTCGAGGACCGAATCGACTATGTCCACAATACTCCGCCAGCGCATGTCAATGTCATCGGCATCTTCGAGCTCGGGCGCAGTGAGACCGCAAACATCGGCAGCGGACTTAAGGAGAGTTGTCGACAGTTCGAGGATGCGCGTGGTTTTGGCGTCGAGGTCTTCGCCGACGTTGGGGTTAACAGCGCGCTGGAAGGGCAGGTCTTCGGCTGAAATACGATTGACCGACTTGACGGTGGAGACGAGCGCAGCCTGGACTTTGTCCTGGAGGGATTTGAAGTCCTGGGGGGACGTCATTGTGTCGGCGCAGCGGTTTGGGGGTTTCGCGGAGGCTGTCGCGGGTTCGCTGCGAAGTTTGACGGTCGAACAAAAATTATGCCCGCCTGCGAGAGGTCCCCAACCGATAAGATAGCGGGTGGTATCTTATCGATAAGAATACGTGTGGATAAGAGACCCTGACGCTGCTGGTTATTCGGGCTGGATGAACTGAGGTAGTTTGAGGCTGGAATAAGCTTGAATATGAATGACTTTATAGATGTTTTGAATCTACGGCCATCGACTGTTGACTCGAAGTTCGATTGACTGTTTTGTGACAGCGGAAAGGTAAGGGTGTGAAGTTTGTTGAAAAGGGCGGGATATTTGGGCGAGACGTCGTCCACTTACAGCGGATGAAGCCGCGGATCTTAGGCACATAGGCCCCCCTGTGACGATTTTGCCCCCATTTCTGGTCGCAACTTGCAACTTCACCTCACAGCTTTCCGCAACTTCCGTCAGCAACAGAGCCCATCACCATGTCTGCCTCTTTAGCGCCCGAATGCAATGAAGTCAAAGAGTGAGTGAAGGCGATGTTGGGTATTGGTGGGACTATTCTGACCGTAAAAACCAGACGCTACGATACATGCTTCTTGAAATGGTACAGCGAAAGTAAGTGGTCCACGTTTCCTTTGCCTCCCATCATGACATCAAGGTTGGAGGAGGCGTCTAACATGCACAAGAGTACCTTCGAGGGACTGGCACGGATAACAACGAGTGCGCCGATCTCTTCAAAAACTACCAAAAGTGTTTGACGGTGAGTGTGAAGGGCGTCAAGAGGCTGCGTGCAGTGGCTGGGAGGCGACTCCTGGAACCGACTGACATCTATCTACTAGGTCGCACTCAAGGAACGCGGCATAGACAAGCTGCTGGACGAGGCGCGAGAAGACCAAAAGGACAACGATGCGACGTACATGGGACGCAAATGTGAGTGCTCACCTTGAGTTGCGCTTGTGCAACGTGTGGACAGGATAGAGTCTGACCATGCTTGCAGGAAGTATTTGAATTACAGTAGCACTATCACATCTCGCGGCTAGTCGGCGTTGATTTCCAGGGTTGCATTTGTTGGGCGTAATGTGGCAGTGTAGAGACCGCAATCTCAGAATATGACCCCATTATCAGCTCTGATCCATGACGCGTGCACAAGCGGATAGAAGTCAGCCAGACTCAAGGGGACCACAAAGGCATGTGCAGCTGCCAACCTTGAATTCCTCCGAGAAGAAACTCAGGGATACGACGTTTTTGAGAGAGGAGAGAAGGGGAAGAAGTAGAAACGCAGTCTTTTGTGATGGAGATGCAGTTGGTTGCAAGATGCAACATAAGGAGTAGGGAGAAAACATTGAGATCACCATTTGGTCTCCATCGGCTTGACGCGCCGCACCGTGCTGTAAAGGAGAGAAGCCCGTTCATCCACAAGCTGTTCATGTATCAGCCGTTCATGCATAATACTAAGGTGCAAAGTATCCAGACCACGTGATTATATAGTTTACATACGTGGGTTTTTCATCCATCTCTCGTCTCCGCCTTCTGTCATCTCTCATCCAGAAGGAAGCGCACCCTGACCTGAAATGGAAAGCCCCATCCCATCCCAAATGGCGTCAAAAGCAAAAAGCAAAAGCATGGGCCGCAGTTGGGCCAATCCAGTCCCGAGAAGCCAAGCTCACTGTTGAACTTATTCCAGGTTCCAGACCACCCACATCCCCGTCAGAGAAATCGTTCTGTCCACATACCGTGTCCAGTTGCAAGTGGAGTGGGCCTCCGGCACCGCGCGCCCCCATCACCCAATACCGGCCACGAGCCTTGAACCGCCCCCCCTTCAGTGGATGCGACCCGCTAGCGAGAGATTTCGCTGGCTTGGTGGCTTGGCTTAGCGTAGCGGCACAAGTCAATCGCACTGGCGCCGTGCAGTGCTGCAGCAAACACACTGATGCGCAGAAACAGGGGACCTGCGCCCTCCTCCCCGATCATGACCCGGCCTCCAATCATTGATTACATTGCCAATTCCCAGATTTGCTGCGTCGCCTCCACGCACGAAGCTTGTCCCTTGCCGTGTCTTTGCTCTTCCTCCCCCCTCCAGCGACCGCACGCCCACCTCTGTCTACGTTCCTTCTCCTCCCCCAGACAACCGCGTGAGCGCAAAAGCAATACCACTGCACTGCCTCGACTCGACTCGACTCACTCGCACCAAGTGAGTCTTCGTCGTCCTCTTCCAGAACTCCGAAAGACACGTCAACTCAACCCTACGACCCCACGATCCTCCCAAGCTTCGACCCCCCTACTCTCCCCGCGCCTGTCCCGCAATCCCAACCGAGTCCGCAGTCAGCAACCGCAGTCCGACATCGATCCCCTCCTCCCGTCCCTTGAACGCACCACCAATCTTGGCGACAAGCCTCGGCATGCACCGTCCAAGGGAATAGCGATTCTATGCACCCCCTCTCTGTTCTCAGCCTTGGGATCTTCGTCGCCGGTTACATCACCGCCCGATGGGACCTGGTTACGCGCCTCTATGAGCTTGCCATATTCGCTTGGGACTACGGAGTTGTTGTACGTTTCTCCTTGACTCCGGCTGTCCTTGCTCGGCCCCTTTGCGCCAGCTGTCTCTAACCTCCGTTCCTCTCAGACACGCGCCGCCAAGGGCTTTGCGCTCCTGACCTTCGTCTACCTCCTCATCTTTATTCCCGTGGAACGTTTGGCCACGAAGGAGGCGAACCTGGTACGACGAAAACTCTCGATACCCCCGCTGAGACATGTCTTTTTCTTTCTTCCTTGCGCAGCTACTGGGATGAGCTTCTGGCTAATGACGGTATCCGCCATAGCACCCCCGACCCCCGGAGCTGGCGTCTCGGCCAGAGAACAGTTGCGACGGAGAGGGTCCTTCTAAGCGCCGCCTCCTACGCAGCGCTTGGCTGACATGCCAGAAAATGACGGTTTAATGAGGATATTCTGGCCGACGGACATCCAGCGCTCCGACCTGCCTGGCGTCGTTGTGGGATGGAGGAACTCGAGCCTGGATGTCTTCGTCGTGGCCATACTCGACGACGTTGATGTCAGCATACCCTCTACAGCGGCAACCCTCGCAGCAATTGACGAGTTCACAGGCCGGTCATGTTGAATTCGCCCTCAAAATCGGCACCCTCTTTCGAAACTCCCCTCACCCTGTAAACAGCATTTACGAACGATGTGGCCACGGAGCGATGCATGTTTTGGGCCTCACAAACCCTAGCGACGCCGTGGTGCTCGATCCCTCCTTGTTCGTCGCGACGACCCCGACCGGCATAAAAGCTCCTCGAATCACCTGCGCCAAAGCCCTGAGCATACAAATCATCCTCTACGACCGACCTCGCCCTGGCAGAATGCAGTACATCTCGCTGAACCCCATCTCGCTTGCCCTCGGAAACAAGGAGGCTCCGGGCTTGCCGCCGACGGAACACATGGCCGAGGAGGAGAAGCAGGAGTTGAAGCTAAAGGAGCAGAAGAGGAAGTTGGTGGAAAAGCTGAAGCTGCACACCATAATCAAGCGGAACCCGTCGCCGAAGGAGAAGGCCTTGCCGAAAATTGTGAACCAAATCAACTGGTCTTGGGAGCTTGAACAGCTTCTGCAAAAGAACATTTCGCGGATCGGAACCAGGCCCAAGCGAACACTGAGCGTTTCGGAGCGGGTAGTGGAGAACGTGACGACAGTGCGGAATTTCGTATGGGACCTCCTGATCCTCTACGTGCTCCCGCTGATTCAGTGGGGGTTCGTGTATATGCTCATGGGCCACAGAGCGGTAGCCGAATTTCTCCTTCAGATTCTGGAGTTCCGACTGAAGGATAACTACCTAGCCTTGAAGGACATTTCGGCGACGGCGCAGCAGGTGGAAATTCGGCTTCAGCAATTTTGCTACTGGCCCATGCAGTACACAACCTTGCGACAGCGTAAGAACGACTGGGAGAGTGTCACAACCAGCCACCCTGACTATATCCGTTTCTATAACAGCTTGTGGCTCGTCGCCAACGATGTTATCATCGGCATCGCGCTAGGCTCCTACATTATTGACAATGCGGAATGGGCCGCCACTGCAATCAGTGAGCTGTTGAAGGTGTACACGGTCGAGGCGCTGCAACGAAGCATTTCCTGGTTGATGGGCTGGCCGGCGGGCTTGAAATTGAACGAAGAGTTGGCCTTGTTTCTTGGAGACCTTTTCCTATGGGTCATCGATTATTGGTCAAGTGAGTTACCAAGGTCCAAACCGAGTGAAACCATCGCTGACACCAGCAGACTGCATCACAGCTCTTCAGCCAGTGTTACCCCATATCATCTGGTTCATCGGGTTCTCCAGCTTCGCCGGCGCGAGCATGCCCATCGCTATGTTCTCCGACCTGTTGTCCGGCCTGACCGTTCACATCTACTCTTTTTACCTCGCGTCTGCTCGAATCTATCACTGGCAACTGACCATCCTCATCTCGCTCTTCCATCTCTTCCGCGGAAAGAAGCACAATGTTCTCCGCAACCGTATCGATTCGTGCGACTACGACCTGGACCAGCTTCTTGTTGGCACCATCCTCTTCACCCTGCTCTTCTTTCTTCTCCCGACGGTGGTTGTGTTCTATCTCAATTTTGCTGTTGCGCGGATGGTCATCATCTCGCTCAAGGCTGTTTTCGATACGCTTCTCTCTTGTCTAAACCACTTTCCCCTTTTTGCGCTGATGTTACGGGTCAAGGACCCGAGACGACTTCCTGGTGAGATAAAAGTCTATTTCCTCTCAGAGTGTCTTGTGACTAACTTATAACAGGCGGCATTCGTTTTGAGCTTCGAGATACCCATGATTGTAGACTTAGTAATACTTCCAACGAACCACCCACCTCTGTCATCTACCTCAAAGTAAGCCCCCCCAGCCCCGTGAAGTCACACAGGTCCCAATGCTAACGACCGCAGTCCATACCTCTTACCTTCCGCGCCATGTTCCACCAGTATTTCCAGATGGGGAACCGCATTCGCAAGCACTATCTCTCACCCCGGGTGCTCCTTTGCCTGCTGACGGGCCAGTTCGTCCCACCCCTCAACCGCAAGAATCTGTACAGCCTGCAGTACGGCATGCTGCCCGCGCGTCGCGCGAGCTTCCGCCAGATGTGGGACGCCATAACGACGACGCAGCCCTTAAGCAAGCCTGTGCCGTTTGTGGTGAACGGGAGGAGGTATCCCTCTGGGCTAGGTGGTGGTGGGAGAACGAGATATCATCATTAGATAATGAATTCAACGTGTTTCTTTCGTATGCTGCGCTTTCTTTTCCTCGTGACGTGAGGTTCCTTTTTGACGGACCATTACACGCTGACCCTACTGATATGTAATTTTCTCAGTACAGGAGACAGCCAGTCCTCGCTCAGCCTGGACTCGGTCGATACTTGAATAGTTCCCGAACCCAACATGAAACTCAGTCGCTCATGGTCATCCAACGCTTCGTCGGCGTGGCCGAGGTTCTCGGTCCCCTCGTCTCTGAGATTTTTCGACACTAACCCCTTCTGTCGTCCGGGCTTCTCGGTAACATCGTGGGTGGGTGTGGTCGTTCCAGAGGACCGAAGAGGAGACAGCTGCAGGTCGTGACGTGGGCTTATTTCAGCCCGAGGGTGAGGAAGGCGGCGCCGTAGAGGTTGGTGAAGTCGCAGTGGATTAAGAGGAGGGAAGTATCTGACGTGCAGTACACGATGGGGATGGGGTTGGGAAGGATAGGGGTGGAGGGGTTAGAAGGGGTGCGAGGATGGAGTGGTTTCTAGGGACCAAGGGTTGAATTCAGAGGAGTGAGTGGACAAGGAGACAACATTCTGAGAGTGGTGGGCGTCCTGGGTCCAGAATGTTCACTGCTAAGGATTGCATGGTTATCAAGGCGTTGGAATCGATCTGGACAAACGCCAGAGGTTGCTGACAGAGAGGTGTAAGTGAATACATGTTAAGTTGAAGATGTTCCTCACCCTATACCTCGAGAGACAGAATCAGCTGCGGAGTCAATGGTTTTGATGAGATCTGTTTCAGGAGTAAGAGGCTACCAGGAGAGAGATGATGGGAAACAGGAGGAGAAGAAAGCCGGGGAATACGAACTAGTGTGATAGTCCCTACGAGTAGATACTTTGACCATAGCAAGGGTTGTCCATTGCTGCATGTGCCTGACATCATGCTTAAAGACCAACAGGATATAATGAAAGCAACAAACATTAATATGTTACCCCCAATTGGCAATTAGGGCAGTCAAGACATGAGCACCTTTCCAAATGATTGCTCCCTAGTAAGGAGTCACGCCTAAAGCAAACGGCCAATTCATGTCGAAAGGACCAAAAGACTTACTGAGAAGCAAGAGGGACTTGGGCACCAAGACATGAGTATGCCCATGGAAAGACTTCGCAGAACTAGCCTAATGCCCTGGTCCAAGAAGTGATTGCACTCCGAGGTGCCTCTTACATCGAAAGCTCGCATTGAAGAGCTTGGAGCACCCTGTGATATGCTGGCCTGACCAGAAGTAGCAAATGGGCCAGGCAGGGCCAAGCTGGCTATTTACAGGCTGAACACATCACTTTGTTCTAAAAGGAAGTGTTGAGAGGCCCAAGAAGACTCGTATCGTAGCAGTGCAAGCTTACACGTCCCGTACCACGCCGGGCAAATCCGCCGCTCGGCTGACGGGAAGACGAGAGAGGGCCCAATCTACCGCGGATTCATTGCAAGAGGATACAACAAACTTCTTGCAACGGGAAAAAGGAGATCACTCGGTTCCCACCAATTTTTATTGTAGGCGATCGACGCCGCACAAAACAGCAAAATCGGGCGTCGTAGAGGGTTCTAAAAGGGCCATTGGATCGTCCTGGAGACCACGAAACGGGGAAGACGAGGTATTGCAGAAGCTAGCACCAGGCGTGGAGGAAGACGGGGGATGGTGTATCATAGCAGCAAGCCAAGGCGTTACAAATAGAAAGGTGAGATTTTGTCGACTACGGTGTTCGCCAAGCTCGTCCCGTCAACCAATCTTAGCACCTAGGCTGTCGGTGTATCGAGGCTGAAAGTCTATTTATTTCTCCCTGCGTGCTGATCGACTTGCATCACTCCCGTTTCTGTCGTTAACACGCATATGGCAATGGCTGAGATACTCAGCACGGCTTTAGTCTAACGGCCTCCCTTAATAAAAGAAAGATAAATTGCTAGAATGTAAATACTACGTGGTTTCAAGCTATTCATTTAAAGGATCGAGATTTTAAAGGATTACTGTAGCCTGCGAACTACGACAAGGTTGGATAACCTGCAAGTTATGTTACTGCGATACACAGCAGCAGTAGCAGAATCTTGAGATGCATGATATGCAGGATAGGAGAGACAAGAATCAAAACGTATTATCGTGACTAAATACATGATCAAGAGCTCTACTTTCGAAGTAGCCCTCATTGAAGACCCTCGCCGGACGGCTACAACAGTAGCATGACACTAGCTTCAAGAGGCTTGTATCTCCATCAGAAATACACTATAAGGCTTATGTGTCTTCATCTTATGTCCAGGACTTCTCTACTTCCAACCTCATCTTCAAAACTTGTTGGATCTCATCCTACAAGTTTCGCTTCAGCATCCAAACTCATTACACCATCACCTTCTGACGACCTCTAATTCCATCATTCCTCCCTAAGCTATACCAAAATGCTCTTTACCAACGTTGCCTCCACCGCTGTCGCCGCTTGCGCGCTCCTCGTCCCCTCCGTCCTGGTGGAGGTTAAGCTGCAATGGCACCCTACTGGAGACTGCAGTACCAACGGAGGGCCGCAGGGAACCTATGGCCCTGGCACATGCATCAGCCTCAGGTCGACCAGCAAGACGGTTAAAATTCTTTCTCACAAGGGTTTCTGTAACCGTAAGTGTTCGTCCATCTCCCCAATGACTGATGCGTTCCTGACTTGCCTTCTTTGAAGATTCTGCTGACGTGACCCGTGCGCGTAAAAGTGGTTACTTACACTGCCAATGGCTGCTGGACCTCGAGCGGCAGGAACTCTGCGAAAGTTGAGTGTTGAGGAAGAGGCCACTTGGAAACGTTCAGTTCTGGCCGATGAGATGTTAAACATCTTGCGAAGCAATGACGAAAGGCTATTGGCTTTTGCCTCTTCAAAGTTCATACATTCATTGAAGTTATTCATAATTACTTGAAATCAGCAACTCAAGCTGAAAAATGGCATACAATACTCTCGTTTCACACTTTCGTGAATCTATCGTGATAAGTCATACTTCTGATTAACGCAAGGAAACCAATGAAATCCTAATTTCACTCTTTCTTGCCAGTGTAAAGTCTTCAAGCATATATTCAAAGGCCGGCAAGTTACTGTATATCAGTGTCAAGTTACGTACGCGTTCCCACGCTATGTGTTTTGTGGAGCAGTTTAGATCCAGACCTACTTGTATATGGAATAACATAGTTTTCTATCCCCAGTCTAATCCGACTTAGTGGTAATCTAAATTGCTACTCATAGGCTGCAGTAGGACAAACAAACAGAAAGAATTGACAATATTAAGAACCTTATCGGACGCACAAATCTTCTTTCCCCTGTATAATTAGACGATTTCCCCCGGAATAGATATAAACCAAGGCCCTTTGTGACAAAATCTATTGGTTGAAGCCAACGTGCACAGAGAGTAACAAAAATGTTATTCAGGACTTTCCCCGATTCTTAGGCTGATTTTATCTTACATAAAGGTTACCACGTGTCGAGCGACAGAAAATCAAATGACTGAATAAAGGGACTATAGTATAACTCTGCATCGGATTGACAACTTGTACTGTTGATACTCCTTGGATGACTCTCGATCCCAGAGTTTTACCAGCTTCCAAGTCGGATTACGTGCAGATTTTCAAACTGAGGTTCAAGAATAACCTCCAAAAGTCTTCTAGGTGAGTGATTAGAACCGTCTGTTTTTCGGCATGTCAGCAGCCTGCCTGCTGCACACTGCTTATGACCCCAACTTTTGGCTAGTACTCATGGGCGCCTCCCTGTATCACGGCAAAATAGCTACAGGTCCTTGTGTCCAATTCACCTAAAGCTCACATACCAGAACATTAAGTTTAGTCTTGAGTCTCGCTGGTACTGGGGAGCTGAAAAACAAAATTTGATGATCGAGTGTCGCCTTTTGCAAAAATGGGTATCAAACTCCTACTGAGTGGTAATTCAGTTGCCTAAAATCGTGTTACTCTCGCGACTTATCAGCTTGTTTGAGGCCTGTTACCGTACCTTTTCGATTGCCGCAGAAACAAGACCGCGCTGTCGCATATCCATTGCAAGCTGCACGGCCATTGACCCTGTCACGGGATTGTTCAATGTCTTAGAAGCTAGACTGATAATACGAAGAATGAAGTCGAGATTGTCTTGCCGCAGGTAATCTTCCTCTGTGGAGTCCAAGTCGTTAAGAAACACCATGGATGTCGTATAGACGGCGAAGGTCAGGATTGGATTCTTGAGTTTCTCGCTGATATCAGACATCATTCGGAAAATCGTAAGTATCTCCTCCGCCGCGCAGGCCAATCGATCTTTGCTATGGCGCATCATGTGTTCTGATAGGCCAAGCGAGATTATCCTGGAGAGTGCCGCCCGGTGTAGACAGATGACTGATATATGAATAATGATATTGACGAGTATCGCGTTTCCGCATTGTATTTTCCTAGGTAGTTTCAGCTCGTCGGGCAGGCCTTGGAGTAGGAGAACTAGGTTGCTATCGATTTCTCGGTGTCGTCTCCAGTGTATACTAGCCCGGGGGTCTGTCGGGTCGCCCTGCGGTGGTGACTGTGTTGAGTGCTGGTACGCTCGCTGAAATAAGGATGCTGCCAGCACGCGGCCAGCCAACGAGGAGAAGTGTTGGCCATCTTGATGGAACGTACTTCCCAATGGGCTAGTAACCTCCTCGACGCCAGTATCAAAAGCTGCTTCTGAAGCAGGAAGGTGAGTCGAAATCTGCAAATAGACAAGTCAGTTACTTTGAGAGCCACTGACTGGTTTCGCGACTTATCTTACATCTTGTTCGTTGATAATAACTGGCCAGCCCGTAGCGCCGCTGACCAATCTATCAGAACAATAAATCACCCACCAAGTTCTGCGACGCTCTTCTGCTTCGGTCCAGTCTCTGGGCGGCGGCAGCAGGGGCATTGTATTGAAACTGCCTCCATCGACTTGATGAATACCTAGCATCTGGGCAACCCGTATAGCCCGGCAAAGACTCATGGATGACTGCGCGAAGAACAAGTACTGGGACTCGAAGTAGGCCATCAAGCACCAGCTCTGTGCATGCGCTAGCGTGGCAAAAGAATTCCCGGCTTCCTGCCAACCGTTAGAATTGACTTGTTGTGGAAAGAATAGAGCCAAGACTGCAGCGTACCCTCATCTCGTCGGCTTCCGCGTACGCTCTGGCACGCTGGTAAAACGGAATAGCGAGTTGGCGGTAAGAGTTGATGATCTCGGCACCCATAGCAATCACAATGTACCGAAGGCACATCGGAGGGCGCATGTGCGGTGGTAAACTCAACGACATCATGTACGTAGTGCGCTGAAGCATAGGCGCAGTATGGTGCCATTTATCAAAATACGAGTTTGTTCTAACCTTGTATGAGCGAACAAGGCTGAAAGAGCTGGAAAAAAAGACCACTTACAGGAACTGCATCAACTCTGGGGATGGCTGCTGCTCGAACATCCCCATTGGTATTAGTTCTGCAAAGGACGCATCGACACCCAGCGGATCAGGATCCGGAGCAGGCCCAGTCGATGCTGGAGCGAATGAGAAATTGCCAGACATTGTCTCATTATTTTGTCTGGTAGTTTGCGCATCCTGGGTCTCGTCATTTTTGGGAGATTTGTTTGCAGGTCTTGCCAAGCGTTCGAGTTCCTCTGGAGCACATTAGCAACTGTGTCACACAGTCCGCCAATGTTAGAAGATCCAAGGCAATAACCGAAGCCCATTGTCTCATCCTCGTAATTCCAGATTTGCTGGTCATGACGTACCCAATTTGGCCTCTAGCTCAAGAACTCGTTTCCTCCTGCCAACGTTCGCTCTTCTCGACTGTGGATAGTCGCAGTCGCCGCCGAGTCTGGCACAGCGGCCGCATTGCGGCCTAACGCGGTCGCATCTCAACTTCTTCACACGGCATTGACTGCACGAGAATTGAGTGGCGGAAGTGATATCTTCTTTTTGCGCGTGCATTCTCGATGAACGGATATCATTTTGGCTGTCCTAATAGTAAATGTGGTCATCATCAATTCGGATTTGCAGAGCCGAGAGCTCGTCGTTAACTACGCTTACATAATGAATGTGGCGCGAGTGATCTAGCGTATAATGGTGAACGCATAAAGTACGCAAAGGGTCTGCCTATTTGAGTGGGCTAGAATGTGAGTGGACAATCAGGTATGGCCGGCCTCCGATGAAGTGCGAGCCGGTCTTTTCCCAATGCAGACTCGTGCATCCCGGATCTTGGACCAATTGAACAGGGATGCGAGACCGAAATACCTCTCTGCCGAAATCTTGGTCTAAGCCGGAACCATAGCCCGGTGTCGTTCGCGTCAGTGGAGAAGTTGTAGAAATCCTCAGTACCGTCGAGTCCGTAACCTTAGTTTGCTACGCGTGTAAAACAGGGATATCCCAAAGCGTATACATATACATCGTACCTCTACTATCTTCTATGTTGTCCTTTTTACTCTTGTCTCCTGGCCCTACTGGTGCTGTTAATTCTCTGAATTCTGTCCCAATCTTCGAATGCTAAGCTGTTGGACGCACCAAGTGATGAGACAATAAGTCTTATAAGTTGTCTTAAAGGGTCGTAATGTACGGGATATGAAGCACGTCAAATTGTACCCCAATGTGTATGTGCTGACGCTAGATGAGGACGTGCGCAAACAAGCAAAGACTGCCTGTCTATATGTCATCTCCCAGTATAGTCTTATCCCACGTTTGAAGTCTCTAACAGTAGGGTCGGCAAGACGGAAAACAGATATGGAATTGCCCAGAGAACCCCCAAAAGCAAGGAAAATCTAGTTCTATTGATATCTTCAACACAATTATTCGCCTGTAGATAAAGGGTTCCGAGCTTCTTAAGTAACGTTACCAATGAGGGATGGGAAGTTGTATTCGTATACGGGTGTTCTGTCCCTTTCTAGCACGCATTTGGATTTTGATGCGAAATGGCACGCACCTCATCGCGATGAGGGATAGGGACAGTAGCGAAAACATCATGAAGAAAGGAAAATTACAATCACGGACACAGTACCGATGGCTTGGAACACGGGGTTTGCAGCGCGTATCGTTTCTGGTAAACGATCGGAAAATTTTGTTTCTGGTTTCGTTTGAGTACCTTGTCATTCGTTGCGGAACTCCAGCCCCTTGGAACCAGAATCGGGTGACGCGCTCCAGAGTGTTCGTAAAGGAATCTGAATCAGTGAAAGGGGGAGGAAATGCGCCTTGCCAATTAGGCTGCGAAAATACTGTTTTGCACATCAGAACCTCTCGTCAATGTTGACACTATATCGGGATATCGGAGCCTGTTCCGCGGTATTGGGCCTCCAAAATCAAGAGTCCCACTTGGCGTTCAACAACAATGGTTCTCCCGCAAGAGCTCTGTTTCAAGCCACTGCCAAAATGTCACAAGTGACAGACACGAAACCTCTATCTAAATAAAAAGGCGGGGTAGATATCATGGCAAAAGATGCATCGAGAAAACGACTAGGGCTTACACAATCGATACTGTTTCGCTCAAGGTTTCATTTTTTTTGGTTGGCAGTCCCCGCGCGCGACGCACTCAAGCAGCAATCGCAAATCAATAATAGCCCTCTATGCGGCTCTCAGCAACGGCGGCTCTGCACGCTTGCCATCATCATACAGCTCGCCTTGACCACCGACTTGCAATGACTCCGGAAAGACAATACGCAATTCCGAAAGGATCTACTATTCTTGTGACGGGTGCGAATGGCTTCATTGGCTCCCATGTTTGCAATGAGCTGCTTCAGCTAGGGTTCAACGTCCGCGGAACCGTCCGTGATGTGGATTCGTGCGCGTGGTTGCCAAAAGCCTTGATGAATCAGAAACCAAATGGAGAGTTCTTTTTGGCTTCGTTGCCTAACATGGAGAAAGAAGGGGCTTTCGACTCTATCGTTGAAGGTTGGTTATCAGACACGGACTACTGGTAAAGTCATCAAGTATCTCGGTTAGAGACTAACAAACATCAGGCGTGTCTGCAGTGGTTCATGTTGCCTCTCCAGTCTCTTTCAACCCAAACCCTGAATGCGTCATTCCTAGCAGTGTTGCTGTGGCTGTGAATGCGCTCAAAGCTGCCAACAAGTCACCGAGTGTGAAGCGTTTTGTCTTCACAAGCTCGTCTGTTGCAGCCGCCCTTCCCAAGCCGAACCAGAGTGGGATCGAGGTGACCGCTGACAGTTGGAATACTTATTCGGTTGAGATAGCTTGGAGGGAGGCGCCGTACCACCCTCAACGGGCATGGCATGTGTATGCAGCTAGCAAAGTTGCAGCAGAAACGGCTGTGTGGAAGTTTAACTATGAGAATATACGTCGCCGTTACGACTTGGTCGTCAACACAGGTCAGCTACTTCGATCGTAATATCTTATGATCAGGCTGGTAGCTAATTAAATTGGCAGTACTTCCGGGTACAAACTTTGGAAAGACACTCGATGCGATCAATCAAGGCCACCCTTCGACCTCATCGTTCATCGAGAGCTTATGGAATGGAACTCATCTAGATCGGCTTGCATCCATCCCGCCGCGTATGCTGCCTAATTCTTCTAGAGTCCCATCTAGGTTCCGCTGACATGAAGCTTAGAATACTTTGTGGATGTCCAAGACACTGCCAGACTCCACGTGGCTGGGGCCATACTCCCCAACGTCAAGAACGAACGGATCTTTGCGTGGGCCGAGCCCTTCAACTTCGATGCAGTCCTCGACATCTTGCGCAACCAGTTTCTTGAAAAGGATTTTGCGGATAATTTCCACCATTACCAGGAGCTTTCCACTGCACCTGAGCTTCGATCGCGGGCGGCAGAGCTGCTGAGGCAGCTGGGGAGAGATGGCTTTGTTTCTTTGAAGCAGAGCGTTCTTCTCAACGTTGAAGACCAGAAGATCACTCAGTCTTGAATTGCTTTCAGGCGATCAACAGTTATCGCTGACGACCGTCCAAAGTTAGATTGGAGTACAGCCTTCTTACACCTTTTCATCAAATCAATGAGCTGGCCACACAGCCTGCTCATATTTCTTTACATATATATATTTGATCTACACCTTTCATTGTCCTTGTCCAGCTTCAACACAAGGGCGGGTCATAGTGCCATTCCTTAAGTAGATCTTTTCAGGGGTGTCGACCTGGAACATGGATCCAGGAAAGAGGAACCAGAGCGAGCACCAGCCTTGTGTTTGACACGCTCAGACTACAAATATCACAAGCACAGAGCACAACGCGTGCAATCCAATCTCACTTGATCGACCAGCAAAATGCTAGACTCCTTGAGTGCTTCTGTATACCACATGAATGGATGTTGCTATTGACGCACCACCCACATGTGAACATTGAGATGAACTGTTGACCCACTTTGGCTATCACTGGCACCGCGCGCTGTTGCAGGTGCTACAAGTTGGCTGACTGGATGCAGTTGGCGGTCCCACCGGTACTTCTGTTCACCCCCAAAATGTTGATAACTGAGGCGCACCAGAACTATTCCGATTTTCTTGTTAGTGACAGATGCTACAAGAGATGGGCATTCAACCGGTATATTGTACGTCTAATGAGAGTATATTTCCACGCCGTAGACAGAGGAGTCTGCGGGCTCACGGGCCGATGTGCAGTTGCCTCCAGCCTCAATAGGGAAGCATGCGTCACCGTAGATGCACATCAACAGCCACTCATTCACGGTGTTCTTGACAGTGATGGTACAATCGTCCAGGATAATGGAACCGTAATATGAAGAGGCGGCGATGTAAGTGCTGCCGTCCTGGGTGAAGTATGTGGTGTCGACTCGTGACAGCCGGCGCAGGCATTATTGCGAGTGCACTCACCAGCTAGAGCAGCGGGAATTAGGGAGAGAAAGAAAAACAGCGAACTTCATTTTAGCAGCGATTGACGTTCTCGATAGAGAGAGAATAACAGTGTGTGTAAAGAGTGTATGAGAATGAAAGTGGCAATGCTGCTCTTGTGGAGGTGGAATAGGATGAACTGTGGGATGAACGGCTCATGTAACAGCAGAAGTCAGCGTCTTATACCATCATCTTAGAATGACATCAAACTCAAAAGTTGGCACTGCCTGGCGTAACCTTCCCATTTTTCGATGCCCTATATTATCTTCTCAATACAGCTTACTCTCATTTGCCATAACTGTGGACCAAGCGCATTGGGAACTCGATAAAGTGTAGACGAAGAGTCAAACAAGAGAATGGGCATACAGACCAGGGTTTCTGAGATAATTTTGCTGTAGAGTAGTAAAAGTGTGAGGATATTTGGAGGGCAAGATTTTGCTTCTCAAGGTAAGATTGATTAACTCAATTTAGCAGCATTGCCTTCAATTAGTAAGGCGTCCTGAGATATATCCAAGGGCGACAGAGCTGCTGGTAGACCAATGACTAGTCGTGCAAGAGAGCTTCGCTGCGCAGTGAGGAACGATAGATACTGAACCAGCACGAAAGCATTTATAGACTCATCACTCCGGGGAAATTGACGTCGAAAGCAATGACTCAATCCCACCATGGGGTCCTCTTTATACGGGAACACCGAGAATAACTCCGAGTTCTAAGCTTTTAAGGTAAATCATGAGCAATGTCTATGCTGACTATATTGAGCACTATTGTACAAAAAGTAGGAGACGACCTGCTTTTCGATGATTTTCTCGCGAATTCAATCTGCTTCAACCATTCCTCCATAGTCGTTACATCAGGATGAACTCTCTCAACTTCCACAGTATTGGTCTTGCATTCATATTACTTGAACCAATTTACCATGACACTGATCTCGGCAACCCCGGCCTCTGGAGCTTTGCCAAACAGCCCAAATCTTGTCGCAGCATGTGAATGACCGGTTTCTTGGTAAAATGACTCATTTGAGAGAATGTGACTTTGTCACCTGCCAAATCCAACTGTCTTTTTGCTCCGGATTTGTTACTTGCGGAACGCTTCAACGGCGAAGAGGCCAATGGCCCTGGTCGCAATCCATTGCAGAGGCTTCTCCTTCACAGCTACGAATCGTCGTGAAGAATATTTTACTGAGAAAGCCTGCTGCGAGATTGTCTATGAAGATGACCGGTCACATGGTTGTCCAGTCCATGGAACTCTTATTGTTCGCGGTGGAATTGCGAAGGTGATGCTCGATCTGATATTTGGCAATAAAATGCGGTACGTGGGTGGGATTGCTCTACGATCACTCGTCGCGGCCGCGCTCCACGCTGATTTAAACGAAATGATGAACCCCAAGTTTGATAGACTCACTAACAAGCGCCTTTCCTTGCCTAGTCTTGCTGTCTCTCACAGCTTGGACGGAGAACACGCCTCAGAGTGGGACGGTGCCAGCGGTAGTCTTAGCTGAAGCAAAAAACGCCGGGCCCGCGTTAAGGTCGCCTTCGACAATTTTGATGGACAGAGACTTGGCCGCTAAATGCTTTGCGGAGACTGATTCGATATTTCTAATAAATGCAAGCAGAAGAAAATCTGACGGTTCTAAGATAGAAGAGCTATCATGCCGGCGCTGTCTTGCTTTCCGGTTGTACTAGTGATGAGACGTGCCTGGGACAGGTTTACTGAGTCGTGGGAAAAAAAGATGAGTGTTTTTGTGATAATTCTTGGTTCGTGACAACGTGGAAAATGAGAACAGTTAGGGCTGACAGTACTGGTAAAAATAGACAAATGGTCAACTTTGGAAAGAAAAAGTTTCCTACTAATAGACAACCCTCCTTGTTGATCTCAGGCTGTCTACCATAGAATCCCCTATAGAAGAGTAAACTGAATTGACGAGGGATTTCTAGACCGATTGATGATATTGCCAGTTAGATTGTATGATTGCTCAGAACTCGTAAAACGATGGGTTGAGCTCCAGGTAGCTGCTCGGATATGTTTAAGGGCTGGCACTGATGTTCGGCAACGCCCTCGACGCCATTCTTGGCCTGTATTTGGCCAGTTTAGTCACCATACGGGCCCTTGGCTCGCCCTTCATTCCCGCTCGGGTCCATCTTTTGCTCAAGACACCAGGTTCATGCACAATAAATGAACCATCTTTTTTGTAATCTTTATTTAACCAATTCTAAGCCTTAGTCTTCTCTTCACTTTGGTCTTTGCAGCTGAGTAGGCCTGCTTCGGATTGCCGGAAATCCAAGAAGTTGACTGTCAAAACTAAGAACAAGGCCAATGTTGCAGACCTGTCGGAGAAGAAACTGCCACTCGGTAAAGAGAAGTGAGATAAGTAGACAACGATAACATATCGATTTTAAAGGGGAAGGTTAAATAGACATCTTCACGAGGCGATGTCGACTATCTCACCGACAGTCTTGGCTTGTCGCTTTGCTCTCTGCCCTACTGCCTATGGCAACATTCTGCAGAGCTCGCAATATTTATATCTCTCATAAGTTACATGATGCGTCCCAAATCTCATGCCCATCCTGCTTGAAGTGGCAAGATACATGGTCTCGATCCTGTGTTCAGACGTCCAAGAAAGGAGCCAGCCCGTCCACAGACTCAAAAGCCTGGGACCAACAGCTTCGGATTAGATCTGCAAGAGGTTTGCTAGTCAAGTCGGGGAACTCTTGGTTACTGTATATTTTCTGAACGTCTTCACGTTGAAATTCGTCAAATAGAGCTTTGCCCATCATAACATAGTATATCGTTGAACCTAAACTCAAGAGGTCGGTCTTGACTATTGGGGACCACTGCAAAGAGCGGCCCAGTGTGGGGGCTGCGTATCGAGTGCCAGGGCTGATCTCAGTGTAAGAACCGTCAACGGAGGATCCATAAAAGTCGATGATTTTGAGACGAAGACAATTATCCACGAGGAAATCGTACGGCCTAATATCGCAATGTGTAATAACCGAATTGTACAGAAATTGGATGCACTCAACAGCTTCAGTTGCCCATCTTTTTCTCTGTCCCAGAGGTTCGTCCGCGTGGGACTGGAGATAGTCTTTGAGCGTACCGTTGGGCATATCTTTCAAGGCCATGGTGTATTCGCCCGGATCCCAGGCCTTCTCTTTCACTAAAAAAAAATATAACTAAGACGATCGTCTATTTCGAATTCTGTAGCAATTTCGTGGCCTCGCTGGTGGACGTGATCACCGCCGGGCCAGGCTGTCTTAATGGTGGTACCATTGAGTAAGTGCTCAACATAGGATGTTGAGCCGATCGCAATAAACTCACCCCCTTGGTTCAAAGATGGAATTTCATCTTCGTGACCCTGTTGCGTACGGAAAGCCGAATTCGGTCTTGGGGGGTTATCGAACATTGCAGGACGTAGACTTTAGAGGTGATGGTTGAGCGTATACAGTAGCTCAGGTGGAGTAAGGGGATTAAAGTGATTAGACCGGTGTGATGTTGGTAGGATCACGTTTCAGTTGGAGGCGGTGAAGCAACATTACCCTGCAGAAGAAGGCGTTTACGGGGGGGGATTTGGTACGGTAACGGTAGGTGCCAGTGTCAGTCTGCCCTTCTCAGTCAACACGATACTTGCATGTGTTGTACCAACAGCTTGTTCAGATAAGAGTGGAGTGTCTATAAGGAACGGTCTGGAGAAAGGGAAAGCCGAGTATGTCAAAGACCATCTACGGAATACGACTTTTATAGGTCTCTATATATCTTATCTACTGATGTCCACTCACTGAAAGGTATTAGCTTCTGATGTCCGATCGAATCAACACTGACTTTCGTAGTTCCTGATGTCGGTAGTGCTAAGTAGCCGGATGTTAAGCCACTTACTTGAGTTGAGTCCATTTTACTTTGTTATGACATACACAGGAGATGACCTAGAGTACTGCTGTGTGACTACAGTTCTCAGCAACATCGTTGGACCTCGAACCAGATCCGGCACTGTATAAAGTATGTTTCATTTCATTGGTAATCACATTTTTTTTCATATCAATTGTTATAGTGTGTCTCCCTAATTTTCCGTGCATGAAGAAGGGTATCCACTCGAGTCAACAGCTCCTTGCGCGAAGCAAAAGTGGTAGGTATTTGTACCTTTGTCGAAAGCAAAACCGACCGTTCCTTTGCCAGATACGCCGGTCTATCGGGAAAAACGTCGTCAGCATATCGAACACGCAGTGCTTGAAATAAGGTACAGAATGATTTCTGAAAGGCAGGAGAACAGAAACTTACCGAGAATAGAGGGATGCCAGAGAGTGTTACACACTTGCCAGACGCAGTATTGGCGGCAGAGTCGTCTTCTTTGGTCCCCTTGGGACCCACGATAGCGTCCTGGGCTTCAGTCTTCGTGATGGTGGCGGAGCCGCTGCCAGTATTGCAAGTCAGACTGTTGGGGAACCCTTCGAAAGTTTGCGCGGAGGCGACAGCGCCGAGAGCGAGAAATAGAACGTTACGGGCAAACATGTTGGCTCAGTTCGAAGATGTGTGGTGAAGAGGTGCGATTGCGGGAGTGGTTTTGTGGTATCACAAAAGAGAATGCTGGATGTAAGAAAGTGGAAACTGTGAAGAAAGTGAAGGGTTTCAAGAACGAACGGTACAATTTAGATGCAAAGAGCTGCGGCTGATGAGATGAGAAAAGAGCCAGGACTGACGCGGAGACGAAGGAATTTATACTCGCAAGTTCTGAGTTGCTGGCTCCTCTTCCTGGTGTTGTATAGGCTTTTCAATGGGTCTGCGACAGCCCCTTGCGAGGCATGACGGGTCTGCGCGATGCATCAAAAGCCCGCTTGCAAATTCAATATCTACCAGGTACTGAGGCAATACAGCCGCGCGCAAGTAATGCTGGCGCCAAACTATGCGGCGCGTTGACTGCCGCACCTTATGCCAAAGGTTGTGGGGTTGATTGCGCGGGGAATATAGCCTGGTTAAGAGTGCTGGTCACTTACCCAGTGCATCAGAAAAGTGGAGGTAACCGCTGTCAGGTGGTGTGAACTTCGAGGTAATTTACACTTTGAGTTCGTAAGCGGCGTCACGTTAATGAGAATGGCTTGACCAGCCCGCCTTCGTTGCCGAAATAGCCCTTTCTGAAACGACTTTTCCAAGCGACGGACTTGGGTAAGGCAGGCCGCCGGTTATTGCCTTTTTTCAGGGTCTGAGTCAACAAGTGCAATAACTGCAATGGTTCATAAGAGGGAAATTCGGTATCTGCTTCAAATCTCTTCAACCGAATTATAGTTTGACTTTGCGTACACCACTTCATCACTGCCTGCAGCAGGAAGGAGCATCGCGCAGACAATAGTCGCGAATTCTTAAGCGTCAGCCTGGAACCGCAAGGTTAATCACGGCACACTTCGAAGCTTTTATGATATCGCGATTATGAATACCTCTGTTAGGAATGCTGAATCAGTACGATGCATCTGTAATTACGTTGTGAGTATTTATATAGCAACGATGACGATCCAGGATTTCGCTATATTACATCCCTTTTATAAACTTTGTCACAGTGGGCAAATATGGTCAAACCTGTCACAGTCCAGAGGGCCAATGCAACTGCCTCAATCGCGACCTCCTGACTCGACTCGTCAGGAATATTAAAGTGACAAAACCAAGTCTACTCAACCCGGCCATCGTATAAGAGATCGCCTAGAAGGACTTAAGGTAGACCAGCAAATCCTGAATCAGTATTGCAGCAGGAAGTTCCAGTGGTCTCATCTCTCCAATGAAGCTTGTGGTATTTGAAGCGTGGTTCAGAGGCGCTGAGGCCCCCGTTAACTCGACTGCATTCTCAGAGACTAGTGTCGAGAAAACTGTGTTGACAACTGGTGAATATATGACAAGCCAAAGAGAGCCCAAACATGCGAATGGTTAAGAGTTTCGCGGCTGCTGAGCCTTGGTCGTTGATGTGCTTGACATTCACTTTAACAGGTTGAAAAGTAAGATGTTAATGAAACACCCGGTCACCAGAGAACTAGAAGCTCGTAAAGGATCGATCGTTACTGGCCTCTCCTCCATAACCCAACCCAAATACTCATCCCGAATCACCATATCACCAAACACATCGGCACGAGCCTCTCGCCCGTAGAGGTGCTTGTATGTTATTGCTGCAAGCTTAGGACCAGCTGGCTGAGGATACTGTATAGGGTGGACATTGGTATTCCATGATATCGATGGGAACAGCTTTTGTATAGGTACCAATGGACATTCGATTTGGATTCGGAGGGGCCATTCGAAGGTTGGAGGGTGTAGATCGCAAGTGGGAGTCCTCATACACAGGGTCATGTGCAACTCGAGAGCGTTAATAAAATAAATCTAAGCGAGCCGTCAGTACGATGACCCGGTGGAAAGCGTTCGGAAGCCTGCCGACGAATTTGAAGTATACGAGTAAAAGGACTTACAGAATGTAAAAGCAGGCTGCTTGGAAATCAAGATTGCACTGGGTTGCTATTTAATCATGCATTGATAGGTCGTGGCTGTTGCCTAGAACGACCAAAACGGTGGCATCTAAGCATCCAGTTGATAAAGTAAGAACAGTCGCTAGTAGGAGACAACGCTAATTAGCTAGCCGCCTAACAAGAGGCTTTTGACCTGCCACCTATGTCCGTACTACAATGACGAATTTTTCGTCTAGATTAGGCATCCTTCATATCCAACTATGGCTGGATTAGCTCGATCTCTTCGTCGGGGTTGCAAAACTTGGAAGACGGACACTCTCAGGAATCAGGGATGGAGGCAAAGAAGGATCTCAGAGTCAGCAAACAGGGTTGAAGGTAGCCGCGGAGCCCATGGGCGATTCACTTACGAAAATCACGGATAGAAAAAAAGAACGAGAAACCATGGAGGTCTGAAATCTCTCAAGGAAGAACTCTATAAAGTTCTTTGAGCTCTATGGGTCACAGGGAAATCCCAATGGGGTTGTCGCTAGTTAGTTGCGTCCAAACCTTCCAGCGGAAACCTTTTCTGGGGATGTCTCGACTAATGCTCACAAGAACCATGATCAGTTCCTCTTGGCTCAGGCGTCGGACATATGGACGAGCTTTTTCAGAACCCTTGGACGGAAGATTGAATGATATCCCAGTGATGCATATTTGCTACATACATACGGAAATGGGAACCCCGCGTCTCTGTATTGAAACGTACAATCATCGCATTGGACCTTCGTCCGTCTCAATGTCGACAAACTCTGCAGAGAAATGTATAGACAATATGGTTCTCGAATCCTTACAACATTGATAATCTTCGGCGACTGGCTATCCTCATATCACAAAGCACCAAGCGCCACTTGGTCATCAGTCAATCTAGGGGCACTGGCCCTTGCGGCCTCCAAAGATCAACCGTCATAACCAGGATAAAATCCCCTAGGCCACTCAGCCATCCACCATCCATCCGAAACCCGGAGCGCAACCCGGAAGCCCGAGCGGCACGGGTCATCAATCATCATAGTCCACCGACTTAGGTAGCCCATAGACATCCCCCACGAAACTATGTTTTCACCAATATATCCACCATTCTGGACTCCTGTTCACTGGAATGGAAATGATCGGGCATGATGTCGAGCGACCTCCGAGGCCTACGAGTGTGAAGATCAGGGTCGAAGAACAGCAATGCTGAATTGGCAACCTCCTCCATGTCTTGCGTTATCTAGTACACAAAGCCGTAGGACTCGCGGCCCAGCTCAACTCACACATACTCGTCCGTCGCCGGTGGGCACCCCTCACCTCTTCTTCAAGCAAAGGGGCCAAAAGCTCCGCTGCTCACTGACAGACCCACAGCATGCGTGCCCACGTACGAAAAGATGTCTATCACACGCCTGAACCAATTCCCGAAGGCCCCTTAACCCCAGCGCCGCCCTCTTCATTGAGGAACTGAATATGAAGTCCCAACGTGTTTCCAGGCCACTTGTTTGAATTTGTAGTGCGGGCCGGCAAGCATCCGCAAAAGAGTTGACAACACAACAGCAAAGATAATGAATAGCGTTGTTACATTCCCTCAAAGTCGCCGCCGAGGTCGTCCTCATCCAGATCTCCCTCCTGTATCTCCTTGGCCATCTCGCGCTCACGCTCACGGGCTTCCTGGGCGTTCTTCAGCTCGAGACGGTGCTGGTTCATCGGGAAACGCATAGCCTGCAGACGGTGATGTTAGTCAAGTTTTGGAAATGAGAATATGTGCCTTCAACTCACCTTGACACTCTCGTCGTGCAGGGCCAAGCACGCGCGGATTCTGTCGTGGAAGGCTTCGCCGGGCTCCCGCGTAGCGTACACATCGCCGACCTCCTTGCTCTTCATGTAACCATGCTCGCGGTCGAGAGTTGCCTCAATGACTCCGTCGCGAATGGCCTTGGCAACAATGTACTCGGCCGACTCCTCGCTACCGAGATCGAGACGGATGCAGATGTCGCGGAGGGAGATGCGGGAGTAGGACAGAGACATCATGCGGATACCAGTCTTGATGACGTTCTGGCGCAGACGCAGAATAAGGCTGTAGGTACCGTCCCTGCGGAAGGTATCGGCATGATCCGCGATGATGGTCTCGAAGTTCTGGACCTTGCCGACCCGGACGGCCTGAACAAGGAGGAAGTAGGGGTGCAGGGAGAGTTCGAGAGTAGGTTGGCGGAAGGTGGATCGCTCAGGGATATCACCCATCAGAAGCTCAACAACCAACAGAAGCTTGGTGGCCGTTTGCGAGAAGCCGACTGCGCAGGCGCTGGAGGGCGCCTTCCTTGTCGCAGCCGTCAGGTGCTCGTGTGCCTCAGTGTATCTGAGCTGGATGGCGCGGATGCGTCCGAGATAGTACAGGAAGCGGGCAACCTGGTTGTTGGCGGCATTCTCTGGGAACTGGGTGTGAGAAACAAGCAAGTCGGCTTGCGCAATGTGAGACGTCAGCAGGTAGCTGCGAAGCAGGAGTACAATGACTGAAGCTTGCGTATCGATGTCCTTGCGAAGGACAGCGGTGCGCAGCGCGGCCAGCAGAGTAGGCCGGATGGCGACAACAGGAGACTGGGGAGAGGGGGGCTGAGGAGCGAGGTTCTCGCAGAACATTGAGTAGTAGAAGTAGACCTTGGCCGAGAGGGAGTCTAATGTGCGGCGGTTGAGTGTGTGGATGCGGTCGGATAGCTGTTTGGAGAAGTCGGCTCCACGCTGGAACTGTTTCGAGTCGTACAGGTGGACCTGGATCAGAATGCCGAGGAAGATGTCAATCTCCGGGATGATCTCTTTGGTCTCCTTCTTCGGCGCGTTCTTCGCCTTCGCGGGCTCGCTGTCGACCTCCATCTCGGGACCGCTAGACTTGCCGAGGGGCACGTTCTCACGGCCGATAGCAATCAGAAGCTGCTTGGCAACGTTGCCAGAGGTGACGGTAGCGGGGAAGGTTTCGACGATGGCCTGGGCAATGATATCGGGGGTCAGGCGCTTGCGGATGGTGGAAATCGACCGCAATGCTCGGAGGGAGAATCTGGCATCGAAGAGGGCCACGGCGCGGTCTAGCAGAGCAAAATTGCTCTTGATGTCTGCAGTACAAACCACCGTTAGTATGTTGACCCGCATGGAAGCAAGAAACGTATGTCCATCGTGATCACTCATCACGTACCTGCCACAGCCTGCACCACGGGGTCGACCTTGACCTCTGCGTCATCTGCGTTGTCCTCGTCGCCCATCGATACGTCGCCGTCGGCGTCCGCCGGAGCAGCGGCCGCCTTCTTGGAGGGAGGCACGACAACAGTCATCTCCTCGTCACCGTCCTTCGCTGCCTTCTTGCTCTTGCTCTTGGCATCCTTCGACTCAGCGTCCTTGTTGTCACGGACGCCGTTCTCGAGGGGATCCTTCCCGCTGCGCGAAGGTGTTTTGCCCGGCATGTCTGCTCAACCGACTGGTGGTGGATGTATGTGGGAAGTGTGTAGGGTGCTGCTCAGAATGGCAGCAGTCGGATTCGGTCGTGTAATCGCGCCCGGGGAGCAGGGTGCGGGTCAGGTGTTTTGGCTGAGATACGGAATCCACGTCAGGTTGCGTCGTCTGGCCGAGAAGAGGAAGCAAGTGTCAGGTGACACGGGTCTCGAGGGGATCAAGCTGGGCGAGAGTTCGATATCGAAGCTCTTTCGGGGTCGGTTCTCGTTGATGGGAATGTGTAGTTTGCTGTTGTGGCCGTTTGCCTCGTGATGCAGGAAGGTTCGACGGAGGAGAGCTCAAAGATTGAATACCTGAGGCTTAGGTTGCTCTCAGGCCCTTGGGGCGACTGCTCAGGCTGGGCAAGCACCTCACACCCACTCCCACCACACTAACCAGCACCAGGTCACGGTACCTCAATGTGGATCAGGTACCCGCCAGACACCACCGTATGCGCTGACACGGCAGTGGCGGCCGAGGTACCCGGTACGTATCTTTCCTCAGCGAGTGAGATTGCCGGGTCTGCTGGGACCGTGGAGCAAACCCCCAAATGCTGAGGAGGGACGTGTCCCAGGCGGGAGTGACGTTGTCGATGCTGCCTGCCTGACCCAGCCTGCCCTGCCAGCTGCGTCGCCGCGGTGCCTTTTTTTGTGCCAGAATTGTGCATACTGAGCTAGACTTATGCAGATATTCACGATTCCGGGTTCTACGCCATTACTAAGCCTTTGCTCTTAAGCTATCCAGGTTCGCTTCTCATGTCCAATTTATGTTCAGAAGCAACCGGTAATCAAATAACGGTTCAGACAATTCTTGTCCCACAGAGCCACATTGGTTTTCTTCGTCTACACTCGGACGTTTGCGTCTTTCTACAGCGCTTTCTGTCTTCGTCCTAAGAAGGCTGTCGGCGGTCCGAATCCAGCGCCACTTGCATATTTGCCCGTGGCCCTCGGCTGAAAGCGGTTTGCTGCCCTTCTCTCTCCCTTGACAGCTTGTCTGGACCGCTCACAATCAGAACCCCGTATGTTAACAGCTGCAGCCAGCCTTTTGCTGACTCATAACACAGAGCCATTTGGGTTGACTAATGATAACAATGCGTGTTGTAAGCTGCAACGTAAGGCGGTCTCAGTGGATGTGTGATATCAATTTGGGTATAACATAGACAATCTGAAAGCCAGTCTTGAGGGCAGTCGAGGCTTTTTGGGGTGCCCTCAAAAGTCTGCATATTGCGATCCTACCAAACGCCGTTGTTCTGCTTCCCAGTTCGTTTTGTGTGATGTCCATTAATTCCAAACGGTCGACCGTCATACGGCAAATCTCATTTCGCTGCGTAGGTTTGCCTACTTCTCATGCTCGAGAAAGTTAATCTCCACACGTCCCACTGCCATCAAGTCCGTCTTCTGTGCGCCCCCCTCGGCCGAGTACGGCAATAAAGCGGGACCGATGGTCTGAGCCGTGACAGTGGCCTGGTGCTGGACCCTGTTAGAGGGCGATGCAGCTCTCTTGCGCGATCGAGGCTTAGGTGCTCTCGTCCTTGACTTGGCTGGGGACGTGTCGATGTCAGCATCCCCGTCTTCTCCCTGATTGAAACGGACGTTCTTCGTCGGGGCCCTCTTCGCGTGGGTGCGCTTTCTTGTCATAGCTAGCTGCGGTTTCTCGGTGGGCTCGTACTACTCGCCCTTGCCGGAAGTGACCTTGGCGGCTTGGATGGCGCTCATCTTGGTGATCCAGGCGGTCGACGGTTGGATCTTGCGGACGGTGCGCAGCTCGTCGGACGAGTAGCCTGGAACGCGGATGTTGTAGGTACGCTCAAGGACAAGCTGGATGTCACGGATCTCAAGAACCTTGGAGCCTCGCTCCTTGGCATTGCGGCAGGCCGTCTCGAGGACATTGTCGACGAAGCTGTCGGCCATGGCTAAAACGCTCTGCGGGTTTGTCAGTATGTCTGTAGCTGAGTGAGAGGCCACATGGGAGCTTACTTCTTCAACCTCGGGGGTCAGCATGTTGATCTCCTGGCCCTCGGCATTGCCGCCGCAAACCTGCCGGACAAGCTCATCCAGCTTTTTCTTGCTCAGAACGTGGTCTCCCTCAGCCTCATGGACATAGGCGGGGATCTTTGCCATTGCCGGCTGTCCCATGACACCTCCAGCAATGCCACCGCCGCCTGTATAAGTAGGACGGCCGGCGCCAGCACCGCCAGCCATGGCAACAGGTTGCGGGACGGCGGTCGCTTTCTCCGGGAGCTGCTTGGGGATGGGGAGCTTGGATTGCAGCGTTTGGGTCGGCTGGGTAGGGTGCGCTTGTTGATGCGGAACGGCTCCGGATCCCATGACACCTTGAGCGTGAGCGCCGGCTGAGCCAGGGGTTCCGGTGGCCTGTTGCTGCTGGGCGGGCATGGTTGAGGTCTGCGAGTTCATGCGCTGGTTGGCGCGCGAGACGGCAGCGGAATGGCTAAGTGCTTGACCGGGACCGGGAGGAACAGCAGACTGGGGAGTCGCGACGCGCTGGGTCGGAGTGCCTGCCGAAGGAAGGCCACCACCTGCAGAGACGGAAGCGATGGCAGTGTTGACAGGAGGCGGATGATGCTGGCCTTGTGGCATGGTTTGCTGCGGTGCAGAAGCCATGCCGGATTGGATTTGAGCAGGCTGAGTGGTATTCGGGGTGTGGGTTGAAGGAGTGGAAGCCTGAGCTTGGGCTGCTGCCTGAGCCTGAGCCTGCTGCTGCTGCTGTTGCGCCTGCTGTTGATGAAGTTGTTGTTGCTGTTGTAGCTGCTGCTGCTGTTGCGCCTGTTGCTGTTGAAGCTGCTGCTGCTGCTGTTGTTGCTGCTGCTGAGGCAGCTGTTGTTGTTGCTGAGTAGGAGTGCCTCGACCGGCAGCCGCGGCGGCCATCTGCTGGTTCTTTGCAGCCTCGATCGCAGCGTTCACTGCGGTCGTGGGGTTTTGAGCATTCTGCAGGGCGGGGGTGCCTTGCGTGGTCGGGGCCGGACTTGCTTGAGCACCACCAGGCTGCGTCGATGGGGGCTGCGATGCCGCGACAGCCGGACTGTGTTGCTGCTGCTGATGTTGAAGCTGTTGCGGCTGCGTCTGGGGTGCCTGGTTCTGCTGCTGTTGAGAAGGAGGTCGCGGGGTCGCCGCACCCGCACCTGCCGCTGCAGATGCCGCCGTCTGTCCCGCCGCGGCAGCAGCTGCAACGGCCGCTCTCGCCTTGTTGATGCCCTCTTGGCTCTTACGGAAGTTGGTTACAAAGCTGTGCGCCTCATTATACATCTTCTGGGCATGATCCCTTCTTATTTGGAGCTGCTTCTGTTCATCTGCACCAAGCACGCCCTTCTCCTGCTGGTTCTTGATGTGCACATCAATCCTCTTCATCTGGTTCCCCTGCTGGTCCATCTGCATCAAGGCTCGTAGGTACTTCGCCTTGAAGTCATTCGACCATCTGACCGCACTCTCCTGTCCCTTATCTAGGATTCCCTGCGGCGGGTTGAATGTCATCTGTCGGATGTGCGCGAGGATGTGGTCCGGGAACTGCGTCGTCTGTGGCGCCTGTTGGGGCGCGGTGGGAGCCGGCGCAGCCGCTGGGGCGGGTGCTGAAGTCGGCGCGGGAGCAGGCTCCGTGGTCGTCGAAGGATTGTTCTCGGTCTTGGGTTCCGTCTTGACGGCGACACCTCCAGCATTGCCTTGGTTGGCAGCCGCTGCCGGTGCTTGTTGTTGCGGCTGCTGGGTGGGCTGTTGTTGCGCCGGAGCGGATGCCTGAGCAGGCTGGCTCTGTTGTTGCTGGGCTGCTTGTTGGCCGCCTTGCTGCTGCTGAGCCGCCTGCTGTTGAGCCTGCTGTTGCTGTTGTACCTGCATCCTCCTCTGCTGAAGTTTGTTCAGTAGCATCTTGGTAAAGTCTTGTATCTTTTTCTTGGCGTCCTGGTGCTGGGCAGACTCTTCGGGGTGCGTCTCGTAGTGATTCCATAGTTGGCGAAGACCCCTTTCGTATTTGGCCTTCTCTTCGTCGTTGAGAATCGGAAGGTTTCGCATCATCTCCGGTCGATACATGGGTGGCTGTCGCGCGCCAGGCACGGCTTGGCCGGCCATGGGGTTCGGCTGGCCAGACTGGCCCTGATTGTTCATCGCTGCGGTTCGATCGGTGGGCTGGTATTGGAGATGGGAAGGGGGTCGTATGGCTTCGAAGACTACGATTTTCTACAGAGTGATGGTTCCAACAAAGACAGCGGTGATTCTACAAGCTATTGCGATAACGAATGATTTGAACCGCAGGGCCGTTTTCCAGGTTGATGATAAAAAGAGCGCCGACGGAGATGGCAAAGAGTCAGAAGTGTAGTTGCGACAAGACACGCGTAGCTGGAAAGTTCCGTGTGGGGTTTGGATTTCATCGATGATTGGACAGGAACGCGCTCGCTCTCCCGCTCAGGCGTGTCTCGACTAGCAAGGCGGGAGACCCAGTTAATACTTAAATGTTGCTTGCCGCTGAACCAAAGTCAGGCCGACCCTGTTGGCTTTTTCCAGACTGACATTGAATGGCCTGTACGAGAAGTCATTCAACATTATGGGGAACCAAGGGCCTTTTGCCTCTAGTCAATTTGCTAGTTTCTAAAACTAGATTGCAAAGCTTTCTAAAGACTGGTAGTCTTTTATGAAATTAGAACAGACTCCGGAGGGTTCGCAACGTTCGATAGAGGGTCATCGCAACAACGTTCTCAAGCTACCTCTGTCTGACAATGGGCGGAAGTGTCTCTCACAAGGCATTTAGATTGGTCCAAGATCAATACAACTGTGTATGCGACTTGCATCAGGACATTGCGTCTTCAGTTAGTGTTTCAACGGAGGACTCCCGTGATCCTTGGCCGCCAGCTAGCTCATGCTCACCGAGAAGCCTTCATGTAGCCACATGGCTCAAATTTCTCGATGTGAGCAACTTGAGATGCCCCACCCCGCAACCCTTTGTCAACGCCGACAAACATATTGATCCCAGTGACGAACTGGATTGGCCGAGCAAACTTGATCTGAGAGGCTCGGAGCAGCGACAAAGAAACCTCGCGGCCAAGGCTACGTCACCTCGTGTGGTAGTCGTCCTCGATCACTTGCCTGGGTAGCCTGCAAAAATAGTCGTATATATGGACTGTAGGATTGACAGAGCCTCAACCCAAGCCGGAGCGTTCGTGTCCTTCCACAAGGAGCAGGCTTCTCGAACAAACATGGACCGTCGACACCACCCACCACCGACCACACGTGGAGTTAGACGCTGCTGGTCTTCCCACGGGAAAGGCCCGCCGGACCTGCAGATGAACGGGGCCCCCTGCGGCCTTGGGGCCGCCCACTCTGTTGCAAACTCCCCAACGCGCACTTGCGCAAGTTGACGATGCAGTGCATGGAGTCGACCAGGTACGAGAGAGGGGCATGCCCTAACCCGGAAGGAAGGAAGACGATGCGCTTTTTTTGTGTGGCATGAAGCATGTTGTTAGCTGGGGGAAGGGTAATCCCCAAAGTCGGACCCGGTGATGGAAAGCTGCGAGGCGTCGCAAGAGTGGGAGACTCTATTATATTTCCGTCGAGGGATGGCCCAATGCAATGCCTGTCGTACTAAAGACGCTCATTGCTGTCGCTGTTGAGGACATCTCTCCAAGGAAGGCGATGATTCCGAGAGGTCTGGGTGGTCGGGTCTGGTTGAGCCTCGACTTTTGAGGGATCTTCGCTTTGGGCCTTTAGCAAGGAATGAACGCAAAGGCTAAGAAGAGGGGCCGTCAGCATTGGGCTGCAGGAAACGACGCCCAGCCCATCCCATCCTGGTCTTGTTACGAAAGTCCTGTTGACCAGCGGCAGGCTGGGGGTGCAACCGTAAAGGACATCAGTGGTTCGCCTAGGTGTCCCGGGGTCATGGTGGTGGTGCTTGCTGGTGGTGAAGTTGATGATAATGACCGGCATCCCCAGATGGACAAGATGACATGGCGCCAATGGTGAAGACTTCCCCCACTGATGTTGAAGACCCCCGAGGCGGGTGAAAATGGACGGCAGAGTAGAACGTGGCCGGGCAAACATGGAGAGGCGCAGAAACGGCAGCTTCGCATCGGGCCTCGACGTCGTGTAACTCGACTCTGCTTCCGTCTCGCTTTCTGGAAATCCAATCCCAAAAGACACTGGCCGAGAAGGAGGTCACGCTGCTGAGTGTGGTGCTCTTGCCTTCCCTTCCCTCCTTCCCTCCTTCCATTCCCTTCCGTGTCCGTGGTGGGCGTGTGCATCCTGACCGCCTTCTCCCACGCTGCGTTCCTTCTCCACAAATCCGACCCGGCCACGAGCATGACACTGATGCATCTTGCCCCTCCTTCTTGGTTTTTTCCCTCTCTAACTTACTCACTTGCAGGCAGAGACAGCCGACCAGTCTCACCCTTTCGCTCTGCTGCAGTCTGCGTTTTCTGGTGGCTCCAGTGAGCCCATCTTGCCTATCCAGTCCGTCCTGCAACGTCCTGCAACGAGACCACAGACAGCCCGCATGCCGTTGAAGCGCCGTGCTTCGTCTAAGCCGTCTCGATACCCTCGTTCATTGGGCACCAGTGCTGCCATTCAATCTACCCTCTTCCTCTTCTCGCCATCTATTTTCCCGGGGTTCTCACTCCATCCACGCCTTTCACACCCCTTTTTTTTGTTTCTTTTTGTCGACAAGTACCTGGCGGACGCCTGTGGCTGAACTCTCCGACACACTCGGCACCATGTTACAGTCTCTGAGAGCCACGAGGATATCGAGACGGTACATCATTGTGGATGTTGACTGCGTGAAAATGTCGTTCGGGTTCTAGACAGTGGACCACCAGACACCTAGTCTTTCACAGCATGGAAGCCTTTTACACACCATACACTTGTCATGCCCATTTCTCTCTTAGAAGGCCAATGGCCGTCGTGATAGCCGTTGGAATCTGCTGTCAATGGCCTTCGAGGCCTGACAGGGGCGATAAGCCCAGAGAAAAGCCTTGGGTTGTTACTGACAGGTTGGGAAAAATAAAGCAGAAGACACAAAAGGCTCAAACTAGAAAAATAACTAACAAGAAAAGACAGGCCGAAAATTGCCAATGGTTGGCGATCTGGCGTCCAGCCACCCAGCACACTCAGCCACACCTCTCCATTACCCCTCCTTCGCATCACGCTTCTCACGCCCCCAGGATCTCTCGCTCTGGACCTCGTCGTCACGCAACACTTTCGATACCCCCAGTCCAGCCCAGTCCAGCCGAGCAAACCCATCCAAAGCCGCGCCGGCTACAATCCTGTCAACCCGCCCGCCGCTGCGGTATCCGCAAATGCGCGAGTGCTCACTGCGCACACATGCAATTTTCTTGACGGCGGTGCTGCGGGAGATACGGGTAGACTGGGGGGCTCCTGGAGCATTGCTGCCCAAAAGTCCAACTTGCGCCCCGCGAGAATGCGCAAAAGAGGAGACCACCGCCAACCCCAACCGCCGGGCCACACAAGACTTTTGCTTCTGATAGGAAGATATCCATGGGAGAGTTACAGTATCCAGCGGCAGGCTGGGTCCGTTCTACGTCCTACGGACCGGCGCCAGCAACACTGGCAGCAGCAAAGCAACAGCGCCCACACACAAAGCCCAGAGCACCACTCGCAAAAAAAGAAGGGATCAGAAGAGAGGCTCGTCTAACCTCCGGACGGAGTCTCTTGCTGCATGGCATGGCATGGGCATGGGCACAGCTGCAGCGCACATGTGTAATGACTTCTTTTTTATTCTTAATTCTCCCCAATCCCACACACCCGTAGAAATTTCTCTTCTTTCTCTCCCCTTTTCCTCTCGTCGTTGACATGCGTCTGCCTCCAACTTGATCATCACTTTGTCTGGCTATCATCACACGCTCTCCAGCTGTCCTTCTTGGTCCCCTCTGCTTGCCGGCATAAAGGGGTGATCCGTAGGAATTTACGGATTATATCAGCCATACCTATAAGACCGGACTGTCTGGTCGCGCCACCGACTACTTTCGGTTCTATTACGGAGTCGCTCAGTACCCTTACCGAGAATCAAATCGAGCAAAGCCGCGAGACGCCTTCACTCACTTGCGATCGCCCGGACGGACATCCACATTTCAGGGTCCAGGAATCATACATCGGCATCCCCTCCGGCTGTCCGTTCCTTTGGCTCTTCATTCCATTCGAAACGCCAACGCACATCACAACAGAGATACGGGCTCCGTGGGGTCGGCACTCTGTTGGTCTGGTTTCTCCCCCTTCTTCTACGGTATTCATCCCACCTTCGCTCTCACCCCGGCAAATTCCTGAACCTCTCTTTTTGATCCAGGTCCCCCACGCCTGTCTTCGACATTTCCCCCAAACCCGTTTCGTCCAATTATCTCCCCGAGGAAAGCAACACCGCTGGAACTCGCCTTGTTGACATTGCTTTTCTGCTCGTGTGCGCACTGCACCACTGTCTCCTCTCGACAGCCGTTCCGCACTGCAACCCTCGACTCCTCCCCTCATCAAGGCCGTCCCTTGTCGCCCAGGATAAAGCCCGTCCTATCGTCACCGCCCGCCCGATCTTCGTGGTCCCTACAGCCGAAATCCCGTACATTGTCTCCCCGAAACATTTCTCTCCACTGTCTCTCGCTTTCCCTCCTCTATCAGAGTTGGCTGCGGTGACACCACTGAATTGGGAACTCAAATCAGATTCGAGAAGGCCATTCGGGGCTGTCCATCGTTCGTCCGCCATTGGCACTTTGAACCCATTCCTCGAAGGGGTCTACCTATTGCGTTGTTGCACTTGCGCATTCGGACTGGTCCTGTTCCACCGCGCGCACTGATCAGTCTTACGCATTTCTCACCAGATCTATCATGACAACCTACATCCGCAGCCGAATATCCTCTTCTCCTTGCTGGAGGTTTTTGCTCTGGGTGTTGACACCTTGACTTACTGCCACTCTACCATTTTGCATACACTCCAATCACATCAGTAGCTTTATCACTGGCTGACGCTCGAGGGAGCTGATCTTACCTTTCCCTCATTTCCCCGCCAAATTTCTTTTCCCCCGCAAGACCTGAATAAAATATCGAGTCCCGCACCAAAGACAAGATCGATAAGATCAACGCCAACGGCGAGAGATTGCTGGGCTACGAATCACTCCATCGGAAACTGAACCTCATCGACACGAAAGTTACTTAAAACTTCCCAGTTGTCCTATCGCAGGCCCCATTGGCAATGCCTCGCAAAGCACGACCGACGACACCCAGCATGATGCTGGGTCCTCTTGGGGGGCCGAACTCACCGCCTCAGACCCCCAACTCTACCACGCCGATGATCAACCGCAAGTACGCCGCACGACACCAGCCACCATGGCACAATCTCAGTCGTCCGACCTTGCTAGAAGACTCCGGTATTCAACCTACAGGCAATGGTCATGAGTTTAGCTTCACTCCATCCAACCGCTTCGCTCAGTTGTCGCCCCGCACCTCCTCAGAAGACTCCGAAACCGATGAGGACGAGGAAGATTCCGAGACCAAGTCTGGTGAAGGCGAGGCGATGCAAATGGTAGCGAAGGATGAGGAGGAGGAAGAAGAAGACAGCGACGACGAAGAGGAAGACTCGGACGATGAAGAGTCGGACGACGAGGATGACGATGTTCCCATGAACATCCGCTCTCAACGTTCAGCGCCCATGCCACCTTCGATCCCCGCCCCAATGTTATTTTCGGGATCCGCAGCCATGGCAGTCGATTGCAATTCTGAAGAAGAATCGGACCAGGAGGAAGACGAAGAGAACTCTGATTCCGATTCAGATTCAGATTCGGAACCAGAGTCTGTAGTCACTCCTCCGACCCAGGAAATTCCCCAGGAAAGTCATTTCGTTGCTGCTGCTGCCGCCGCTGCCGCCGCTCCCAAAGCCAACTTCACCCTCGAAGAACTTTCCGACTTCGACCCCATGGATCAGGACCGCACAGGGACCATCGCGCCTTCGGGCTTCTCCTCTCCAGCCTCGGCCCGCTCTCGTTCGCGGGCTCCGATGCCCAAGGAGTTGCCTCCTGGCCTGACGCGTAAGATGCGTGACCTGAACTGCGGTCTATCAAGCTCGGAGGACTCAGAAGGGGACTTGGACGAGGAAGAGGCAGCTCACCGCGAATTTGTTCGTATGCAACGGGAGCTGAAGATGCGCAAGCGCCGTTCCCATGGCTCGAGCATCGGCAAGCGCACCATTTCCGAGCGTAGTGACTCTGACCACGAAGACTGGACGCCTCTCGACCCCGACGCTGTCGGCTCCAGCGCCCGTAGACTCCGACGACGAGTCGGAGATCGGCGCAGCTTCATCCACCTCCAATTCCAAGACCCGCCTCCTCCTCGCATTGACGAGCTCGACGAGCCAGAGAGCGAAGTCGAAGGGACCTTCATCTTCTGCGACAGCGGCACGCTGGCACAGGAGCTCCCTTACTACTCCATCGAGATCATGGAGTACTCCACCCCCAGCCCATAGGTTGGACAGATTGCCCCAAGTGGCACTCACTATACGTTTTACAACAAGCATGAATAGCTTTATAACGATATACCGTGTTCGGTCAATAGTGGTCTGCATCCTCGATAATGGGGCAGGTATATACCGACGGCACAACAATGTTTCACGACGAACATAAGGGGATATGGTTGATGGTTGATGGCACAGCATGATGATGACGGCTTGATGACTGGCATTTCAATTTCTATTACTATTCTGTTGTTGCGCTTTTACGATTTGTCGCCGTCTTGTCACGATTGATACCTCATCTAGACTTGCATTAACTAAGGAGCGATGCCTGGGAAGATTGCCACAGCGCGGAGCATCACATTTGTCGCTGATGATTTGTTTTAGTTTTGATGATAGATCCGAAATTTCATAGAAGAGCCTCATCGCTCAAAAGGAACGTTTTCCTGCTGAACCGTTTGCTCGAAATCCCACATGTTCGCCAATGTGACAATGGGAGAGGTCTGCCTCCCGTCCACCGCTTCCCTACGCTCGCCCAGACCCCGCCCCCAAAGCCACAGTTGCTGTAGCCCGGAACTATTGATGGACGGTTCTGCCGGGGGCGGGGGAGGCGAAAAGGCGACGGACGCGCGCTCCCCTCAGCAAGGGCGGTGTGTTTGATGATGAAGCTGTCGGGGGCGATGGACGATGACGTGCAGCGGGTCACCGGAAAGAGAGGAGGGAGTACGTAGGGTGGTGGGATTACACGAGCATGGCCAGACTGGGAAAGGACGAGAACCGCGAGTCCAGATCTCGGTGTGTGTCGTCCTCTTCATTGGATTACATCTCTGTCCTGCATCTCATTGGAGGTCTCGACCTTTTTTTGGAGGAGCGAAGCGGAGAAGGGGGGGGGGAAGAGACTCTGGGGGTGTGGCATCGCGGTTTTGCACGTGCTTGACGGAGGACCCGCCGCTTACCCTCTCTGCTAGAGGTGCTCGAGGCTCGATCGCTTGCGTGCTGGATCTATGTGGTATCGGCCTATGCAAGTGTGCATGACGGTGGAAGAGAGGCGCGCCCAGGACGGGGAGAAGGGGAATCCGGCCGCGGGTGCTGGCTGGGCCCGGCCGGAGGTGAGTGCGAGGTGGGAAACGGCGGTCAGCGGGTGGCTGGGTGGGGAGTGGGGTTCTGGGGTGGTATCGGTTGCCGGAAGGCGTTGGTTCCATCTTAGTACCGTCGGCACGTGGGTATCGGGTGTCAAAGACCGACGGCTTTGCCAAAAGGGCGTACCTACTACAACATCCTAGTGCCGCACGGAGCAGCGGGATATGGGTCTGTAAAGTGATCAATCTGAAGGCTTGCGCGTGTGGGGCATTGAGGAGTTTGGAGGTTCATGTGAAGATTGATTGCAGACGGGGAGTGTAAGTTAAGGGCTCGGTTGCGTGACACGTGCATCTGTTTGTTTGGTGCTCTTTGGCGATCCCTGTTGCTGAAGGTACGCGGAAACTCGGGGTCGTATCGGTTTGGTCATTTGTGTTTGCAGCTGGTCATGAGCTTGTTTTACTAGTGAACGAGTTGATTTTGTTATCCGGATGGCGGTCTGTCCAACATGCAATGAGCGAACCAAAGATCTTGAGCATTTCTCCTCCCACTACTTTCTTTGTCCGTGACAACAGAGACTGGAGCACAGACCGAAAAAAGTAAAGTGAAATGCGGTCTCCAAAGGTGTAGCAGGTCAAACCCTGCCCCTTTTTGGTAGTTATAAAAAGTCAGATATTAGTAAGGATACTTAGGAATCAAGTTATTGGACGACCAATCGTTAAACTCAATAGCTTGGGGCATTGCAGCGGGAGTAGCAAACCCACATATCTCTGTATGTTGCTGTGCTCATCAGGTCGTCTATGTGAATCTTGTTATTCAGAGGTGCGCGCCAGTGGGAGGAATCCAGGTTGACTGGAGAGGACTCTCTCTATCTCTGGACACCGACTGGGCTCGTTGAGCAAGACCAATCGGGAGCCACTGTGCTGCACTTGTCTGATCCTATCCCAACAGAAGGTATGAAAGTGTGATCGACCGTGAACAAACATGGATAGTTAGCATGGGTCAAATATGTAATATTCGATGGAACTTTCGAGATATTTGAGGCACAGTCTGCATCTCCTCCCGTGGGCGAAGAACCATGCTACTCTTCAAAAGCTGGGGGCTACATACTGTTTCGGATACCAAATCCCAACTGTCACCAAGGACATTCGCGCTGTGGCGAAAGAACTTGGAAGCACTCTGACCACCGCCTTCGACGCCGTTGGAAATGGGGTCACAATCCCCGGCAATGGCTCTCAGAAGGCTTTCCCCGTCCTTGTACGTGAAAGTCTGTCTGAGGGCATTTCTGACGAATCAGTCCTGCTCATGTGCACACTACCTGTTAACAGTGACCCGGCATTTGGCTTTTGTACCGCTTATCGGCCTGTTGGCAGTGTAGAGGCCATGGGGAGCCCTCAGGGCCCCGAGTTTCCAGCTCCCTCTAGCAAGATCATGTCTTACCTCCTGAGCGCGGCTGATAGAGTTCCTCGGCATCCAAATGTTACGGTGGTGAAGGGAGGGGAAGTGGGCATTAAGGAAATCGAGAGGGTGGCTCATGGGGGTGCTTCTCTTGAAAAGATCGTAATCGAGCATCCTATTTAGACGCAAATCAGTGAACAAAGCACATCGTTGACGAAGCCCACTGCAGCATGCATTCCAAAACACACGATGCTTTGGACAGAGCGTTGACCTTTGTCCAGTCATTTCCATTGTCAAATATATCAGGGGCAATTTCTTCTAGGTACACCTAGAACAGCCATGCAAATCCCTTGCGATAGATCTTGGCGAGTGCGCCCTTATTTCCTGACGCCGCCTCTTTTTCTCTCCTCTCGGCCTCAAATGCCTCCCTCTCTTCAGCCACCGTCTCTTGCGGCACGCCCGTCACCAAGTCAGCCGTCGCAGGGTATACGCGTTGCGACTTCTTGAAAATCTTGAATCCAAAAATGCAGATCAGATACACGGGGATACCGATGTACTGCACGATGAAGTTCTTGTAATCAAACTTGCCCACAAAGACCTCAATGCCCTTGGTCAGGGTCAAGATGATGAGGAACCCGAGCGCAATGTAGGAGCCCCACACTCCAAAGGGAGCGCGGTAGGGGATGTAAGCCGGGTCGATACGTTGCGCATCGCGGGCGCGGCAGAAGCAAATGTGGGATACGAGGATGGAGATCCAGGTCAACAGGCCTTGAATACGTCAGCTTGTTTTCTGACTCTAGATTCAGAAGCAATGGTGAACTTACCGAAAACAGTGACGACATTGGTCAGATACCCAAACACAGTTGCCGCGCCGGAACTGACAGACATGTACGCCAAGCAGCAGAACAGACCACACAAACCCAGCGCTACGAACGGCACACCGGCCTTTGTGGTACGTGTGAAAATACGAGGGGCCTTGCCGTCAGCAGCAATACCGTACAGCGTGCGGGATGAGATGTAGATATCGGAGTTTGCGGCCGAGAACACGAAGATGACGAGACAGCCGTTGATAACGTGGTCGAGACCCTTGATCTTGGCGATGGTGATAGCGACGACGAACGGCGAGGCAGCGGCACTAGTCTTGGCTGAAGCTGCGAAGACAAGCTCGGCGCTGTTATAAGGGACGACCATGCCCAGTAAGAAGACGGAGATGACGTAGAAGAAGACAATACGCATGAACGTCAGGCGGACAGCCTTTGGCATGCTGAGTCGGGGGTTCCTGGCCTCTCCTACAGTGACACCGACAAGTTCGGTGCCGGAGAAGGCGTAAACGGCGGCGACCATAGCGCTCCATACACCGAGCAGACGGCCCTGTGCGCCCTCAACCTTGTATACAGCAAAGGCACCTGGGTCAGACCAGTATCTGAAGCCAGGACGGTCGCCGGTGGGACCTCCACCGACGGCCAAGATGAATAGTAGAAGTATGACGCCGATCATGATGACAACCTTCAAGGACGACAGCCAGAATTCGAACTCGCCAAACGCTTTAACGCTGATGCTGTTAATCAATAGGATGAGAACAAGCGCGATGGTGATGAAGACGGCCGGGCTGACGCGGTCACCAACCCAGAACTTCATGATAAGAGCGAAAGCGGAGAGCTGATTCGGCGTTGCCAGGAGGTACTTGAAGAAGTATGTGTAGCCAGTTGCGAAGCCAAGGGCCGGGTCGACGAAGCGTGTAGCGTAACCGCCAAAGCCGTGGGATAGAGGCATGTAGGAGATGATCTCGCCAAGGGCGGCCATGACGAGGAAGACGACGCAGCCGACGATGGAGTAGTCGATAAGAATTCCTGCCGGGCCTGTCTTGACGAGGGCAGAGCCACTTGGAATGATCAGTCTAAGTCAACGACCCTGTGACAAGGAGTGTTCCTTACGTTCCAATCAACAATCCTGTTCCCAGAGCGCCACCGAGCGCAATCATGGTAACATGGCGAGCTTCGAGGCGCTTGTGAAGCTCATGGCCAGGCTCTACGTTTGGGTTCTCGACTTGACCGAACTTCGCACTCTGTTGTTGAGACAGGTCTTCCAGGCCCGACGGGTCTACCTTCTCTTGGTCCACAGTTGCCATGTTTCAAGAAATAGATGCTGGTTGAAGACACTACCGAGCTTCGCGCGAAACTGGGAGCACTACCTGCTATTTGGGTTCAATGTTGTGGCGAGCTCGGAAGCCTAGGACGGACGGGTCTGCAATCTCCCCAACTTTGTTGAGCTCAACCCGTCATGTTGGCACAGGGAACCATATATCTAAGTTATGCACTTTGGCCAACCCCAAACCATCAGTCAAGCGACTCAAGCCTTGACATCCTAGCCTTGGTCATTATCTCTATCAACCCGTGGGTCTGGGGTAGTGGTTCGGGAGTGGATACCGAAACGGAGGAAAACGCGGGGAGAAGGCCCTCGGGACCTTGGGCCGCATACTAATATCAGATAACTCGCTGACTCGGCCATGCCCCTATCTGTAGTCCCGTAATTTCTTGCGGGGCGTACTTATCATGTACAGCAGATAAAGGCGTTCGCCTCCAAGAAAACCAGTATTGGTGATGGCGTTACCGTTTCCACGTGTGCAAGCACGCAACTACTGTTGCAAGGTTCCTCCTAGCAGCCTCCACTAGATAACCCCCAGCGCTCCGGTACCAACAAGCGCTGAAGTTTTAGATGGTTCACCCCCCACAAAATTCAAGATTGGGGCCTTTTATTCGCAAAAACGATCCCTCAAGGCGCCCACTTTCCGCCGGGGTCGCCGTCATTACATAGTAGTTATTGAATGAGCCCCAGAGAACTGACGTCGGGAACGCTCATCCGTGGCCTTTCTTGCAGCGAGCTTATCAGAGCAGCGCTCCGCTGAAGTCAAAATCGGGTGCGATAGAGTCAGTCCACAGCCAGTTCCCTGAGAGCTGATCTTCGCCAAAGGCGGTCATATCGGGCTCCCAGTCGAGCAAACCCGCGATTGATAACATTTGCTCTGATGCCAGGCCATTGGCTGTGCTTCCCGTGGCGGGACCCCGGTCGGCGAATTGTTCGGTAGACGGGGCTTGGCTTACGTTGCCATTGTCTACCGAAAGCTGGGTTTCGTCGTGCGCGACGTTTGTGTTGTTTCTGCTATCCACAGATGCCAACGGCGCGTGATTTTGGGCTTTGGCAAGACGCAACATCTCTTGCAGCTTTTCAAGCTCTTCCTTTCGGTAGCGAGCTACTACATTGCCTCGGTCGATCATGTTATCCAGGATGCTGAACGCTGTTTGCATGTAGCTGCTATCTCGGGTTGGGAGACCGGGCACGGCGGTCATCAAGGTGAGGACAAACGCAGCCGAGAACGTCTGTTCCAAATCGAACGGGAGGAATGATTCTGGCAAAAAGTCAGGTATTTCGTTCGAGGACTTTTAGACCGAGTTTACTGACCCAAAAGATGCTGCGACTGCAGTGTTGACAGAATACGAAGTGACTTGCTCGCTGACTCCGAGGAGGTCTTTAACAACGCTTTGATCGGACTGGCAAGACCCCGATTTGCAATACCGTGTCTTGCGAGGATGTTTTGCAACAAGCACATGAGAAGCGGACGTGTAGCGAGAACAACGCACTCAAATAACTGTTAGCGAAGAAGCACATTACTGAGAATGTGAGGCAGCGACGAACCTGATGGTAGCACAAGTTTAGAGTTGCAGATACCCTCGATGCAGGCTCAAATTTGTTGAACTTGAATTCGAAACCGGCAGTAAGCTGCGGTGCAAGCCTTGCCATGTTCCTCAAAACTTCTTGGACGCTCTTCAGAAACGAAGGATCCAGTTTTCCGTCCACACCGTAAACAGCTGTAGCAACGTTAGAGAATCAGAGGCAAGGGTAGGTAGCTGCGTACTCACTATTCAAGACCTTGGCAAGTACTCGCGAGAGAACAACATGAATGCTCAGAGCCTTATACTTGTGGCCTGCCGGATCCGACCTCGGCAATTGGACAGTGATGTCGCTATCTTGTATCGAATTTGGAGCGCCCATAAGGGATGACAACTTTCGATCTAGGATGTAAAGAGTCCACCAGATGCAGCGGAGCCTGTTCGCTTCACTGTCATTAAGGAAACCCTGCAACGGTTCGCGATGCAAGCCTTGAGTAAGGGCTATGCGGAATGCTTGCCCGATCTGGACTTGTCAGGTTTCCCTCAAATCGTAATTTGTCGTTGTTGACTTACGTATGTATATGCACTATTTCTGTGGTCAACTGACTGGAGGTATAAGGCAAGACAACACAGTATCTCAACGGATAAGACTGGATCCTGGTAAAGACCATGTACATCAGGAAGAAGTTCCAAAGCTCTGGTCACCAGACTGCTTCCGGGAATGGTTTGTGCTGGATTGCTAGGAACTAAGAGGGCCTTTCCGAATGCCATAATAAGCAAGAACTGGATGTACCATAGCCGTGCATCCGCTGTTGGTTCCGTCCTCAGGTCGCGCTTGTAGAAGTCGTAAACCCCACTCATAAAGCTCTCTTCGTCAAATAGGTGGTACGTTTGTCCCAAGTGAAATTTGACAGTATTCGTCAAATACAGAGCGTAGTCGAGCGAAGGGATGTCAACAATTGCCTGCGGAGTGATGTTTCTGGACGAAGGCCAGTCCAACTTGAATGCCTGAGCATCTACGTTTAAAGGTAACTCGGGAGACTCGTGTTGACCAAGATGACTCTGGATCATGTTGAGAACCTGCCGACTGTAAGCCCAGGTGGACGAGGGGCCAAGCCATCCTATCACAAAAGTAAGCATACAGTGAATACACGATCTTGGCTTCAAACTTACGCCTCCGTCCCGCCGCATCGGTGACAAATTTTGAAGGTCCGATTGCCAAAGGATTCCTCATAGTCAATAGATCGCGACGTTCTTCATGGTCGTCCTCGCCACCAACGGTCGTGCCATCATCTATCGAAAACTGACGTGACGGAGAAGCCATATGGACCGTTTCAACCAGTGCTGCTGTTGTTAATTCATGATGAATAGCCTCTGCGACTGGGTAGAGAATTCCAGGCACCTTACCACGATGTTCATGATTATCACCGGGCGAGGTTGATCGCTGATACCGAGATCGCTTGGGCGGCGGGGTTTCTTCGTCAACTCCGTACCTAGACTTTCGTTTCAAGTCGTTTAGAAATCTGCAATTGTAGATCATTAAGAATCGACTCATTCCTTCAAAAGATGAATGGTATTTGAAGGTACCTCTCAGAGACCACAACTTTCCGGTCTTCCTTATCGAACACGCACTCGACCGACTTGCGCAGACAATTGGCACACGGCAATGAACCCGAACACTTGACCTTGCGCTCACGGCAACGCGCGCACCTTGGATAGCCATCAGTCTACTTGCACTCACGATTTGTATTATCCACTGTCCCCGGATGAGGCAAGACACAGGGAACACACTCACGCGTTGTTCGCTCGCTTGCCGCGCGTGGTGGAGTTCGTCGCGTCGGCATCGGGCTCTGTCGTGGTCCTTGGACCTTCGCCTTCTGGGGCCATCGCGAAAGCACAGTGGTGATGGTTTCTTGTTATTCCTTAATTCAAATGAAAGCTGGTGGGCTGTCTCTTGAAAGTTGACACGGAAACGTCATTAATAATCAATTTAAAGGTGATACGTAGGTCGTCAGTGTGTTGCGGACGCGAAGTCACTAGGAAGCCAGTTAGCCACACCGTGCTGTGGCGCACACTGATCCTTATTCGTTCGGCGTGGCTTGTTTCACTGGGCCCCAATGAGCCATAGAACTTTTTTTGCGTGTCGATACTTAGACCAAACCTGCTAACGTCCAAGTATGCACGACTGCCAGCTAGATAATTCACATGATAACAGTTTGAACGTTGAAATAAGACTATGCTGGAATGCACACATCAAGAACAACTAAAGTGACAACTAATCTCAGGAATTCCTCCATCCTTCAAGGGAACAATGTGTCTGAGACCGGATCTGAAATTGAATTCCTTTGCGGTTGAGATTTGGGTAGGTGGAGGTTGGCGTCCCTAATCAGAGTTTAACGCTAATGATTGCTCGGCCTGTTGAGCCGAGGTGTGGCAACTGCTCGACATGCAGGTGGCACCTTGCTCGGCACCCCATTCCGTCTCAAATATCCCGAATGCCTGGTAGAGGAAGGGATGTGTTACCGTCACACCAAATCCAACTCTTATCTAGCATTGAGACATGGTGTATGATTCCCAAATTTGTTAATTTTGTCGAGTATGGAAGGCCTCTTTGGACGTGAAGTCAATTGTTTAAAGAATTGTTATGCCCATGACCAATAACCACCTCCAAGTAGCAGCTCCGAGGGTATCGGTCCATGCGAGCAGCCAGCTTGCTAGGCTAACGGAAAAGACACTGGAGTAAATGCTAGACCCAGCGACCGGGACTATGCCCCAGTTGATAATTGAATTGGCCGAAACAATATACAAGAGGAAGGAATGAATAATGCGATGTTTCGTGTACCTTTGGTTTCATCCAGTTGACAAATTGATTTCCGACAGTGTTAGCAGCCCTCATCAAGCTCGAAATTCGCAAAAGCCCAATCACGGAACCGAACGGCATGTGTCTGATTGATTCATCGTAATTATTGAAGAAGCGACACATATGCAATGTGGAAAAAGGTCCGTCCAGAACCAAAACAGAGAGGAGCAGTGAATTGATCAAATATCATTTGAATTACATTAACTCCACGGCCATTATGAGCGTATCTTGACAGATACGGAGACAACACAACAAAAATGTGATTTACAGGTCGCGTAGCCCTTGTTGATCATCTCAACAATATGCTGCGCAGCCCTGAGGCTGTCTAAAACCTCAGCTTCATTCTACAAGACACAAACAAACCATTTTTCCAATCCAACACAAAACACTACGACGGAGGAGAGCAGGCGCTACAGTGTATTGCAATACCCTGGAATTCATATCAACAATGGCATTTTTAAGCAGCAAATAAAGAACTAACCATGTCTTTTCCGGGCTTGTTCGGGCAACCTAGCGAGCTTGGGAGCGGAAAATACTGTTGAATAGCCCAAACGCTCGAGTTGGGCGAATAGTTGAATAAGATTTTCGCGCGCGGTACCTGATCGCGGTACAACTGAACAATGTCTGCACGTCAAGCCGGTCAGTATAGCTCTAATAATAGTCGTAGAAGTCACTTGCCCATCAACCGGCGCGTGATGACCGGCGAGGGATTTCCTCGAATGCCGAATCCAACACCAGTCCCTATCCAGTCCACGCCCTTCAACTCGGAAGCGATGTCGTCCAAACCATCCTCAGGCCCAACGAGTACGGCTGGACGTTACCAGTAAGTATGAGGATGTGAAACCCATGGAAGCGCGGCTCACCTTTTATATTGTAGCCAGCCTCGACAATAGCCTTCATATCTGACCGGATGCCAGCCTCAACCTGTTGAGGCGTGAAACCGCTTGCTTTGACTGCGGGGTGATTCCAGGGCAAGCCGCTGCAAAGCGCAATGTCAGAATGAAGAAGCATGATTCAGTCGCCGTTGTGATCATTCCCTTACGTGAAAATAAAGTTGAACTTGTTGCATGATTGCGAAGGCGCCCCGTTGCCTTGGCCAGGACCGTCGCCTTGACCAGCACGACCAGGAAACCCGGATCGGGAATCGAATATTGACACCGCATCTAAAACAACTGGTGAAGCTACAGCATTGGCAGCAAGGCCAAGCGTAACAACTCCCCAGGCATTGACCATTGTGACTGCTTAAGAGAGTAAAAGGTGACCAGAAATTAACTAGACGCTGGTGTTTAATAATGTAAGGAGGTTAGACCGAATTCCCGGAATCGGATTCCCGGGTCTGTGGGTTATCATCTATTATGTATTGAGGTCGATTATCCTTTTGCCCTTTGATGTAAAAGTCTCACGCTGGAACTCTGTTCAATTAAAGAAAGTCAAACAACATAAATGACATTCCCCTCCTGTGGGGCACGAGGATGATTTAGATAATTGACTTGGTACCCCGCAGTGCCCGCATAAGTCGGTTTATACTTCACTGAGCCATTGCTTTGTCTTTAAATGTAGCCTCATTTTCGTAATTAGCCCAGGTAAACCCTCAGCCCAGCCACAAAGTAAGTCAGTTCTGAGGCCATGAATTCCATAGACGTAGTTATACATCTACTGTAGCTGAATAAGGCATGCAATATCGAGAGCTGACCATTTAGTTGCGGGACGGCTTAGCAAGCAGCTGAGACCAATAATTTCTAAATAAGCCTGGACAGGTTGTCAATTTAAGTGGCCACCTTATCCGCGATAAGCTACCCGTCACAAGAAAATATTGATAGACGCCCAGAGTAATCGACAAATATGATGAAATTAGCGGTGGCTCTACATCATTTTCCCTTGGGAGCAAGCAGAACAAGGCTTTATGACAACGTGACTAATACTCCTCTGTATGTTCAAAAGCGACAAAATAGCCTTGGATTCCGGAAGCCTTGAAACTGTTTTCCCGACCTCCCCGTCTTGGTCATCAGTCAGGACATGGACTAAACTATCATCAGTCTTCCAAGTCTTCTAGATAAATAGCATGTTCGCACTTGCAGTCCGCAGGCCAACCAAGGTAATACCACTAAACAGATGGTTTTTCATCCGGTACAATAAGCCGGTTGCTTTATTCAATCCGAGCTCAAGATTCCATCAAGGTTTTTTTACTGAGGTCTCGTCTGCATTGCAATCAAGACACCACTAGTGATTTCGACTTAAGCTGCAATATAGATCTGTATGGGAGTTGGGACTCAAGGACTATTAATTTGAGAGTCTTCGCTGTATATGCATACCTATTTTGATTCTTCAGGAAGAACTTTAATACGTGTTTCATTTGCGCGAACTTCATTTTCCAAGGTTATGAAGTCAGTCCTATCATGTGCACCTATTCGGGCCCAGCTACTAGGACACCTACTTATACGCAGTCTTCGTTTTGTTTCTTTTTCAAATGAGTACTGAAACATGCAGGGTGATAAGGACTTTAGCGGTGCAGTGCAATACGGTGCGTACCACAAAGTCGAGCGAATGTCAACGTGTCGACAGTAGAATCCCGTATTCTTACAATGTCGGATGGCCAATACCGATCCGACCATAGGCGAAATTGAAGGAAGTTCTGCAGCGAATACTCTGTGGGTTAGACTAGACCGAAACGGAACTCCTTGTCCAAGAACATAATCCATCCGCCGAATAGACTGAACCAATAACTGAAAGCCTTCAAAGGACGACCGTAGGTATCAGACTAGACTGTCATCGGCTAATATGAGTTTCTCTTCTGGAAAACCATGGTCATGTGGGTATTATTCTATTTCTTCCAGAAATAAATCGGTATGTATGATAAAGATAAAAGGCCAATTGTCTTCAAAAATGCAATGGATTCTCGTTGGTTTCGTCAATAGACGTCGGCGGCTGACCTCTTTCAGTTTCTCCGGTCAACCTGGCTACGTGTGGGCAATAGTTGTCTTTTCGTTTACACTATTAGCAGCTACCTCTCCACTCAGTCTTTTTCAACGATAAATTTTCTATTTATTTAGCATTCCAGTTAGGATTCTGTGACGTTTCTTCCATGTGCTGGTACGAGATTGCTGGAAGGAAGGACACTAACAATACCTTCACATTGATGATTGCGACGAAATAGAAATACGAAGAAAAGGAAAGATATCACTCACATGAATCAGAAGTAGGCCATATACTCACGGCTGATGGCTTTGGGAAAGTGAGAAGTAAGGAGCTTTCGCTCCCCAATCAAATCTATGCTATGGCTGTAGGTACCCCCAATTTGGGAACATAGCTCAGTATCGTACTGACGTAAGGTGCTGATTACACCTCAACACAAGTGAACTTACATAGGACTGTTCATGAGAGCGAGATGATTCGAGTACAGTACCGGAACGCTCGCCAGCAGCAAACCCCCAACATGTAGCATATACGTATGTTGGACTTTACAAGGGTAGTACGACAAGCTACTAACTCTTTCTCTCTTCGTCTCGACCATAGCGACTATTGGTTTTAGGAACCGCTGTTTACGCAGTCTTTTAGCATTCGGCGTTGTTCGTGGGTCCGTTTCTCGGTTGATTCCTGTCTTATTCCATGCCCTCGACAAATACATTATCAGTCACGACGCCATATCGTCCAACGAGCAATGCTTGTAGTATCATTATTCTCTAGTTCATGCAATAAGAAATTGGCTTATGGAATAAGAGATGAAATAACTTTTTTTTCGATTTCTTAGTATATTCACATGACCACACCAGGTCTGCCAAAATCATCTACTTACAGACTTTTCAAGAAATCCCTATGTGAATGCTGGGGACATGCTTGTAGTTGAGTTGTATGATAGCAGCTCCATCTTTCCGCCCACAGCCCTCTAGTGTCTTCCTCCACTCCTTTGATATGTATATGTATGTCTCGGAATAGCTAGGTTGCATGCCGTGTCGTTGTGTATGACTTCGTGTTGACCTCTGTCCGCTCCGATCTCAAAGGGAGGCACGGGCTATCTTGCGTGATAAAGTCTTGTGGTGATTGGTTCTTGCACTAATAAATTCGACCACGGTACGCACACACCTTGTTTGTAAAGTATGAGATAAGGGCATAGAGGCATAGGCAAACAGTCAATCCGAAACAGACGTTTTCTCCAGATAATTTCTGTCCACATCCAGCGTACTTTGTTGCTGTCCTGATGCAAATATCATCCACTGTCAGAGCACACATCAACCCGCTTTGATACGAACAGTACCTTGCATGGGAATACGGCTAGTCGTCCTGAGCATTTTTGGTCAGTGTGCGTTTATAACGGCATTTTTTTATAGAGAAAAATGGCAGATTGAAAACTAATTTGAAAGGGCTGGGTGAAACGTGTGATGACATAACCACAGATTGTCTTATACGCAAAGTCACCATTCCGAATGCCAGAAAGGAGACTGGGATCTTAGTTGATTCTTCGCTAATGCCTTTGGAATAATGCACACTCACGTAGACTCTTGAATCACGATTGGTGTGTTCTCGGCTGTACCCAAAGTTCAGTCCCATCTACTTGTGCCACAACTAAGGCACGAGTGTATATTCCAGCAGTTCGGTTTTCACTGAGAGTTCTCACGGCTCCAACAAAAGGCCTGATGCATAAATCTCTAGGTTTCTCAGCGTCGCTAGGGCATAGCCAGATTGAGCTTTGTCTCATAGGTGGGAACCCGATAGACATCCTTCCTTACGTGCTTTTAGTGGGTATGGCATAAGTACTTGAGCAGAAGCATCTCCTAGGCTATCTATACGGTACTAGTCGCTCTGATACCCGACTCTGATGAGTTGTATATGCAACAGTGAGTTTGTGTGGAGCTGTTTCAAGCCTTGAACTCGTCGGTGAATGAGTAGGACTCTTAATCGACAGCTTTCCCGTTTTTGCCGGTCTTAGCTGTGGGTCGCCCGAGCAGGCTTTGTGAGAAATTGCACGATGGCAAAGTTAATGGCGTGTAATGCAATTCGGATACAGGTCAGTCCTTATCTTCTGGGGTTCTGAGCTGGCAGGTGACTATGTGGGGTGGCGGGCTTCATCCCTGTTGCAGAAACACACAAGCCTTTTTCGGGCTTTTTGTTCTGGTTCCCTCTCTGTTAATTACGGCCCGGACGGAAAAGTTAAGCTTCTCTAACGTAATGCACCTGCTTCGCCCATCTGCTATTATAAGAACACCCCAAACAGAGCTATGATCATCGTAGAGATTACGACTCAATGCACCAATACCACGTGGCTCCGCCGATACCGCGTGGCTTCTTCATTATTCAATGGCTGGATCGACGAAGATTACGTATGTGTTCCTGCAATTGTTACATTCTAGACGTGGGTGAAATGGGAGACCGTACGATGTTCCTCAATAGATAAGGGGAGGAACGATCGTGTTTGGGTGCAGTGAAATGAGAAAGTGCGAAAAGGCTCTAAGATTGGTACATGAATGGATGTGGTTATGAGCATTCAGCAAAAGTACTGAAAATTTAATCATGATGCTCGATTTCTCTCGCCAACGCAATAATATAAGCTCAGATGCATTGGAGCCTAAATTAGTACTGAGTCACCGGTAAACATATTAGAGTCCCTATTTTAGCAGCAGGTTCATCTGACAACCGAAAGCTTGTCGTAACCCTCGAGGCCTGTTTTGCGGCTGTGGATTAACATCCTTGTTCGCCTTACTCCGTTTGTAAGTATGGTGGAACACCTATCATCTTGATGGATCACGGCGGGTATCTTACTTCACCCTTAACTTTCCTCCAAACGTCGCCGCATGCCTCCACAATGAAAAATTCTCCAGGAACAAGTAGCATGGGATTCTGTTTGCCGCGCGTCCATCGGTATTCTACTGCGTACTGCGAACTCGATACTACACGGACGGATTTGCATACCGGAATCACACTGTTCCAGAATCAGCTCGTTCAGTTGGCCCCTTCGTCCCTTCTGAGAGGCTCCTGTCTTTAACAAGAACCGAGTGAAGCCTTGGACATACGTTTCTCTCAGCCAAGGAGGAAGTCGCCCTTCCACAGATCCATGGCCAAATCATAGGCTGATGCTAAACTTAACTCCCTCGTTCTCTCTTGTTTGGGCATAGAAGAAGAAAAGAGCAAGGATTGCATGGTCCACAGTTGATCCGATGAGTTTTGTGTACGAAGACACAATTGACTGCGGTTAAGAACTTTGCGCCGCTTGCATACGTAGAGCCTAAAATAAGCCACGATCCACGCCTCCCCTTCCACTGTAACATAGGAACATGTCTTTGTGGTTTGCTCCCGAGCCATGCCACTTTACTGGCGAAGAAGATACCAGGGCTTTGACTCTCGGCCATTTGTCGGTTCTATTTCATGAATATTCGTAAATCAAAAATGGAAAGTGGGATCTGGTAACGGGGCTGTATGCTTGTGAAGGCACTCTCCTCTACTCAAGAGACATCTATAAGTGTATATAACGCATACCTATGCACCGTCATTCCCGTTCACTCACCACTACACATCCAATCTTCTAACAGCATCCTTCTTTTCTTGAGCATCTCAAATCGGTCCACTAGCATAGTAAAAATGCGTATCAACACTCCCGTTGTTCTGTGCCTCACGGCCGGAGCCATTTCCAACGCCATTCCTACTCAGAAAAGGGCCAGCATCACTCTCCCAACCGCAGCATCGAGAGACCTCACTGAAGCCGGCGAGCAATTGGCAGAATTAACCAGTTTTGCCCAAATCACCTGGAACCAGACTCTCTCTTCCAACAGCAGCATAGAGAAGCGATCAACTTGCAACCTTAGCAATGTCGCGGTCAGGAGGGAATGGGGCGATCTTGCGAATGCCGAACGTAAGGCATACACTGATGCTGTCCTCTGTCTTCAAGCCAAGCCCAACAAGACTCCCGCTTCCCTTATCCCTGGGGCGAGGTCTAGGTTCGATGACTGGATTGGTGCCCACATCAACCAGACATTGACAATTCACTATACCGTGAGTCAAATCAGTTCCACGCCTTCTCCACCCACTACCAGTTCTAAGATACTGACTGTTACCAGGGCACATTCCTCGCTTGGCACCGCTACTTTACCTGGGAATACGAACAAGCTCTTCGCAATGAATGCGGTTATACCGGTTACCAACCCTACTGGGACTGGTCCAAGACCGCCGTAACTGGTCTTGAATCCTCTCCCATCTTCGATGGCTCAGAGTACAGCATGTCCGGTAACGGCGAGCACATTTCCAACCGTAGCGACTACGTCGTCCTTGGTGACAGTAATGGTGTCGACGAGATCATTGCTCCTGCCGGAACTGGAGGCGGTTGCGTCACATCTGGGCCATTCAAGGATATGGTGGTTAACTTGGGACCTGTGGACCTTGTTGTAATGGGCAACAAGACAGAGGCCAATGGTGACGGCTTGAGTTATAACCCGCGTTGCATGAAGCGCGATCTCACCTCCGCCATCAACAAGCGCTATGCGAACGCCACAACCGTAGTCGACACCCTCATCCAATCCAACACCGCAGACTTCCAAGAGATCCTCCAAGGCAGGCCCAATAGTGGTGAACTCGGAGCCCACGGAGGCGGTCACTTCTCCTTTGGTGGTGACCCAGCCCGTGACTTGTACATTTCACCCGGAGACCCGTTGTTCTTCCTTCACCACGGTATGGTTGATCGCACATGGTGGATCTTCCAGGGAATGGATTTGGAGAAGAGGACGGGTGCTGAGGGGATTGCGGGAACCGCTACGTGGTTGAACAGTCCGGAGAGTGCTAATACTACGTTGGACACGACCTTGAACTTGGGCTATGCAGCCGGGGAGGATATTGCCATGAGGGATTTGATGAGTACTATCGAGGGACCTTTCTGTTATATCTACTTGTGAAGTATAGGGAATGGCGAATGGTACCGTGGGTTATTGATGCGGCGGTATATTGGGGTTGAGACCGAATTATTTACACATTCTGAGTTTATATACTTATTTACCTATCTTCGTTTAAGCTTTTGCAAAGTAATTGGGGGTCTGCCCTATCTTTCATCCTAGAAACAACACTTTCGATCTTTCTCTCTCTGTTCATGCTTACTTTAGCATTAGGGCGAAAAGATGAGTATGCATTTATAAGGTGGGGGGAATCGACAAATTGCAACCTCATCTCAGTGGACTGCTTCATGCGGTACTTAATTTCTGTGGTCAGCAATCCCACATCATTTTAGACCACTCAACTATTCACCAATAAAGATGCACAAGCTCAAGGCCTTCCTCATCGCATTCGACTACCTCTCTACTTTAGGCGGTGCCCTATTCTTCTCGTCACGGACAGTAACGTTGATATGAGCGACTAAAATGTCCTGCCCGAATACACGGGGGATAGGGTGAGAATTATTGACCTGCACAACGCGGACAACGAGCTTGACAAGCGCGCAGTGTGCACTGGAACTATAGGGATTGCCAACGCACAATGCGTAACCTTCTTGCTCAAACCTAATCCGGCTGCCACAGTGTATTGAGATTGGCAGATATAAGCCAACAAGCGCCGGTAAATGCTACGTTTACGACAGCTTCTATGCCATCTTCGCCAACGGCGATGTCACGTACGGTACCAACTGCCAGGTGTTCAGTGACACTGGGTGTAAAACTACGTGACAGAAACGGGGAATCATGTCTTTGGCAATAGGCATTGCAAGGCTGTGGGGTCAGATAGGCCTTAGGAAATAATGAAATGGTCCCATTGCTGCTAGATTTATGCTCTCGACAAGGAGAGGTTCATTTCTCGTCGAGAAGTAAAGGAATCGAGAGTGGTTATTTAAGATGAAGGGTGTATGCAACAACCTACTGATCGAAAGGTGTGTATGTGGATAGCTGAACTGTGAGACGTATAGCTCGGAGGAACCTTGCCATCTAAGAACGTCACTTTTGTTATAACTTACATAACACTTTCCACTGGTTCAGGGTCAGCTTACACCATCTCTCGAGTTCTCAGCCCGGGAACAGTTAGCTTCAAAATGATGCCACGTTACCCCACTCGGAATCATAAAGTTACGTTGCCGAGTGTTTTGTACCAAGTGAGAATTTTGCCAGTGAGCTAAGAGAGCGGTTGTCATGTTACTTTTCATGCGCTTCGAAAATTGGCTCGTTAACTAACTATGCGAGCAAAAGTTGTGCGATAATCAGATCAGACTTGGAGCATGCTGTTCACGCAGCCAGCGTCTGCGCCACTAAAAGATCCGTGAAAAGTAGAATACTGCCTTGCTGAAGTTTCACGGCACTTGAAGGCATGTCGACTATTGAATGCCATCTGGCAGTACCCCCTTCGTGTTAGTATCTGAGAGCCTGTAGACTCTCCATCTCCAATATCAGACGGCTCACAATCCCCTCAAAAAAGGGATTCTATAGATATCGGTAAACTCAATAAAGTGCGGGCTTTTTGGTATTTTCTTTCATATTTATCATTACTCAGTTAATTGGGGGCACTCTTGGGCACATCCAGTCAACCGTCATCGAACGGACTCAATGATTCCGCGCCCATTTCTCGACAAAATAGACAAACCAAGCCAGAGTAAAATTTGTAACAGGAAGCCAGTATGGCATTCCTGCCCGCATTTGACTCCAGTATCCAGAAGCTGTCAAGAAACAGCCGAGAAAGAGGGTGGCGACACATCCCCGAGTGTGTGGTAAAGCCAAAAGAAGGCTCTCAGCAATCATCAAAACCCCAATGCACAGCATGTGCAATTTAATTTTGCGTGAATCCGTAAAAGGATAGATTGGACGGAGGTGAGGTGCTGTGATTTGCGATTTTCGATAAATTCTCTGGTGGAGTGAATTGAAAGGCCAAGGGCCGAGTCGAGGAATGCCGCCAATGAAGTACTCGAAAGCGAGAACAACGCGGGGTAGGGCGAGCAATACTGAAGCCATCGCTGTTGTCCCCTTTCAATGCTGATCTTTTGCGACGGAGTGGGTCTGATTTTTTGTTTCGTGAAGTTTAGTAAAGTTTAGTGAGTAGGGCTCATTAATGTTCGTCGTTTGCTAGGCATCACAGGAGGCTTGGAACTGCATCTAAATTTGATAATGTCGATGATGTAATGAATTATGGCTAGCTTCCACCCAATCCAAGACATTTTGCAGGTGAGATTTCGCACAACAGCCATTAATGACTGGCCCTTAGGATCATCGTGATGAGTCATGAATCCTTCTGATAGGTTGTTATACTGTTGCACCGCTTTAAGCATTGCCTTCCAAGTTGCAAACCCGTCATACTGGGTTATTTCGTGATGAATGTTGGTCTTGTATATGAACAAAAGCAGTAAAAACAGTTGGCCGAAATATGATTCTGTGTTCCATTTACTTAGGCACCCTTGAAATGGCTGCCATTGTCTCCTTTGCCCCCCTGGCTAGTATTGCCGAGTCTTGTCCACCGAGAAGGAAACGGACACCTAGCTCATTGATCGCCCAGTCATGCAGTTCATGGTTGTCGTAAATACCAGCCAGCCCCATAATCTTGCCATGTTTCTTGCACGCTTGGCTAATTACCTTCATGGCTTCTCGGAAAACAGGGCTCTTGAACTGGTTAGGCAACCCAAGTTCAACGGCAAGATCGTTCGATCCAACCAAAAGAACGTCTGCCCCTTCGACTGATGCAATTTCGTCAATATTATCAATGCTTTCCTTGGTCTCAATCATAAGGAAAACACTTGAACCATTAGCGTTTGTCTCTGTTATAATTTGGTCTTGTGGTGTTGCCTTCAGTGAGAAGAGAGGCAGTTGTCCAGTGATAGATCGTTTTCCCTGGGGCGGATATTTGCAGATGGAGACTGCCGCCATTGCATCCTCTGTTCACATGAATTAGTAAGTTTCTAGCCCGGTGAAAATCCTACAGCGTTTACCTCGGCCATGAATATGGGGAAAGATCACTCCCATCGCTCCGCCGTCTAAGACCTTCTGAACGAAGCCATTGCCGCACTGATAGGGAACCCTTACGAAAGGCGTGATACCCAACTGCAGCCCAACAATGCAATGTGAACTCGCATCTTGAATAGACAGCGTGGAATGTTCCAGGTCGATGAAGAGAGCGTCGAATCCTCCGTTGGCCGCGAGATGAACGATTTGTGTGTTTGTTACCATTCGGATGCCCATAGCCTAGTGAGGGTAAGTAAAAATGGCTGAAAGTATGCAACAACATTGTATTGCATATCGTTAGGATGATGGCAAGTCATCGTTGTTGCAGAACGTACTGTGCATAGCTTTCCAGCCCCCCCAAGGCGAGTCAAGCTGTTTGAAAATAGAGAAGCCATGTTTTCGAGACGGTGAAGTTCTGTTAACTCCGAATAAGACTGACTTGAAGTTCTTGCTTTCTACAAACACTGTCCAAAGAAACAAAATTCTTGTCTTTTTGATTGAGAACTGCAGAGGGTGTGGGAGGACGTCAGGCTGTTCGGCTACGCCTCGGTTTCGGTCCCCGTTAGTTTGGAAGCTTCGGCAAGGCTTCCCGAGCAGCTGTAAGTAGTAAGTGGAGACTCGGTAACTCGCGCCGTTCTCATCTCATCTCGGCAATCACGTCAACCAGGCCGAACGATGAGCATTTTATCTTTCCATGGGTCGTTTTTGTTAAGAAGACAGTTTAAGAGCAACTTATTGATGTGCTGGAAAAAAATGTGTGCTCGGTCACTATCGCGCGGATTACTCCATGCCCGATATTTCAGTTCGGTCACCATGTTCAGTCACATTCAACCCGGACCCCCGGACCCCATGTTCACCCTCAAGAAAAAGGCTGACAACGACACCAGCCCTGAGAAGGTAGATCTTGGTGTTGGAATTTACCGCAGTGAAAGCGGCAAGTACCAAGAGCTAGAGGCTGTTAGACGGGTACTTAAGTGTTCAGGCCAATTGCAATGGTTGGGTTGCTAAACTAAGCTAGGCCAAAAAAAAGCTTGATCAACTTGATCTTGGACATGATGTAAGGCATTTGGTTTCGTTCACTATTATAAACTCTGTCAACTAAATCTAACCGCATTCCAGTATGAATCAACGATTGGAGATGCCGAATTTCTCCACCTTGCCGCCGGGGTCATGTTCGGCGAAAGCAATGAAGCTTTGACGTCAGGAAGAGTATGTCCCCAGTCTTGAGAACATTCACTGGCTGGCTTATTGCTCCAAACAAACAATTGACCATAGTCTGTAGATCTCATCAGTGCAGACTATTTCTGGGACAGGAGCCAACTCTTTGGGCGCCCTGCTGATCAGCAAGACCATGCAGCCCAAGCCGAAAGTCTTCATTGGTGTGCCGACCTGGGGCAACCATGTTCCCATTTTTCAGGACGCGGGGCTGGAAACTGCTACATACCCTTATCTTGACTCTTCAAAGCACAGCGTCGATTTTGATGGAATTCTCAAAGCTGTACGGTCAGCTCCGAAGGGAAGCGTCTTTGTGTTCCAAGGCTGTTGCCATAACCCCACAGGTGTGGATTTGGATGGTGAACAATGGCAGAAACTGGCTGTGGAGATGAAAGCTCACAGTCACCTTCCCTTCTTCGATACAGCTTATCAGGGACTTGGCGATGGCCTCGATGAAGATTCCGCTGGCGTACAAGTGTTTGTGGCGTCAGGGATCGAGTTCTTCGTATGCCAATCATTCTCTAAGAACTTTGCTCTGTATGGAGAGCGATGCGGTGCGCTTCATGTCGTTGGAAAGACAAAAGAGGTAGCTTCCAATGTTCAGGACAGACTGCGGAGCTTGATTCGACACACGTATTCTTCGTCCCCGGCTTATGGCAGCCGTTTGGTCAAGATTACGCTGAGCACTGAGTCAATGCGAGGAGACTGGTGAGTTTCATATTTGCGAAAAACTGGGCCACAGTTTTGCTTACAACTCTCTCAGGATTGCAGAGCTTGATAGCATGAGGCAACGCCTTAAGGCAAACCGCCAAGCTCTGCATCACCAGCTGACAAATGTCCTGAAGGCAAGCTACCTACGCTGTAGATTTAAACCATTTTGAATGAATACTAATCGAATGCAGACCCCGGGAGATTGGTCACATCTAACCAGAGAGAAGGGGTTATTCTCGTAAGTCACTTCTAACCTGACATGCGTGTTAAGATCATTGGCTTAAGCTCGCAGATGCCTAAAATTGTCGCCATCCCAGTGCAAAAGCTTGGTGAGTAAATTTCACGTTCATCTCCCAGAATCTGGGCGAATCAACGTTGCTGGACTGAGTAAGGATAATGTGGAACGCGCATCAAGAGCCATTGACAAAGTCGTCAGAGAAGAAGTGTAACTTAAGTAATCATTGAAATAGCTACTAGAAGGGGCAAGGCAATATATGCAGCAGCACTTGGCAACATTGCCTGCCTAGTAGTGAAGCCAAGAGAGGCTATGTCTATAAGGAAACTTTTGAGCTTTTGTTGAATTTGGCATATGGAAATACTTTTAGTTTCTCATGGACTTCTCGTCACACGTACCACAGTACAGCGTTCGCGAGTGGCTAGGAGAAGAGACATAGTGACTTGCACCTTCAGAGACAGGTCATTCCCGCTAAGCTACCAACTAAATACGTCTACCTTCGTGTTTACTCGAGTCCCCTCTCAGCCTTTACCTCTTATACAAGTGCAGCGGTATGCGCAAATCAGTGAATCTTTGGTAACAATTGCGTGTTTACTTGTTTGCAATCTTTTCACGTGGCCTCAAGATATTCAACTTTTTTATTTTTGGAAATTATTCTCGAAGACAATTCCAGCTCTCTATTACCATCGTTATATGACTATATAGACGAAGGAAGCTCATGCAAGAACGAATGATGTGTTGTCATTTGTTCAATTATTTGAAAGAACCTTCTAGCAGTGTTCCGCGTCTCTCATGCTCGGTACCATATAGTTATCATGGACAATTGAGACTGAGACCTTATCCTAACTTCTTATTCTCGGCCACATGAACTTCTTGGATTCAACAGACACCCCAGTTGTGCAGTCTAGCATTCGTTAAGATCAATAGGTAGGCTCAAGTATTGCCAGATAAGCTCCTGACTGTGATCGGTTGCCGTCTGTTGATCGGGACACGACGATGCACGTTGACCATCTCTCGGCAACTACCCGCCATACCTCGCCGAAACCGCCGCTACTGATTGAGAACTTGGTATATTGACTAAGAAAGTGATGCGAGCCCGCTGGGCGCTAGTCGGTTGGCGTCCGGGGACTAGGGGCAGTCGGATGAAGGCAAACTGTTTCCGTCGCGTGCATGCACAAAGAAGTGCGGTCGGCCGGATAGATACTTTGGACAGCGAGGTCGAGAACGTGCAACAGCTTCAGCTCAATCTGGGTGTGCCACTGCCTTCCGCAAATCGTGTAAGCTCAGCTAAATCTGGACAGTTTTCGGAAGTTTTCTCGGAGCCTGTGGGGCCGAATCTGAGCCGGGCCCGAACGGCAGTGAAGCCCGGCGTGAAGGTCTGATCGTGGTATCCGGTAGGCTCACCTGGTAGTTGAGACAGATTTTCACAACACATTTTCGAATAGGCAAAGGTCATTTTCAATTTCACCCTAATAGTACCTGAAAGTCTTCCTGAACCTTCAGCGACACAAAGATTGCATAAATGTTACAAAGTCGCATCCAGTTCGTTGTCTTGCATCTCGAACAAACTTCGTCGATAATTGTTTTTGCGGCTCGAACTCATAATGTTTGCTTAAACTTCAAGAAAAATGCAACAAGCATTCAGCATGCTAATCATAGAGCAGATCATAAAACTGTTAGGCAGCGCAGGGCGCCAGACTTGGCTAGAACTGCCCAACGCACCAGTCTGGCCCTTGGCGGTAATAGCCGCGGGGGGAGCTATCAGGTCGACGGATTTGATACGTCCATACTCTTATCATCAGGTAATCTAGTGGTCTAGACTACCTGCCCTGGCTTTAAAGCACTACACTAAGTTTCTAGCGATTAGTTACCGTTGCGGGTGGCCAAGTGCTGTGGGAAACATAACTGGCCCACGTGCTGCCCTGGGCCTAGCTTATGATCTTGGTCTCATTTCGGCCGGTCTACGGGATACCATAAGAGCCATGGGCCTACCGAGATGCAAGGGCCAGTTGGAGCGACTTAGACTGTGTGCCGATGTTCTGCGATGTGGCGGAATATCGCACGTAATCGTGCGAAAGGTCAAGAGCCGGCTCAGTAGATCGGCACAGGTAAGAGGGTAGAGGTACGGACGAAACGAAGACCGCGGACGTGGACATACGGAGTTTGGCTGGCCTAACGCGTTCCTGCCGGTGCTAGAGTACATAGAGTAGTGACTAGTGGTGGCTGGCCGGTGAAATCTGCAATCTATTCCTGTCTACATTCTATGTTGCAAGTTCTCGCCGAATCTTTTGGGTTTCTCGAACTTCAGATGGAAGAAGACAAAACCAGCAAGAGCTTAGCTTTGTACCTAAGATACAAGATTGCAGAAATGAAACTGGTGAGTGGGACGAAGGACGACAGTTCTTTAGGCCACACCGAGTGTTGTTCTGATCCGAAGCGTCTGAGACAATACCCTGTGTTGTAATTGGGTGGGAAATTATGTCAGCAGTCCATGAGACATTCATTTTCAGCTTCCGCCAATGTCCAGGGTCCATAAAGCTGCCGAAGGTCGCTGATATTCTTGGGTCAGCAGCCTCCCTTCCACCGGTATGGGCGTCGCTACCCTACTAATCCGTCTCCTCACAGTCATGTAGGGCTTGGAGAAGTCGCTTCCAAATATGCAGCTTTTTCATGTATGCCGTGGAATGTCAGGCGATTGGCACGATGATCCAGGATAGAGTTAGGGCACTTCCGAATCCGGATGATGGATTCGGCGTCGTACGTACGATTCATCAATTGGCGCCCAACGGAAACGGGTTTAGTATCGTTTAAATGCGGCGCTACGAGTCGACCTGTCTCAGCTAATCGTTCTCGGGCATTCACCCTCTTGTTTCGCTGCCTTTTATATTTGCAGGCGCCCACTTTCTGACTGTTTACCAACGATGTGTTCGGCAATGTGACGATGGATGATGGCTCACTTCCCGACCCCGAAGGCGGTAACAATCATAGTATGTCAGGTCCCTAGTCTCAAGAATCTGCATTCGCGCTGACTGTTCGCCTCAATCCAGACCACATCATGGGTGACGATCCTGACCGCCGGCGCAGTAATAGCTGCGTCGCTCTATCTTCGTATCAAGATTCAAGGGAGAAGGCTACACGTTAGCGACTACTTCCTGTGCCTCGCTTGGTGTTCCGCAGTTGCAAATGCAGCTTTCGATATTCAGTTTACAGTGATGGGCGCTTTGCATCAAAATATCAAAATCAACCTCGACGGTTACGATGCCAGTGATTACGATACCGAATTAGTCACCAGGGTAAGACTTCTTCTCACGAAGGTATGATTAATAGCTGACGAATGTTTTCTGGAAGTTGTTTTGGGCAAGCAGCATCCCATTCTTTACCACTTTTTATCTATGCAAAGGAGCCCTTCTCGCCGTTTACGTCCAGATATTTCCCGTGTTTATGTACTATCGACGCATGCTTCTCTGGGTGGCAATTGTATACTGTGGGCTTGCGTACGTTGCTAGCATCATACTTCTCTTCACAGTATGTTTGCCTCTGAGCAAGAATTGGTGGGTACTTGTTCTTTATAATGCATTCTGTGAGCACATTGCTGACCCTCAACGATCTGTCAGGTCTATGACCGATAAAGTTGTTGGCACAGAGAATGTCATGTGCTCAGCTTCTTCGCCCGCAATTGTATTCCAAGTCGGTTGGGCGCTGCACTTTTTTGCAGATATTTTGAGTACGCATCCCCCGTTCTACCTACTCCTTCAATGTTCGTGAGAAAGCAGCAACTGACTTTCTGAGAAGTATTCTCCCTCCCCTGGCTAATCATCCCCGACTTGAAAATCAGGAAGACGCTCAAAATTGGCGTTTACTGTACATTTGGCCTCGGCATTATCAACATGACATTTTCTCTTGTCAGATTCGTCACCATTCAGACTGCACCTGTCGAAGCATTGCCTTTTGGCTTAGTTGGTGAGTTTTCCAAATGGCTTCTACATCCGTACTTGAACTCGTTGTTGACAGTTGATATTAAAAGAATTGTGGAGCGAACTTGATGTCAACATCGGGCTGCTGGTAGCCAGCCTACCGTCCCTGAGACCATATTTCCGATCTAGTCGAGGAGCAGGCTATTCGGACAAATCAAACGGGTACAATTACAAGTCAACCATCAAAACACCAATGCATATTACGCGAATGAGCAGATTCGATATCGTTATTCCTCCGAACTTCAACCAGCCTACTGATCTGGAGAATGTTGCAGGGAGTTCATCCACAACGAAATCACAAAAGTCTGATATAGAAGTCGAGGAATGAAGATTTTGCGAACGGAGAAGAGAAAAATACCCCACTGCAACGAACATACTCGGGCCCAAGGCGAAGCAAGAGCCGCTGGCCGGCTGTTGGGTACGGAGCAGTCATCTACAACTCATGTTGTATGTACCAACTAATGTAAACTGTGAGAACGACTAGTGATGAAACTTTGAATTCTCTAGACATATTAATAATGTGTAATTCTTCAAGTACAAAAAAATACTACAGAAAGAGGTGTGCCTGATTTTATCTGTTTTTTTTTCTTGCTCAAACTGGCAGAGCGAGTTTTATTTAGAATCAACTTGGACCATTGTGCTGGTCACTTAACATGGCTTGCTCTTCACAATTCTACAATAGCAATAGTCTTTTTGTACAGCAACGCTACCGACTGATAGTACTCTTTACACATCAACAGAATGACCCACACGCTAATTCGAGCCTCAACAGCGAACAAGTGTTACTCATACTGACAGTTCTCATTTGAAAGATACAGGGCCTGTTCCATGGCTTAATCGACCCTCTGATATATTCCAACTTGGAATTTGAGTATCCACGCTAGTTGAAAGCATGGAGTCTACGTGTTTTTAATAACAAGTGCCATAATCCTAATCGACATCGCCAATTTTTAAGGTTAGTCTTGGTTGTGTACAATCACTTCTTTTTGTGCAACCCCCTACTGATGGCTATGGTCAGATACCGTGACTCTCCCTCATGGCGGTTCACTTGTTGAACGCATGGATCTACACTCCTTGCGCGCGACCAATATAGACTCCTTTGACTTGTCCGAGATCCAATCATTGTCTATAAGATCTCAATTTAAAATCACTAGCTCTTTCATGAGTCGTTTCATGATCTCTTCCGGTTTATCCTCCTTCCCCAGCAGCTGTGCGGCATTAGCAGTTGCATTCTGTTGAACCTGTTTATTGAAATGATGATTAAGGCCATAAAAAGAATCAGCAGGGAATTACAACAGTGGCTCGAACATCCCTGATTCAAAGCAAGAAAAATTGTGACTGGAACTGTTTCCCAACGTCCTCTCTGAGCAGTTTGCGACGCTCACCAAGACGCCTCTTTGTTGCGATTGAGAAAGGTCTCATGATTGCTTATACCTCAACAAAGTAGTTTTGGCAGCACCTCCGCGGCATCCTTCAGCTGTCACAAATTCAATGGCATCTAGGGAGAACACAAACACTTCCACTTTTGGGTTTATTTGATGATTAGGGTTGTGCTCACGGAATAAAAGGGGCATGGAAACACCAGACAGCGTAGTTACTAACTGCATCACACAACTGTTTCCATTCCACCCACTAAGCAATAGGTCTAACTTATCTAATGTGCCACGAGGACTTCAGCAACATGGACTAGTGTGGCTGCCAACATATCGAAGGATGTCTAAAAGACAACCGACAGTAAGTTTGAGCTTTTGCTCCAACCGACATGAGCACCGGCATTGCCGATGACAGACTGATCGGCCTGTCTGCAAGATGCGGGAAAAATGCGGAAGAACGGCATGGGAAAGCGAAGAAGGGTAAAGGGCCATGAGATGTGGGATTTCATCCAACCTTACAGAGCATCTTGTGCAATGTCGGATTCGCACGACGCGGGCTGTCCATGTGGTGCCGGAAGTGGAATACTGCTCATAAAAAAGGCTGGACGGTCTGAATACGGCATCACCATAATAATATCACGACTCATGTTTGATATCCACACTTGTCTAGACTCTTGGCTAGCTCTTATCCTTTTGGGTTAGGCTGGACGGTTAAATGAAACTGTGAAACTTTAAGGCTCCTAGCCAGCCAAAGACACATTTCAATCCTGCAATCAAGCATACGATGTGGGCGTAACAACCTTGAGGTGATGTCCCTTGTAGATTAAGGTGGGATCAAAGTAGTAAGCCAAAGCGCCGAAGAAAACGGGCCGCAGCTTAGTTTTTATCTGGGAACCAGCCCACACAACCTCTCTGACCTGGGTTCGGCATCGTGCATCCGCCGGCTCCACCATCATTGACGAGTAATAGGGCGGGATTTCCCCATGAAGTCGTACAAATAGCTTCAAAAGGTATTTATCCCTTGCTGCATGGTTGGTTTCTGATTAAGATGTGAGAGGCGCTAGTTTTATGAAGTGGCACCCGAGAAGCTTTCGGGTAGAGATGAAAATAATTAATTCCAATGATGTGAGTAAGTTTCCTTTACAAGCTTTCGCACACCATCCCTTGTCGTCAACCTGTTCTTTGCGACCTTCTTCAATGGGTTTTCTATCCGATTTCCATTTCTATCAAACGAGTATGAAGTCTCGATATAAATATGTAGAGTTATCTTCCAATATCACATTCGATGTTGCTCCTTACTCATCTCCCTATTGCTCAGCTCATAGGGTTCCTTCTTAAAATGCACAGCCTTATTTCCATCGGCATGGCACTTGCCGTCATGATTCAGGTCACAAGTGCTACCACTAGTGCTATTGCCTCCTGGTATGGAGGTAACTTGGACGGGGGTAACTGTGCATTCACTGGGTACACTTTGCCGTCCGGCGTCCTGGGGACTGCCCTGTCATACACCAACTACAACGGTAACTGTGGCACATGTCTTAACGTTAAAGGGCCCAATGGTAACACCATCAAGGTCATGGTAAGTACGCCAAGAACAAGTTTGGAATAACGGCTCTAATAGGGGGCCGAGGTTGTCGACAAATGCCCCGAGGGATGTGCAGCCGGCCAACTCGATCTATTCCCTGATGCTTTCGCAAAGCTTGACAATCCAGACAAGGGTCTGATCAACATTCAGTGGGAACAAGTTTCGTGCGGCATCACATCACCCCTAATTCTCCGCAACAAAGTGGGAACCTCAAAGTGGTGGTGAGTATCTCTATACGGCTCTGTCTTCGGCCAGCTCTAGTCACTCGATCTTATTAACACAACTTCCAGGTTCTCCATGCAAGTCATGAACCATAACTACCCTGTCACCAATTTCGAAGTCAGTATCGACGGGGGCAAGACTTGGCAGCCCACCATCCGCCAGGACTACAATTACTGGCAGAAGAGCAGTGGTGATGGTTTCAACGTAGACACCATGACCGTCCGGATCACCTGTTCCAATGGTAATCAGGTGGTTGTGAATAACATCGGAACCAAGGGAGAGGCTCAATTCACCGCTTCTGGAAACTGCTGAAGAGACATGGACATCATCATACCTCAATGCCAGGAGCTTGATATATCTTCAATCTCATAGAGAACTAGATTTTTGTGCATATTAATCAATTGGATATATATAATTGGGCATGTACATGATTTGGAAAGCTGAAAGAAACATAGCAAGATTACTGCGCACCTCACACTATCCTTTCCATGCAATATGGGTGCGGTATACGCCTAGTTTTCTCACAGCGTATTTGGTATTCTGGAGGATGCTTGCTTCATGACTTCAATATCGGTACAATATGGTTCTGCTACATATAAACTAACTTCGCTCCAGCTAGAACATCAGATGCCCAAATTTGTTCACTCAATGATCCAAGGTCACAGACCTGAGACACCTTGATCAGTCACGCTTATCTCTAGATATATCAAGGTAAAGGGCTTATGCACTCGTGATGGCTGTGCGGTCCTACTACATGACCCAATCAGATTGCGTAACTTAGATGAGTCTGAACCAGCTGTTCTGCATATCTGAACACATGCCTCCGGGTCTAGACTCTATATGTAAAACTTTTTCAAAGCCGGCCAGCCACCCAGATATCATGCCATTTTATTTCGTTCGTATTTTTACTTGAAGACTCTCAAGAATCCATCAGATATCTTAGACCGAGGCCAGCTCTCCATTCTTTTTGTTGCTTGTGTCGAGGTTCTTCAACATCTCGCGACATTCAGGGTGATACATTCGGACAACACAATCTTTGCCTGTACAAGTGGTGATGAACATGAGCTCGCTCTAGTAATCAGAAGGACTCTGAGAGAAGATAGCAAAACTAGTACTTACGGCAATCGATGAACTTAGGAAACGTGACGACGAAGGGGATGATCCAGGCAATGCACTCCTTAGTGCACTTATCCCAGCACGCGTGAGGAACTTTGTCAGGTCTATCTGCCTTGCCTGCAGCTGCCATGAGGGCAACTATGAGAATAGAAGTGAGGGCGTTGAGGTGCATGGTTGCTTTTTTTGGTAAAAGAAAGTAGCTTGTCGGATATTATGTGATTGTGTACGAAAAACACGATGGGGAGATAGACGAGCAGATTGCTGGAAGTCTTGAGGGTTTGGGGTCTCTAAATACTTTTCTCACCATAAGGCTTGTGGACTATTAAGTCTAGTCCCTGGGCTTCTCTCTTGGGTTACCCAACAGACATGTGATCATCAAGTACTTATCACCATGCACACTTTGACTGCAGTGGAGAAGTCTCAACTGTTGGTTCATAGACGAACCCCACAGCAAATGCCTGGAACTCGTGCAAGTCGGAGGAAATTGAGTTTTATTTCACGGTAGTCATCCCCACTTGTGAAGCCTTTGGAGCAAGTGCGAAGATTTGAGGCTTAAAAAGCTTGCGAACTGTCAACTTTGGACCTCCCCACGACAGATAGTGGCATTGGCGTTGCGAGTGATTTACCTGAGGTTGTAGTCGATTTTCCATCTGTTTTCAGCTCAATCCAGCATGAAAATATAAATTGAGATACCATCCCAAGCGTCTTTTCCACGAACAGCTCAGAAATCCTATCCACCAATACGCAATCTAGTCCAGCAATCAAAAGAGAACTTTGAGATTCCAGCCACCAGCTGCCCCTCTGGCAACTGCAAAAGCGCAAAATGCCAAGATGTACAACCCTCCGGAGAATAAAATAAGCCCATAGTAGGCGCCACCACACCATTGTAGAATGGCACCGGCAAACGGCACACCAGCAAGTGCGGCAAAGCTGGACATAAAAAACGCCGTGCCACTCCTCTTGCCATAGTCCTCCGTTCTGCATACCTGTCCCACGCATACGGGTGTCAAGCTGATGGCAGCGCCTGACCAAAAGCCAAACAGGACCGCAAAGGCTGTTGTGGCAGCTTCTCCTCCATTTGCTGTCAGCCAAAGCGCAAGAATAAACGTTGAGCATACCAGCGCGGTAATGCACATGACGTTGAAACACCCAAAACGATCCGCAACGTAACCCGGAAGGCAGCGGCCTGGGATTGCGCCAACGTTGAGAAGAGCGTTCAAAAGTAACGCCCGTTGCAGGTCAATGCCCTCGTGGATAGCGTAGGAGCATATGTATGTGTAAGGGATGAACACGGCGAACTCTACCAGGAACACAGCCAAGGTGGTGAGTCCAAAATTTACCTCTTTCAAAGCTTTCAGATCAACGGCGCTGCCGCCCTTCGTGTTCGGAGGTAGCCTTTTCCGCAAAAGTGAACAGGCTACTACGGATGCAGCAGCGCATATGAAGCCCACGGTCCTAATTGCCCATGGGAACCCTACCTTCGGGGCCATATATAGAATGATCAGAGGGAATATAACGCCACCAACACCTCCAGCCGTGCACGCTATTCCGGTCGCTAGAGCGCGGCGCTGGCGGAACCAATGGCCAATAGATGCGATGCTCGGGTTGAAAAGGAGCGAAGCTGACATGCCACCAAGAAAACCGAATGTGAGCAAGAACTGATAAAACTCTGGCCACAGTCATTGTCAACATGCTGTCATCAGGGTAGTGGGGAACGAAGAAAACTACCTTTGCAAAGGCTCATCAACATGACAGACGCCACAATACCGATACACCCAGGTATGACCAAAAGCCTCACATCGTGAGCATCGAAGAGAGGGCCTGACCTCTGCGGGTTAGCCAGGCTTCCCAACACAGGCTTCGAATACTTGATGTTCTCACTTACCGACTTGTGCGCCACAAAAGTACAGGAAGAAAGCATAGGTGCTAAACACCCAGCCGATTGTCGATTCAGTGAGATCATGAAGCTCGTTCTCCGAGACCCAGGCCTGAAGGACGGCCAAGGTGTTGAGGAGCCCCATACATGGGATCATGGCGCACCATGCCCCCACTACAACAAGCCATGCATCGTGGCCGCCCTCCGGGTAGAACTCTGACTCTTGGGCTAAGTCTACCGCTATCCAGCATCCTTTAGCAACCTTGAATCCCGTAATACCGCCATCGTCAAAATCGAGCCGAATGCTAAGTGACATACCTTCCGTGGGTTGCGCTTCTTCAAGCGAGCGTGTCGTTTGGGTTTCGTAGACAGGCATGTTGATTGAGGGCAATGCATTGAATGAATCAGAAAATTCTAACAGGCAGTCGGCTTGAAGCCGACTTTTATCATCCTGTTTCGTGGGCAAACGCCTGAGGCCTATACATCTCAGGTTTTCATGAGATACTTGAGTGATTAGACAGCTGCACTTCACGTCCAATCATTGTATGTCGCTCTTACCAAATTGCCCACTTTGTGTTTGTGCCCCGGAACTTGAAGAAGCCCCAGATAAATACACCAGCGCAGATGTGGAGCTAAGTGATGTCGGGAAGACCAATGCCGGAATGGCCTGGTCTCCACCGCCTGCGCGTTGTTGTTCTGTGCTTACAAATACTCATGTGACGAAGGTTCAGCCATTCAACGGCCCCAACCTTGACGCGAGAGTAAGTCTGGCTCAGACAGTGTTTTGATCGAATTGCCGGTGAAAATACGAGGATGCAAGATTATTGCATTGACCCTGTATGACTTGCTCAGTGTCTAGAGTATACACTCGACACTGGCAACTGATCGAAGTTTTCTTGAACCCATGCCATGTGAGAGCGAAGGTGCGGCGGTAATAAATAGTAAGGGAGACTGTTGTTATGCAAGGAGTTTAGGCTAGCCATGAGCATGGAAGAGGCGGCAGTCTAACTCACCGTGTTCTATTTCTCTGCAGAGCTCACAATCTTGCGGATGGTGCTTTTTTCATTGGGTCAACAGGCAAAAATGCACCCACAAACTGCCTATACGCGTGAGGTGAGGTGACAGCAAATAACATGAGCGAGTGCATGGTAGGAACCGTTTTTCAAAAGTCATCATATGATTCATGAGAAGTAACCGGTGTCCTACGTTATCTTAACTACTGTAAAACATTGTTCGATATTGAAAGTTCTTCGCTTGCTTCGAGTACTCTCCTGGATGCTGTCTTGTCCATGAACACTGAGTACTTTCACTCAGTTAAGATCGACTTGTGTGACATCGATTGCTGCGAGTCAAATGGTGATGTGAGTTGAGAAATGGCGCACCCCGCCTAGATGTTTCTTTAGTGGGCCGAGGGTCTGCGAGTGATAATAACGTCCCCTTCAGTGATCGGCTCCTGCCCTGCGCGATTCTCCCGTAGCTCCGGCGGGGTAGCAATGGTTGGCTAAACGATGACCGAGACCTCCTCTGTCCAGTCTATTTGAGCGTTGCACACTCTAGAATGTCAGCACCCTGAATACAGATCGTCCATACATCCCGGACTGCATGATGCACTACTGCCTGATCATGCAAAGACAGAGTGGTTGACACAAGCCATTGTGAGCCCCATAGTCCACAACTGCTCACACGTGTGTTTTCATGTACCCATCGAGTATTTAGCCAATCTTCAACTTGACTTGACCAAAGGGAGGTGAACCATAAACGCCTACGAATAGCTTAACCTACCTTTGCTCGTCTTACTACTTGTGCCTTGTGTTGTCTGCTTGCTTCACTATTTCCATCGTTCTGCTTCACCGCGTCACTTCGCGACTTTGCCGTAAGATACACCCGGCATCCTTACGCAGTCCATCTTGTCTGACAGATCCGAAACGGCTGCCGGGAAGATTGTGTAAGTCAGTGGTAATTAACGTTTTCGTGCAAGAACCTGGTGCTGCGTTCTTGCCTCTTGCCGTGAGCATAAAAATGAGTAAATTCAAGAAGATGCTAACGGCTAAGTGAGAGTAAGCTAAAGACATTCGAGTTAACAGGTTAATCATAAATCGCGTTGACCTACGAGGGCGTGTTAAAGCGAAGGGAATATACACCAACGTACTAGCCAAAGTGGATCTAATTAGTTGTCTATAATGATAGACGTATAGCTGAGATGGATTTGGTCACCTAAATCAGTTGCTTTCTTATCTGACCCCTTGCTGAAGGATGATGCCAGCAAGTGGACAACAAACTGACTACAATGGAGCTGTGTACGATATTTTCGCTTCAAAATAAATTGTATCCCAGCGTTATTCGCCTCTCGAAACAAAGCCTTTTTTGATGATCGCCAAGAACCTTTGTAAAATATCAACTCTAAAGCTCAGTAGATACGGGAGCTGACTCGCTCAGCTTTGAGGCAAGACCTCCATGGCGTGACTCAAAAGATTGGAAGACAATGCAATATATAACTCAGAGGAAAAGTAGCTACTACTCTCGGTGATCCCGAGGTGGTCAAGATGTGTGTTAGGTGGCCGATGCCATATCAAACGCACGTCTCTGCCCTCCATACTTTTACATACTTGAATGAATCGCCCATTATCTATTTATTATCTACCTGAGAGGATGTTTACAGCCAAATTGCAGTCAATCGTTCCCTTGACCACTTTCATCCAGCATGCAGCTCCCATCATTTGCCGCTGCTGGTTCCCTGGTCCTCATCGCTCTCGCCAGAAGCGTTCAGGCCTGCGACGGCTACCTGAACTGCCATTGCTACAACAGCAACGGCAAAGCCAACGATACAGCGACGCAGATAGTCTGCAACCGCTACGCCGCCAACCAGGCAAATATGACCGACGCCAACGAATGGTCTGACGGCGCCAAGTAGTGTCAACACATTGGAAAGGACGGCAAAACTCGCGGCAAATACTGGCATCCCTTTGCTTTTAGCAATTGTGACTGGCGCGATATGTGCGGTGAGGCTAGCGCAACTGATTCGGACTCGAGCTGCAGAGACACGCCGCCTCCAGGCTCCAAAAGCTATGGTACTGGTCCTATTTATGTCAGCCATAACTAGACTAGCGGGAAAATACTTATATTCACAGCGGAAGAGCATACATCATCTATCATCGACGTTGCAACTTTCATGCCATAGGGTATCTCGTGGGATACTCGCGCAATTGCCAAGTCGACATTTTTCCTGAATATAGCGGGAAGGCGATGTTGTTGCCTGGAGGTAGTTGGCAAGTCTTGGTTGCGGGTCACTAGCTGTGTGACTTATTTGTTCTTACCCAGACATATTGACTGCTGCTGTATTGTTCGTAACAGAGCTGATCACGATTGCTACGATCGCAGCATTTTGGCTCAAGTATCCAAAGAAACATCTAGGAGGGATAGCGGCACCTAGTGCAAACCCCCCAAGACCAGATCATGTTAACAAATTAGGATCTGGGCATTCACAACTGCCGGAAAGAGATCACCACATTGTTTGACTGACGTCGGCGCTTACTACTGCCAATTTGACGGATTGGGAGCTATGGGACTATGATCTTATGTCTGACCTGTGGACACTGCTGGCTTTTGATAAATTTGTTGCCTATCAACTTATTCTCACTAGCTGTCTCTTCTAATTATTTGTTGTAATTAAATATCAGCCTAGAGAATAGTGGCAATCGTGACTGGCCATGAAATCTACTCGGCCGCCCACAAAGTTTGTTCACTGAGTGTTCAGAAAGGTCGAGATTTCAGTGACACCTTCACGTCCAGTCCGACCAAAATGGTGCACAGCTGGAGAAGATAAGGTTCTCGACCACATGGTATAGGGAGTGGAGCGATGGATAGTCAAACTCTCATAACTCTTCACCCAAATATTGTCTCACCAGCTGCGTGCTTCCTACCTTGTCGCGCGAACGAAGGCTTTTCCTTTCTTTCGTTAGGGCAAGCCAGATATTGCCACTGGGTGTGCCAAGGGGTGTTGAACACCCGAAACTTGCTCCTAAGTCAGGGACATCTCTCTTGTCTGCCATTCAAACACCTTTGCCGAAACTAAAACCCAAGACATTCAAGGTGAAGAGACTGCATCTCGATTACTCCGTCAGCCGCATAATGTACCCTTTTCCTTCAGTCCGTAACTAACACTCAAGGTTAGAACACCAAATATTGTTTGTGGTTGGTCCATATCTTCGAAGAACAGAAACCTCCCACGCCTTGAACAAGATGGCAAGCTGCAAGACCAGGATCAGGATCAGGATGCCTACCGAAGCCTACCCATACTGCAGTGATGACACACATCAGCTTTCAATCAACAACCACCCTTCCGACATCATCAGGAACGACGCGAAAACTACAAGAATCCGTGTTGCGGTATCAAATACCATTCTGATTGGAATAAGTGCCGCAATTGGCTTCACGATGGTGGCCGGAACTGATGTAGCATTCCTCCTGCTATTCTACCTGGATCGGCCGATGCCTATCAACTACATGCTGGCCTGGGAGTTGTTCTTCGTCGGCACCTGGGTTCTCTCATCTTGGATTATGTACAGGCTACTCGTCTTCGTCAAATTTGCTCCATTTCGGGGGCAAAGCATAACGAGCGCCATCAGTGTTAGTCACATAGACACCAATACTTGACACTGTCCGCATTACGCCCAACACGTCGAGATAAATTCATCAGCCTCATCTTCAGCAAGTCTGACATTCTATCATATTCAACCCAAGTCTAGTTGTCGATTTCCAACAAGAAATACTTTCATGGCATGGCCAGTTCGCCCAGTTAATCATTGTTTGGCTCAGGTAAATCAATCGAGGCCCATTTAGCTCTGTTTCGCTCAATTGAGATTCTCAGAATCTCTATGCGACTAAGGAATCATGCCTTCGGGTCAGTATTGTAAGACAGATATGATTCGACAAGCGCTCTTCGACACGGCCTCTCATCAATATCATTGGCTCGAAAACCCTGCCCAACTCGAAGTCTTCCAAGAGATGGTTGCGATGTATCACGGAACGATTACTCTTAGTTGCGTAGACGTTGGTGTTTCGTCTGTCCAGTTATAGCGTTCAGTCTTCTGCAATGTCATCGTCAAGCACAGTTTCTTCCCTTCTACTAATCTTAAAAACGCGCTTTCTGAAGTAAGTTGCAAACATCCAGTGACATTATTCTCACCATGTCCGCTATGATGAAAAGCAACAGTGACGAAACTTTGATTTTGATAAAGCCGGACGGTTATTTACATTTCTGCCTATGCACAAACATTGCTTGGCTTATCTGAAGATATACAACGAACATGAAACCGTGTCAACAAAACGGGACCTGGTCTTCTTGATTTCTTTTCTCCTCCCCAAGCGATCCCTCGTGCCGCCATTTAGTAAACCGTCTTGATGGGCGTCTTGACGTGGGCAGCGAGGCTGGTGGTGCCGTTCATCTTCTGGTAGATGGCCTGGACGAAAGCCTGGGAGCTGAGGTCGGCGCCAGCGGCGCTTGTGTGGGTGTTGTCTTTGATGTACAGGGCGCCGACAGCAGAGGCGCCTAACTTGCGGTACATGTTGCTAACGGCCTGGTGGTGGTCGACGAAGGTGACGGCGGGGTTGTTGATGGTTGCGGCGGCCTTCTTCTGCATGGCGACGAAACGAGACGGGGTGCCGACCCAGGTGCCGGTGGCCCACTGGTTCTTGGGGGTCTGCGAGCTGAGGATGACGGTGGCGCCCTTGGCCGTCATGAGTTTGGCGGCCTGGATGACGTAGAAGATGTAGGTGTAGACGGTCTCGCCGGTGGTGTCGGAGATGCAGGTCTCGGTGCCCTCGCCCGGGCAGACGGAGCGGCCGTTGTCGTTGGAGCGGGGCGAGCCGACATCGTTGTGACCGAACTCGATGACGACAATGTCGCCAGCCTTGACCTCGTTGGCGACGTTCTGGAAGCGGCCCTCGTTCCAGAAGGAACGCGACGAGCGGCCGCCGATGGCCCGGTTGACGACAGCGATGTTTAGGTACTTGGCTACGTACTGGCCCCAGCCGTCCATCTGGGGATCGCTGCTCCGAGCCATGGTGCTGTCACCACAAAGGTAGAGAGTCGGTGCCCGGGCCGCAAGCTCTGCCGGCGCGGCGGTGACCTGAAGGGCGCTCAACGCCAGAGAGGCGAAAATAGGCAAGAACCTCATGATGTAGATGCAAGAGCTATCTGAAGAACTGAAATCAAGTCACAGAGATGGAAGGGGGAGACTAGGCTATCAGGAGAGGATAATTCTCACGATAGGAGGCTGAAAACGCTCTCTCCTTTATAGAAACCTAGATTTCAGTCTAGCTGTGGATGTCTGGTAATGAGCTGTCAGACAGTTTGGTTGCGGGTCCACTCCGTTCGGCCGAAACTCCAAGTTTGTATTATTCTCGACTTGCCAAGACAGCCAAACATATTGTTCCGCCAGTCGGCATACCTGCACGCAAAGCCAAGGGCAATTCAATATATTGCCGATAGCACCTTGGTTAGTCCCCAGGGCCTGCCAGCTTAACTTTACTTGAGACCACGCATCGCCCGGTTGGAATTGCAAGGGCGCGGTAAGGTCCCACTGCAGCGCTGCATCTGGTCGCTTTCTTCGCTTCGGAGCTACCCATCACTCAAGAATCCGTCCAGTGTTTGGGATCCATGCCTGTGAAGATTAGAGCGCCCCAGGGGTCATGAGTTTATTCGTGTTAGGCCCTTGTGCCCGAGCCTCCGTATGGCTGCACACGTGCTTTCTAGCGGCTTGGCCCGTCGCATCGGGCCCCGGCAGACCAGGCACCTTCCTTCTTGGTCGGCTACGGCGGTCGAACGTCAATGGTCCGCCTAGGAGTTTGCGGGGAATTGCTGATCCATGCTGAAATTGGCATTGGCTTGGGACGAAGCAGCGGCTTGTTCGGCTGATGTTTGGTGCGAGGGGCAGGGTGCACAAAGTCAAGTGACGAAGAACTCGCCAGAACTTAAAGACGATGAACCACCACTTCATGTGAGACTTTTTTTCTCTCGGTTGGTTCCGGGAGAAAATGTCAACAGTCTCTTGAAGAGGGCAAGTCGTCGTTTGCTCAGTTGTGGCTTCGGTGTCTGGTACCCGTCGGTTTTCGATGATTTCATGTCAAGTCCGCCGAGGAACTGCACAAGTCTATGCCGTCTTCAAAACACTAACAGGAACCTATTCTAAAGAGTGGATGTCGAGTACAAGAGCCAGGCAAAAGGACGTTATACGGAAATAACGAGGAAGGTGCAACAAGCAACAAATGAGTAATCCTTACTACCTATGCTTCCTTTTTGTCATTCTCACTAGGACCTCTCATAAGGAGTTTCCCCACCCGAACTAATAGTAAACATAGCCTAGCAACGTTGATTGTCTTTGGCACTCCCCGAATTTGCCGTAGAACCGTCCCCTATAATTATTTTATAACAACTGGCATAAGCAATCTGGCCTCTGAACTCATGTTTGAAACTTCAATGTATCTCCAGAGTCGGCACATCTTTTTAGAGATGTATGCAATTATTGTTGTGTTGACGCTATTGCATGTGCCATGGTCGGAAGCCATTCGACAATTGAAATCAAATACCCCTACATTAGCATGCGCTCTTCGTCTTGTGAGATCCAGTCAATGCCTTTCAGAGAATGTGTCCCTGCTCAACTTGGATGAAGAGTCTGCAATTAGTTTGTGTCCAACCTCGGTAGCCGTATAAGAAAAATCATTTCCTGTTCTATAGACATAAGAACGTCTTCGATGGAACCATCAATCACTACATACGACGATGAGGTTCTATACCTGACAAGCAGAAGTATATGTTAACTGCGATGCTACACCAGAACCTTTCTTCGACATTATCCTACAATTACAATGAGACAAAGGAAGGGCTAATAATGTTACTTCCCATCTCTTGATCTGGTGTGCAGTTCCAGCAGACTTCCATATCGAAGCCAGCATATATAGCTAAGAACAACAGAGGGTATGCGTTGCTCTGCAAGTCAAGAAAGCTACATCATTCTACTCTTCTATGCCTCCCGCCCACCCATCAATAACAGCCCCTCTCAGCTCTATACCATAAAGTAGCCAGGTTCCTAGCAATTCTGGAGCCCTGCCATGGCCATGTACTCATGCTTTGACCCAGCTGACCAACGTCCTGGACAACTGGAAGGCTTTACTTTCAGTAATGTTCAAAGTCTTGTAGCCACTCGTTAACCAAACAACTCCGATCAAGCAAGTCTGAACCATCGTTCCCCATCGCCTCCGTGGGGTCCGCTGGAATAAACAACAATGATTCCGGTGTGATACCGGCGCCGCTATTTCTCACCCGGGAGTGTATAGATGGTAAGAATGTCGTCCGGTCTCTTAGCTGTTCAGCCGCGAGCTCCCGCGTCTTTGCTGGTTCTCCGACAATCTGATTGCCAACAAGAAGCATGAGAACTGGCCTAACACGTGGCCCTTGTTGCCGAGGACGTTTAAAAGTAGCCTCCTCGTACACTCGTCTCGTACACTGGTTCGGGCCAAACTTCCCCATGCGACTCGCAAGCCATCTAGTGGAATCGCTTTGAAAAACCAGGCACCTAAGCTCAACCTCCAGGGAAACCATGGTGATAGAGACGTTTCTTCTTTCACGACTCTGACATCCGCGTGGTTGCCAAGGGTAGCAAGAACCAAAAGCCGAACACCAAGGTAGTCATTGACACAAGGAATATGGCAGATGTGACCCTGTGCAGCTTCACCTACTTTGCCTGGACAAACCGGGAACTGGGCCTAACCCTACTTATTCTTCCTAAACAGATACCTCGAGCAGTCACGGTACAGTTAACGCCAAACATGCTTGCCAGTTCTCCCGCAAAAAAGGACAGACGATCTCAATCTTGCCACATCCTATACCCCGCCAGCCAGCAGAAGCCCCCTCATTCCCTCCTCATCGCCGCGTTCCTCGCCTCCAGAGCCCGCTTCACCCACCCGATCCCCGGCGCGCCCTCGAACCCGTGCGGCAGCCCCGGCCACAGGTGGAACTCGACCTCGACGTCGGCCCGCGCCAGCTTCCCCACGAACTCGACGCACTCATCCCGGAACAGGTCCAGGCTGCCCACGTCCACGTACGTCCGCGGTAGACCCCGCAGGTCCTCCACCCCGGCCCGCCCGGGCGCCGCGTACAGTGGGATCCCCTCGGCCTCGGGCCTCCCTGCTCTCTCCCCCAGCACCGCCCGCCACGCGAGCATGCTGTCGTTCGGCTTCCACGTCAGCAGCGGGAGCATGGCGCTACCCTCCGCCAGCGCCGTCCGGTCGTCGAGCATTGGGTACACCAGCACCAGCCTCCTCAGCGGGGGCGCCAGCCCTCGGTCCCGCGCGATCAGCGCCGCGCCCGCTGCGATCCCGCCGCCGGCCGAGTCCCCCATCAGGACGATCTTCGCGGCGTCCACGTTCCACTCCGCTGCGTGTTCGGAGAGGTGCCTCAGCGCGTGGAACACGTCCTCGGCACCCACGCCGCCGGGGAACTCGGGCGCGAGGCGGTAGCCCACGGCGAAGAAGGGCATCCCCGACGACTCGACAAAGCGCTTGATCTGCGGGGCGAAGATGTCGACGTTGCCCGCGACGAAGCCGCCGCCGTGGACGTAGACCACGGCGGCCTGCGGCTCGGCCGCCTCGATCATCTCCGTAGTCGCGAAGCGGTGGAGCCCGAGCTCGGCGCCATCGTCGGACGTGAAGGGGATCCTGGTCTCGAGGACGTCCTCGGGCGACGGCTGTGCGCGGAGTACGGCGTGAAGCATGGGGTTGGTGAAGTTGCGGATCTCAAAGACGTCCTTGAACGGCAGGCGCGGGGGACCGCGGCTGTTGGCGGCGACGACGGCCCGGTATTCCGGGTCGTATTGCAGCGTCATGGCGTACGGTTATGCTCTGCTTTGAAGATATCCTGATGGGTGCGGTTCTGTAAGAGTTCAATCGGGTCCGGCAAGGGAGAACAGGATTCGCGTCGCCTCTTATCAGTCTGACCACCAGTACTCAATCCCCACGGGTTCTGGCGGCGGGCTGCCGCAGTCCGATGGCTGCACCAACCCATCCTACACTTGCCGACTGGGGAAGCGTAAAAGCCGCTCCGGTCGACTTGCAGCATTTTTGAACTGTCGGCATCGTTGACGTGCTAGGCGTGCCAAGTCCACTCGCCATTCTTGCCAGGGCCAGAGGACTCAGTCCTTTCGATGGGATCAGCAGTATTCAGATGCGTAGACTTGAAGCCAGAGATGTCCGACATCACGGCAACTGTTATGGTACCTGTCCGACTCCACAGAAATTGCGAACACCTCGACACAATATTTTTGTCATCGCGGTCGACGAGACGGGCGAGCGCGTCTCCGCCCTTTTCCCACGTTGCGGCATCTCCAAGTTCCAATAGCGGCCTTTCTATTCGGACAAGCAGGAAGGATTCAAGTCACCACAGTCGCTAAGGTATCCCTGACAGGAAACCCAATTTCCGGGGTTGGTAGAGCCATGTTCAACGCGAGCCAAAGCTCGAATGCTTCGGATTTGTCATCCATCAACCGAGGAGAATACTGATCCGGCCGAAGGGAGAGGGAACAGCGCGGGCGAAGCGAGCACTTGCTCATTCTCGTCGCCTAAAGCCATAAAGAAACAACCAGGACGCGACTCTCCTCTACCAGCGTCCAAAAAGCCAGGGGCTGTGCAATTCTCGAACTATACATCTTACAGCCCATCAACACCTGTCGTTTGTGCGAGAAGTTGAGTCGGTCTCCCCGAAGAGAAACAGCGGGTTTATCCGAAGGAGGTAAGTCCGAATAATTTGTGGACACAGCTCGATTAGAAACGGAGATCGGAGCAACGTACGTCGGCATCTAGGCCAGCCGTGGGACCGTTTCGTTGAAACCTCCCTCGGCTGTTCTGATGGTGACATAGATGTCGCCCGACAAGACACAAGATTACGAAAACCTGACAGATGATACTCGCATCACGCACCCATTCGTCATGTACCTACGTGGTTCTGGTCTAGAAGCGATCTCTGCTCCCCAAGCTGACGGCGTACCGATGGAGGAGGTTCGTGGGAAGAAAAGATCCATCGGCGCCTTCCAAGGGTGCATCAAGACCCAAGTAACCACGTGTGGGTGACTTGCCAGCTAACCGTCCATCCATGCGGGCATCAGAATTACTGCCCCAGTTTCCCAGATGCACTTGCATCGGGTCAGGACTTCAGTAAAGATGGAAACGGCGTCAATCGTCAAGGGATGGGGGAACGGAACAAAAGCGGAGTTGGCCATGATACGCCCGGAGCCATAATCCGGAGAGGCGTCATCTCATATTGTAGTGAGAGTGATGTGAACAGGCCCACAAACCGGCGATCCACGGAGGTGTATCGGGGTATGCGATACAACCGGCGCCTTTCTCGTGGAACAGCCCCCATAAACCCGAGATCACGAAGGGGGGACCAGATCCTGCAGCTAGATGCGGATGCAACATCGCCAAATGAGGTCACTGGGTGATAACGATTAGCTGCGTGGAGTAGCTGAAGAAAATAAGAATCGCCGGCCAAGCGCTATGGAAAGTCGTGGGTGTGTAGCGACGACGACCGGTCAAGAAAGAAACGTCCATAGAGACTGAATCGTTCGTCGCATGGTGCAGGGCTGATCTTGGAGGGTGGTTGACTGGTTGACGGTGGGATTAGCAAGGGCTTACTATGGTAGAAACTGCGAAATAAATCCACCCGATCCAGGGGTGGTGTGCTGGGTATGATCCAGGGCGTTGGCATCGGGGTTGTCAATGTTCCGATGGCACATTGGCTCGTTCGATCCGTCCAACAAGGGAACCAGTTCGTGGGGCCAGGGGGGGGGGGGGGGCGTCCCGTAGGTACGATGCGGACTGCCCTGCAGACGTTGAAGGGATCGTGAGCTCCGGGCACACGCCCGATCGACGAACACGTAGTATGAATCGGAACAAGGATCTCAGAAGCCTTACAAGCCTGTCTGGCACCCCCAAGTGCCACATTCAATAGTTCCCCGGCTGTGTGATTCTGGGGAGCCACGGACGGCGTGGCTTCTCAGTCTCGGCCAACCGTGCGCTCACCTCCAGATTGACCATGCCCGGGCAAAGGGTGCTTGATGAGCATTCGCTTTGGTAATGCCCGCTTGCTGAGAGTGGGCGCGGGGTGAAGTCGTACGTGGGAACGGTCCACAGTAATGCGAATCCCAAGGCAACCGAAAAACAAATATTGCGCTGAAACCCCAAGGAGTGACAGCTAACTGACGGATTGCCGGGAAGCCTTTCAGAGACAAGGAAGAAGGCACGCGTTCCATTGTGGGGACCTAAACAGGAGCAGCTGCATCCTAGAACCAAAGCAGCCAGAAGCCAGAGGGCCATGCCGTGTCCGGACGCAAGATGGATATTGGGAGCGAAGGCCGAGTCGTCGGCAGCCAGGAACAAACACCGACCCGTGCCAACGGTCCGATGATTCGGTATGATGCGATTGTCGTCGTCCCCTACAAGCCGGCGGGAAGTAAAAGAAGCTTCGTTCAGGCAACGCTTCCGGCGGGCCGGCCAGGGTGTTGTTCGCATGGTAGCAAGCTACTGGCCTTTAGTTTGACTACGTCGACAGCCACGCCGCCGCCAGGGCCTCGCCGAGAATGAGTAAAAATGACACGATGTGTGTTTTTCTTCCCTACGGTGTCGCCCATTGCGTAGTCTCACTACGGAAGGGTCTTGTGCCGTAGCTGGACGGTTGTGTGCTTGAGCGGGTGGAACTTTGCTCCCCTTTCTGGTGGCTTTCTTTGACTTGCTGGGGGACAGCGCGGTCTCAGCAGCTCAGATCGAGGCACTAGAAGGAATTGTGCATATGGCCATCATCGCCCTTTTCAGGCAGCATCGAGGTTTTTGAGCCTTCATCCAATGCCGAGTCATCTTCGGTTGGTCTACTCTAGCACTAGTGGCCGAGCCAGTCTGTCGGTTCAGGCTTCTCTTGTAGTAGCTACGGTGACCAGTGCCGTCCGTGGTCTTTAGTCAAACGAGACAAGGAAGGCATCAAGATAGTGGGCGGCCCGCAATCGCGATCAAGAGTTCTAATCGTCCGCCGCCGTCGAGTTCAGATGGGCTTTGCAGAAGTCGATGCGAAAACGCTAAACCGATCTGGTTTCGTCCGCCGTAGCCAGTTCGCGGACTTGTGTACAACAGCCAGTGTGATGCAATAGGCGGGTACAGCGCTGCCTTGAGGAAGTAGTGCCCCTTGATGTCGGACCTTTCCCCACGGTCTCAAGGTTTGGACAGTATGATGGTGACGGAGGCGGCGGCGGCGGCGGTCTAGACCATGCCTACAGCACCCTGCGCTATAAGGAGGCGCGGGAGGGCTCGGGTCAGAAACAGTGGCAGACCGCAGGGTCCAGACAGATTGAACCTTGACAGAGTCGAGTCTTGCGGCTTGTAGTGTCCAGGCGTAGATTACGAGAAGGCTTGCAAGTAAGGCTACTGCCGCCATGCGTTCCTCTTCCTGATGGTGAAGCCCCAACGCATGTATTGCAATTCTTGGATGCGTTCCTCGGGACTTCGTGTTGTGATGTCCCTCTCACTCTCTCTCAGCCAGCCGGCACAGGCCCACCAGACTTTACGTCGAGGTTCAGGAACGTGGCGTCGACCCCCCGCTGTTTAAGGATTACCAATGAACCCCCCTGGGTGTGTTGGTACACCATGAGCCACAACCGACGTCTCGTCGCTGATCTCCTACCCAACTGGCTTGTCGCCCAAACCTCGACTGTGCCCGGCAGATGCCTTTGGGCGGAGCCTATTGACTGGCGCCGGTTGCCGTTTGTCAAAACCTGCTTATTCATGCGGAGCGCAGAGAAAAGACGAAAGGCGTGGGGCTTTGAAATCAAGATGCGAAATCTAGATCCGGGGTAAGGGGCAAATGCTCGATTGGTCCTCGTGGCTCCGGAGGTGAAATGCGACAATGCGATCGTTCGGTTATCTGAAGATGAAGCTGGGATTCGCTCATGATGAAGCTCGGAATCGACTTCGTCAGATCCAAGTGGACCATAAACAAGCGAGAGATGCAAGATCGTACGAGATCAGGTACGAGAGAGGGTCGCAAGCTCAAAATGTCAGACAACCCCTGGCGAGGTTGATGAAAGGGCTTCGTCGGCATACCTACCGTCATGCTCGCGTGGTTGTGACGGCCAGGTGGAAGGTAGTGCGTGCGTGCTGGAGGCACGGCTGCCCAGCAGAGGGGCGGGCGACGCGAGAGGGTGTGGCAGAGGTTCCGTACCGTACGGTGCGGTTGGGGAAAGGCAAAATGCCATGGTTCAAACAATGGGAATTTGCGGGACGTGAGGGTGCTCGGCTATCGTGCCTTGCCCCTTTCCCACTACATCTATTCCTTGCTGTTGCTCTAGGGCAAGATGGCGCTGCGTCAACTCTGTGTGTGTGTGTGTGTGAATGTCTCTGTTCTGAAGACAGGACGGAGCCAGGTTGTCTCTCATTTATCGCCACATATGTACAACTGGAAACAGGGAGGTGGAAGAATGTGAGGTGGTGTGGCTAGAGTGGTCTCTGGCGGTGTTCCCGCGCGGCGGCCTCATTGGCTGCTCGTAGGGTCGATTCCTTTGACATGAGGAGAGCCGGTTGGCTAGCGGAAACTGGAGTATGCACAGGGCTACGGGTAGCTCTGTGGGTCGGATAAGCAGCCTGCAGGTGGTGGGAAAGATTCAAAGGGGTCGGAGGAATGGCTGTTCAGTGTCTGACGACGAAAGTATGTCATTCTTCGCGGTGACTCCCGTGCCGGGTCGACGAACTACCCGCGGCTCCGCTGTGGCAGAAGATCGGTCAAGCTGGTCGTCGTGTTGGTGTGCTGCCCGGTGAGCTATCCCCTGCTCGTCCATTGAACTGTAGG